CCCGCGCAAGGCGCGGTATCGTTTAACAACTACAGCACACGTTACCGCCCAGGGCTTGATCTCGTGCTCAAAGATATCAATCTTGATATCAAGCCCCACGAGAAGATCGGCGTGGTTGGTCGCACAGGTGCAGGCAAGAGTTCACTGACTCTGGCACTGTTCCGCATTATTGAGCCGGACAATGGCAGCATCAGGTAAGGACTGCTGCCCGACGTTATCTCATCGTGGCGAAATAGATTCAAAAGCTAACGCTGTGTGTAGCATCGACGGGCTGAACGTGTCGACCATTGGCCTTTTCGACCTGCGGGGCCGCCTTGCCATCATCCCTCAGGATCCGGCCATGTTTGAAGGAACCGTACGGGATAATTTGGACCCACGACATGTGCATGATGACACCGAACTCTGGAGCGTGCTTGGTACGTTGGGCTACATTGCATACGAACGCTAAGTGTGATTAACTGACCTGTTATTCCTGCAGAACATGCGCGACTTAAAGATCATGTCGCGCAAATGGACGGTCAGTTGGATGCCCAAATTCAGGAAGGAGGTAAGCATGTGGCTGGTTTTGGTCTCTCACTCGTGCATTTCTGCGCGGTTTTTTACATCATTAAGGATCTGGGTTAACCTAGTCATTGGCAGGATCCAATCTCAGTCAAGGGCAGCGCCAGCTGGTTTCCCTGGCGCGAGCGCTGTTGACGCCTAGTAATATTCTTGTGCTGGACGAGGCAACGGTACGTGGCCAATCCCATTGCAATGTGCTTGTTTAATTACTTTGACCCCCGTTTTCCTTTCATTTCGCCTCCAAACTTACAGTTAGCTTTAGGCGGCAGTGGATGTGGAAACGGACGCATTGCTGCAACGCACGTTGCGCAGCAGCATCTTCCAAGACCGGACGATCATCACTATCGCGCACCGTATCAATACCATTATCGATTCTGATCGAATCGTGGTGCTCGACAAGGGCCGGGTGGTCGAGTTCGACTCGCCCGCGGAGCTCATCAAGCGCGAAGGCCGGTTTTACGAGCTGGTCAAAGAGGCCGGACTCCTTGACAACAGCGACGGGCCTGGAGCTACGCAACAATCCTAGCGCTTATGACGAACATGGCGCTTCCTGGGTGGCCGGAAAGGATAAGATAGCCTGTTTGGTTTCAGGCCGATCCCTCGTCCCCCGACATGACTCACTGGGCTGCGGTTATGAAGGTGCGTACCCCTTGGATAACAGGCTCGGCTTAGTCTGTACTTCGTACATAGACAGAGCTATTGTTCGAGCGCTGCATGGGGGTCCATAGCCAGTCTGTGCGCACCTGATTGGGACGCAAATAGAGGAGGGACAACCCAGAAAAAACCCTAGAATAAAGTAAAAAACAAAAGGGGGTGTGGGAGGGGTGTCGGTATTGTACCGCGGAATCAGGCACTCGATTCGAGCTTGGAATCATACGAGGTGTGATTGGCAATTTCGGATTGCTCGGAGGTGTTTTGTCTCTGTCTGGGTCTAGATAGGAAGTGGAGGTCTGTTCTGTCAGGGTGTGACTAAAAAAAGTATGATCTTGTTGGAATATACGCACGCGCACACACACATAGTATTATATATATTGGCGTTCTGATTTAACCCATCCTTAAAGGAGTAGATATTGAAGCATCAACCACAACTGCCGTGTTCACTGAAAGTGATTACTACATTGTCCACCCCCCCTCCTTTAACTAGTAACTCTTCCTACCCCTCAACCCGTAACGCCGTGGGAGAGAAATCTTTTCCACGCGCAAAGCGACAAAAGGAAAAAAAGGAGGAGAATCAGCGCATCAACAGTAGTAGCGGTGTAGGGAAAAGGGCAGGCACCTGCCAGACAGAAAACCCGGACTCTGCAGCATGCATTGCATGGCATGCATGTACTAGCGCCACACCAGAACAAACAACTGGACTTGCTCTGCGCTGCATTGCTGACTTAATGCATTTCCGCCAATATCATATCAGCTCTTTTTTTTTTTTTTTTTTCTGACGCAGTCATATCATTATCATTGGTGTCACGGTGCTGATGCTGATGCTAATGAAGTCACTCACGACTAACCAGTAACTAGTACGAATGGGATCAAGTTTCGGCTAGTATAGTAAGTAATTATATGCGATAATATGCTGGGGGACCAAGTGGAAGTGGTAAAATCGGTGTCATGACGTGTTTCGCCGAATGGCTAGAATTGTGTAGGTATGTTCAAGTCTCTTCCTTCTGGACTTGTTGTATTTAGGTTAATTAGTAGTTGATTGCTCTGTGTTGTTTGGGTGTGTAACACTACCGTTGTTTCTTTTGTGTACTTGTACTCTATACTCTGTATGGTTATGATCTAGTGTAAACTGATACGCAGGCAGATATAAGTATTACTGACCTTTTGCAAGATGGAAAGGACGAAAAGAACTAGTAGGGGAAGAAAGTACCGTCTTTTTGTGTAGTACTTTGGATAATACTATTAGGATACATTATGAGATGAGTTACGTGGTTCGGTTCATTCGGTTCATAGATGAGTGCCTTATGAATCTTTGCATGAGACGGTGGCGTTGTTCTGTTTTATCTGATCTAAATTGACGGTGAGATGGTGCCTTTGCTCGTGCTTGGGCTGCTCGTGCGCCGTGTTCTTGGGAGGTATATATGTGATGTACTAAGTAGTATATGTTCGCCAGTGGCGTCAAAGCCAGTTTGTCTGGATATGAATGAATATACGGTCAGTGCTAGCAGTAGTTCTGCCAGCACGCTGGTCTCTATAGAGTTTGTTGAGGCCTAACATGATATTGTGACAATCTGGACTTTACGTTCGGGTATACGATGATATCGAGAATGATGACGTTGAGGTACTACAGTAACTGTTCACTCGTGGTGGTGTATAGTAGTAGCATACTAAGTGTTGATTTGATGTGAAAATAGAGCGGCGTGATCTATATATATATACTATCCCATGTCATGGCTTAATACATTACAATATACACACTTCCTACTAGCAATTTTTTCACTTCAAAGAAACAGTATATACAGTGAAATAATAGAGATACCGAGATCATTCGATCCAAAATTGAATCAGTCGGGTACTATTCTCTACACCTCCTACCTGCAAAGAACACAGAACCAACGTCCACATGCACAACTGACAACCCACCCCCGAAGTCTGGAATGACCAAGCAGCTGACTAGCAGCTACGTTACTGCTGCAAGCATTGACTGACTGACTAAACCACGGAGATAAGCGATTTGGTTAGTGAGTTAGTTACTTAGTGACTCCGTAGTTAGCCATGGAAAATGAGGGGTTCTCAAACTGGCGGTGAGAATGACAGAACCCAAAGGGGTCTTCGATGTTCTACAGTACTTCGAAGGCCCAAAGAACACGCATACTAACTCCAAGTACCTGACTAACCTGGCCTACCGAGGGAGAAGCGAGTAGAGGCTGGAACTGAATGCATTTTAGTCCTGTTTCGCTTGACGCCGGAGTTTTGGTTTCGCACTGCCTGCACTGCCACAGATACGTGCTCAGATACATGATTGCTGATAGTAAATGTCATTTAGCCTAAATGGAGGGACAGTGGCGAGATGGCGCATATGCGCTCGTCAAATTAGACGGACGGACTATCTATCCATTTCTAGTCCTCTGCTAAGTAACTATAAGTAACTACTAGGTTCGTGAATGAGTGGTTGTGGCGGCGCTTAATTGGCGCCTTGACGATGTGTCCGCAGGTTCCAAGTTTCACCCTTCATTATTCTACTTCTATCTATGTGGTTGGAAGAGAAGTGTGGCATGTCGCTGAGCCTTGGGCGAGTAAAGTTTACCCCAGTGCTTAGGGAACATGCGCTTCGATACGAATAATGCAATGGTTGCTGAAGATGAAGGAGGCATTGAGGATTACCATAGGCTGGGACTTGTGCTGATATTTTGTTGGGTACGAGTTCCTATCTGTATGTAGTCCACGGAGTACAGTAAGTGACATACTAGGCTAGCGTATTGGTGGACCAGGAAAGAAAGTTATCCTCCTTGCTTCGCGCACCGTCATCATCGTCGTCACGATCAGTAAATAGTTACGGACTACTGGCGCGATCGATCGATTGGCCTTCTTCAAAACACCTGCCTAGTCTAGATAGCGATCGCATCGTAGAAAAGGGGGGGTGGTGGCAATCAAACCCTTCCACTGAAGTTTAGCATCGCGGCGAAAAGAGCGTCTCTAGCCTCTATCTCTGCGAAATAAACTCCGAGAAACTGAGCTACCAAAGCATATCTCAATCCGTAAACTTTCGCGGAAGTTCTTCAGATCTGAGAGTGTTGAAGCAGGGTGGGCACGGTATTTTATTCCGGGGATGAATTCGCCAATGAGTGCACGTCCCTTTGATGCGAGAGGAGAAGCACTGGTGTAGAAAGTGCGATAGTTAGCTAGTTAGACGAGGCGGATCTGAGATTATGATGATGTTCTGCATGGACCAAGTGCCGCGCCGCTTGCTGGACCTGGTCGTCGGGTCGAGGGATCGCGGGACTCAGCTCATGGCGCGATCCACAGGATGACCACTTTGAGCGGCGTGCATGGGGATTGAACGGACGGATTGGATGGTAGTTCGCGCTGGGTCGTGGGACGGGCAAGTCGTTTCGAGACTTGCACCTCAAAAGGGAAAGGGGAGGAGGTCTAGTTTTTTTGGATCGACTGGTTATTGAGTGGCCGCGGGATTTGGGTGTGGCGACGGGCCAGGTGGCTAGACTATACCAATTGTGTTCGATTCAAATTAGTGGAAAGTCAGTGGAAGAGCTAGCTAGTTGGCCAAGCGATAAGCGAGAATGGTGTTGACGGCGAAAATCACCGAAGAAGATGTTGGATTGAAAGGAACTGGAAGGGGCATGGAATTGGTAATTAACTCGGGAGAATGGTTGATTATAGTCAAGAATTTAGTGCTCCAAGGATTCTGCTGGGGGTGAAGGCTTGACAGCGGCTACTCCTCATGACAGTCCAGGATGACAGCTGTGTAAATATAGTAACTAAGACCAGGGAGCAGATAGTGATGGGATCCTTCAAGTCGCGCAAAGCAAACCAGACACAGTGGCTGGCCGCAATGGCTCAACGCTCAGGCCGTTAAACTAATGGAGACTCATTCAACTTCCCCGAGACGCCAACCATGGTTCAGCGGTCGACGGTGGGCGGAGTTTCCGACGAGTCGACCAAGAGTCCATGACGAATACGGATTCATCTTGAACATTCTCGACGCCATGGGAAGTTGTCTGCAGGGACAGTGGGTGTGGATAGAAACAAGCTTGCATGTGTGTTGTGTGTGTCTCTGTGTGTTTTTGTTTTTCATGCTTCAGTTTTTGTTTTTCCTCCCCGTTTTCGACGGGGCCAGACAATCACATTGTCCAGGATATCCCTACCGGAGAGCATCCACCGGAGATGGAGCCTGACAGCTGGCCATGGCTTATTTGTCCAACCCGCCCCGCGGCTGTTAGTATCCAGGTTTCGCAGTGGTGGTTTGTTGACACGCCCGTTTGTGGTAGTAAGTAGTTAGTGGTTGTGTTGCGTTGTGCCTTTCGGGGTTTGGGGCTTCGCTTAGCAGACGAAGCAGTAATCATTATGATAACTAGACATATAGACGGAGTACTCCGTATGTAGTGCAATATTGGAGATGTGGAGTAATATGATGGTAGTACGTACTTTGTATGTTAATAGTACCACTGCTTCTAGCAGTATATCGTAAATGAGTAGGTAACTATTTGGAATCAGTTCACTGAGACAATTGACGGACAGTAACTGACTAACCGAATAGTTAGTTGGTTAGTTAACTAACGAACTAACCAGTTACACAGTAGTTTCCTTCAACTGATCGCCAATTGCCAAATCCTCGTCAGCATCATCATTGTGGCTCATTGCAGATCTTCCAATCCCCAATCCCCGATTCCCCTGACCGGACGCCAATTGCCCAAGCAAGCAATATCTCCGTGCCCGGCGAGGCCTCATCCATCAGCACTTAGTTAGCACGAAGGAGGAAAATTAACCAGATGGATAATAATAAGTACCCATGTTAGGTACACCACAATAATACTCGGCTGTTAAGCATCCACCGACGAAGTGTAGTGTAGTCACTAGTTAGTAGTCGCATTCCGGGATACACTCATACCCAGAACCCGCGCCCGCCAGCCACAATCATCATTCTGCTGCAGCACGCACAAAACACATCAACCATCCTTCTATCTGTCAGTCAATCCTTCCTTCCCGGCCACTTATCTAAGGTACGAACCAGGAACCCCGGTATTAGTTTGCTGCACAGGACTTTCGGTCCCAGGAAATGAACCCTGTGGATCACGTAGAACCCTGTCTTCTGTCTCTTACTGTAAGTTGTTCTTGTCTCGCTCCAAGGAACATGATCCGCCCCGTTCGTTTGTCCGTTCCCACATACACACACACACACAACCTATCGCACCCCTGCCGGTGGATTGATTGTCACTCTAAATGGAGAAAAGGTATGGCTGGCCAAGAGGGGGCTATCTGAAACGGATCAATTGGGAGTTCGAGCTGTCGGCCGAAGTGGTACCTGCCGAATGTATCTTTCTGTGGATTTGCGTGGTTTGGAGGATCGGTGTTTGGATACTCTTGAAGGACGAACATATTGCGTCAAAATAATCAGGATAGTAAAGATCAGTCAAAATACCGTCCAGTCGATCTGAAAAGTACTGGTAAGTAGCACTTAGCCAGAGGCAAGCAATCGATCATTCAAGAGCGAACATTATCTCTTCTATCTCATTCGAGCGGGATTGTTTATCATCGCGAATCTGGGCACCTGGAATCAAAGGTCTTGTCCGGATAGCTCTAGGTATTTTCCAACCGCAACAACTGGACCAAAAGATGGCTCATGGTGGGAAAATAGCCCCTGCGGATTCATTATCCGAAAGCAACCGCGCTCCCCGACAATAGTCGGTCAAGTTTCAGCTCCTCCTCCTCAACTAAACTCGGGATTTAATCGTCGACGTGCCCAGTGAGTGGTGGTTGTCCCTAGTTACATTGACTATCTTGTGCATAGCCCCGAACAAAAGCGAGCGAGGCAGCAAGCGGACGGGACGACCGCAATCCCTGCGTAAATTGGCGCATTCAGTCAATCGGATCCCTCGTTAGTGCTGCGTCAGTAAGGTGTGAGCATCGCGATCGGAGGGGGTTGCGCAAATCTCATTGCCGGGGATATTTTTTCCAGCTACTTTTACGCGGTTAACCTGATTTGAGAAAACCGGATATACCTCATGGTGTACACAAGTGTGTGTGTTAGATTGCTTACGTGTGTGGGTATTAGTAAGGGTGGAGGATATTGACGATGCCGGCAATAGATCGAGGGGGGTTGGGAATGGTGCTCGTTGCGAGATAAATCAGATGATGAAGCAGTAGTTTGTTCCAGACTCCGCGCGGATGCCTCAGATCGAACATCCCTGCTGTTTCTGATTGCCAGGACATGATCGGGGTATGAGTGTGGGGGTTTGACGTTGAGTACTACCTACATAACTGCACACTTAGATGGTGGTGGTGGTGGTGACGATGATGATTGATCATTATGAGAGACAGGTAAAGCATGCAAGTCCCTCTGATCGGTCGGTCATAATCCGGCGGCAATACTACCGACCTACTGTACGGAGTACTTCCTTTCTCCGTAGATGGCCAGTGTCCATTTCGGGCACCGTACAGTGCGATCCAAACAGGCAAAGCGTGATATTCATGATCAGCAACTTCCACCGTGCATCCAGTTACCTGGGTCATCCCTACACGATTTCCCACCCGATTGGCATGATCGGGCTCTCATTCGTAGAAAAGGTCTTGGAAATGAATCCATCAGGATGATTCTGACCAGTCCAGGTGGACAGGAGGACCCCACTGTGCGACGAGAGAGTGGGTAAGCGGTGCCCAGCCTGTAAGTAAGCCAACTGCTGTATGATGGACTGCAGCAATGGGTCCACATCCCGGAAAACCATGTTGACACTTCGGCCACTCATCAGCCTGGAACAGGGATCCCCTGAGCAAGATAGGTTCGGGACTAACGAACAGCTGCAGATGGTCCTCCGCCCACGCGAGTCATTGGAGGATCCATCCGGCCCGGACTGGTTGGGTGAATGATCCTACCAATTACAGCCCAGTAGGGTCTCTTCATGTCTGTTTTGAAACACGAAGTCTCCAAAGTCAATTACTTAGGTTTTCAAGGCGTGGCGCCAAACACATGGCGTACGCCTCATGGAGAGAGCAGCAGAATATGGGCCAATGTTGCCAGAAGGGTACGAAGTAGCTACTCGACGCGAAACACTCCAATCGGCGAGGGTTCGATCGGGAGCACTTTGAGAAAAGTGGGTGTGGCTAGTTAGTAGGTACATACTACTTAGTAGTGCCAACGCGACCACGGATTGACAATTAACCTGGGAAAAGGACTCGTCGATAATGACACTTCTACTAGAAGTCGTTTTTTTGGTGGGGAAAGGACTGGGATCATGGTAGTTTCCTCAACATCCACAGCCCTGCACCTGTTCTTTTCCGGGCATGACAGGCCTCCCCAGATAGGAAATGCCAGCCCTCCGGATGACATAGGTCTTATGCCACCTCGATTTGTCAAGTCGAAATAGCACAGTTATGCCTGGCGCGTAGGAGCTATGATATAGTTCAAGCGACTATGTCGACGGTTCCATGGTTCAGAAGGGTCTTCCGGCAGATACCCGCAACCTTGAACGATGAGTTGTACACGCTGAGACTAGACCCAGGTAGGCAGGTCAGAGGCCACCCAGGCCTGATCCGTGGGAGACATCCGAAAATCAAAATCGAACCTGTGCACGGGGTTTATCGGGCCTTAGATGACCACGCTCATCTCATTGCTCTCGTTGCCATGACCCTCGCGCGACGATATTTCCAGCGCAGGAGAAAATAAAAATACACAAATAAACTGAAATAACAATAAACAAAATATGTAGGAACACTTGGGGCGAGACCGCTGCTGCATGCAACAGGTATCATCAAGCTCAGTATGGCTTGCTGAATTTACCCCACAGCTTACAAGGTCGTCTGCTCTTGTAGGGCGAATGGCAGCCCTTTCACCACTGGATACCTGGTCGGAAAATATTCCATAACGTTTTCTGTCATCCACTTTATTGTCCTGTGTAACGGATTTTCTTTCTTTCCTTTTTCCTTCCTTCCCTAGACCTACAGTAGTGATGTAGTACAACATTCGGCAGTACAACGGATCAATCTGCCGATGAGGGTCCGGCCGGGCCTTCCCGTGATGGAATTGCCATCATCTCCATATATCACCACTCACTTACTTACTACCTGCAGTGCTCTGCAGAGGCTCGGCCCGGTCGGGAGATATGCCTCAACAAAGATGATCTATGAGACATCAACTGTGAGTATCCATCTGCTGCAACAGAATGGAGATGGGGAGGACGGCGACTCACAAAACTTCGATCTCTTTCGATCACCCGCAGAGGTGTTGATTTGACTTGATTGCGATTTGCCCCTCCCTTCCCGCTTCCCTATGACCTGTAATGCCCGTGCAAAGATATGGTACGCGGCGTGCCAGGAAGAATCGTGTAAGCAGGACTTCCCAAATAGGACGATCTATTGTGAGCTTGTTGAAACAATGGCAGAAAGGTTTAAGGAATACTAGCAGCTAATTCAGTAATGGCAAAGGGCTGAGACGTATGCACTAAAAAAATACCATCCGGCTGTTCTGCGGCCATGCACTGTGGTATCTAGGTGCTTTTGTGCGTAGACCAGACTAGACTCAGAGTAAGTATAGATGGTGATCTAAGTAGTAGATGTATGTATCACTACTATGCCTGGAACCTACACCCCCTTGAAACATCGATCTTGGACTAGACTACATCCCGGGTCATTGTGTGTCATTCCTAGTTTAATCGCACAGTGCCTGAGGTGCTTTGGTGTCATCGGATAGTGTTCAGCGCTCAGGCCGTGGGCGTAGCAAGGATCCTATCCCATCAACCTGGCCCATGGTACGCACCGGCCCTGGGATGGGTTAGAGTTCCCGGGAGCGATTAGCGTTGGCGAGAGGGAGGGCAGGGAATTGAAGCCGTTCGAAAGTCCTTTCACTAGTTCCCAAAGACCGCTGGGATGGGGGGTTAGTTACTCAGTACTCATACTAAGTAACTACTTACTACAAAAACACACAACGTAGATCGTAATACCCCCTCAAGTGGTGGTAGCTTTCAGGGACCCTTGATCCAAACGGTTTCACACTTTTGTGTTAAACTACTACTATTACTTACTACCAGTATTACTGAAGTACCATGTCTATATATAAACAGCCTGTAGTACGCCTCGATTCCCCGGAAATAAGATCGGTTCTTGGAAGATCAAGAACGATTGCAGACGAACCTCCAATAATCACGCACGATCTCTCGAGCAGGGGGGAGTCAAGCGACTGTCAGCGAGGCGGGGGTCGATCGGTTCGAGTGGAGTCTGGACCGACCTTGGGCTGATTGATTGCTGACAGCAAGTTGGTAGTAACGACAGTAGTACTTACGGAGATCTGACAAACAACAATACGTATCTTCGTATAGGAGCAATAGCATGCTGCTCGCTGCCAGTCCAAATACAGGCTACGAGGGTTTTTTTGACGGCCGATCCCTATAGTTGCTTTTTCCATGACGAGCGTTGGGACCTTCAACCCGCTATCCCCGGGCCGCGCCCCCGCCCTGTTTGGAGTGGCGCATGGTGAATGGCCGATGAGAGAAGCCAGGGAGTTCTTTTGGCGAGTATCACCAGATTCTTCTTTAATTGAGAGGGGGCGCCTCCCATCTAATTACCGATTACAATACCAAGAAGGTTGAGCGAAGCAGTCTCATCTGTCGAGCAATACACTACCGAGAGGAAGTTTAATCAAAGCGCATTACCCAGGGGACCCCGCCTAGTCACCAACCGACAATTATGAGCTACTTGGGGAGTTGAGCACACGCTGACTGACTGACAGCCAGCCAGCCAGCCAGCCAGTCAATCATCTCGTTTCCGAAAGGAACCAAAGGTACAAAGTACGGGGTTGGATTTCGGGTGGGGGCCTTCCATACGGGCCTAACTCTTTAGCGGTATTAGTTCAGTCCCAAATCCTCAATGATGGGTTCTAGTTCCAGACACCAAGTGGGCTGGGCGCTTTGTTGACGGATTTTCCTTTCATGGCTGCCCCTCGCTAGATATGATTATTTGCTGGACTTCTGAAGGCCGTCGCCCACTTGCTTCCCTTCCTAGGGAGGGATCATGACGTAGCATTCTCATTGTTTTGTCCATCAGCCATGGAATCCACGCCGTGGGACAAGCATCAGCTGCAAGGTTTCCTTTATTCTTGCATTGCAGCAAAACGTTGTCATGAGACTACTACTACTACTAACAACTATAGGGGCCACTTCCAGTATACATATTACTAGTATATACATGTGGTTGAACTGGTCTGTCCATTAGGTATCATATGTAAGTGGCATATCCATATGATCATGACGGGTATCTATGTACTCTGTATATTGTATTGTTCTTCAGGTCTTGCTGGACCCACCGCACAGTCCCCCCTCCCCCCAAAAGGCCCCAAATTATCCTGTCGGGATTAGGCGCCGTAGGCCTCACTGATCATGCCAAATACGGGGATACCGCGTGAGCGGGCATCAGCCCAATGTACCAAAGTAGTTGCGGGTTGGTCTGCTTATCGCGGGTGAAAATTTCGAATCTTTGGAGGTCGGCGTCTGACTGACTGAGTAGGATCCTGCAAAGTAAAGCGGACTACTTTGGACTACTAGTTAGCTCCAGGAACCAACCATCTCCGCTCCTAACAACCGCCTCGCAGTCCGTCAGGCTGACCGGCGGTGTCTCCAGTTATCATCGCAGAGATTGCCTTACCGGGCACCAGTCCTGAAATTCTCCGAGGAAGTGTCCCGCGAATTCTCAATAATGGTGTAACTTCAATATTCAGCCAGATACAGGCAGGCTAACCTCTCTTTACCTAGGAAGTTCCTGGGTTAATCTACTTAGCGCCCCCCGTCTATCCCCTGTTGGGCTAAGGTGTGCTCCAGCCACTTCCGAGGTCCCAGCAGCTGAAATGCTGAGTGGACAACCAGCATAACAGAGTAAGGGATTTCCGAGGTCTGACAGGTCCTCCACTGACCAATAAGCGGGACTAATTTCATGTTTAATCTCCCCTGCCCCAGCATGACCTCCTTCCCCCCTCCCCTCCCGGGTGCCCTCTCTTTCCTTTCCCTCCCCCCACCCCACTGTTGTCGTCACATTACTACCCTCCATCGCTAGACGTGCAATCTACCCTACGAGTCCCAAAGATCGGGACTGGAGGATCTACCCCGTCTGGATGGTAACTATCTAGTACCTACCTTAGGCACTTCCATTTTCTGTTCGGTGCAGAGCGCGAGTGACTAGTGAAGGAGACCGGCCTGCGTAGCGGTAATTGCGGCTTATATTCCTGACAGAATGCCCGCCCTGGTGCGCGGAAATTATGTCACCGATACTACCAACTGGGAACGACAGGGAGGGCCCAAGGCATATCTAACTGGGAGGGTCATTTGGCCCAGGCGGGAAGAAAACCGATTGCTACCAAAGCGCCATCAAGGAAAATCATAGAATCCAGGCCCTGCAACTGAGAAAGCATTGGTGAGCCCATATGCATCTATGCCGTCCACAACCGAGTCGATATCGTGGCGGTGAGTCTCTCCCACCGGTTCTGCCTGTAACCATGGCCCGTGTAGCACACACCGTTCAATGCAAGGCGCCGTGGCTCGTGTGTGATTGCCGCTGCCACGTTGCGAACGACGATAGCATCTAATGCGACTTGATATGATGGCATTGCATCACAGCACACCTCATTGAGGCAGTCAAGATACTTGCGAGCCGTTGATTCAGATTGAAGTCGTCATTATGAAAAGGTCTAGACTCGGGTCAGCCGGCCAGGAGGAATGAAAGGGGTCACCTGCCCGCTTGGCGGGTCACTTTCCGAGAACCAGACAGACAGGGATGACAAGCTCCTCCGCTCTAGGATTGGCGTGAATATTTCCGTGATGTTTTAGCTAGTGTTCAGCTCGTTGGTTCTGATCAAAGAACGCGTTAGTACGGAGTAGTTAGGCAGTCAAACAGACCACTACAAGACAGTACTTCGGGCAATTGTTCGGGAAACAAGCGAACCTCGCCCAAACACAACGGACATACTTCGGCCTCATTTTATTGTCTTTGTGAGGAACTTTCTGTGGGGACTGATGATACCGCCATCATGTTTCGCCAGACTGTGGACTTGCCTCCTGTCACACTATCTTATCATGTTGACTGAATATTCGGGCCCGTCCACGATGATCGTTCTTCAGGGAAACGGAGTATTCAATTCGGATATCGGCTCTCTTTGCTATTCCCAATTGTTCTCTACTGACCAAGGAACAAACGCAAATGGGAAATTTATTCCCCCCCCTTTTCTCTGCACTTGTTTGTCCCTGGCATGGCAGTTTTGCGTGCATAGCGAATTCTGTACGTAAGTGGCCGTCAAGGTTTTGATTTAGTGTCAACTTAGGTGCTGAAGAGAAGACAATCATCGTAATCCAAAGAAGGTACTTTCGCTAGCCGACTGGATGCCACACGAGGCGTTTGTTTGATGTTGCTTGACTGACTGACAGGCCGTGACCTAGAGGTACTCCGCACGACTGGACATCGCTCTTGTTAGCATTGACCATGCTGATTTCCCAGAATGGAAAGTGCACAGACGAACGACAATCTTAGTAACCTCGTAGCAAAGTACCGCCCGCCATTAGTTAGACTAAAGTCTCGGGTGGACGTCGTCTTCAATTGGCCCTAATAGGGGGTTTTAGCTCTCTGATCTGACATGAAGCCACTATATCGGGTCCTCTTATCATTGTCGCCAATTCCACGGTTCAGGTACCTGGGCGCGGGAGCGTCCCAGATAGAGAGTTAGATCAGCAACCCGAACACTCGCTTAATGTCCACCGTACTTACTGTAGGACGCAAGAAAGTCCCTTCTCCGGGAATTACTTGCACAGCCTATTTGGCTTGTTGTGTCTGCTCTGGCTGCTTTCTTTGTCCGGGAAAGTCGTGGCGGGTTATTAACATAGCCCGCGGCAAGAATGGTCGTAAGCCGATGGAGGAAAGGAAAGATTCAGTTGTATAGTAGAGTGTGGATTGATGGTGGAATAATGCTATACCATACAACAGTGTTCCAATGGCTGTTCCCTGGCTACTGTGATGCTTGTGTGGTGCTAAAGCATTAAGCTACCCTGCGAATTCCAAATACTCGTCATTGCGGTCCCCATCTACCCCAACAGTCGGAGATTATTCACTACAGGGAATTGCACACTAGGCGTTATAGTTATATTGCTTTCCTCTACTTCAGTTGTAGTAGCATACCCCGGCAGCCCACACATCAATAGAAACTAAGTACTTAGATTCCCCGAACCATTTGCCTTACATGCTGAAGGCTCCGGAGAGCTCTTCTACTAGCAGCAATCCACCCTTTCACATCCCCAAAACCCCACCGAGCACTACTACTTCGTACCGTCTCAACTTAGCCCACTCCTTCGTCTCCAGTCCCGTGGGCCATGCGCAAGCCAAAGCTTCCCAGTCGGTAGATCGTCGTGGTACGGATAGTATCTGTAGCTTGCTATTGGTCCACCTGCCACCGGCACTAGTTCGGGGCACATCTCTCTAGATCCGCCATTTGATTCTTCCCAATTTTCGTCTATCGTAATTTGTTGGTACATGTCTCTGGTGTATCCTATTTGCCTCTTTGTTATGTATATTGTGTCATCCATGATGTTGGCCTGCCAGACTGCATCTACTAAATGAACATATTCTTCCATGTATACACGGTTGGTCAGTATACTTTATCATGTTTGTGGCATTCACTCTATGATGAACAAAGAAAGGACAGGCGAGGGCTTCATTCATGACAGTGAAGGGCCTGGCATCGGAATATAACTCATGTGATGTCGTCCTCTGAACTCTCTATATGCACCTAGTGCATATCTTTTCTGCACAAAGGGCAGTCAGCTGATGGTGGCGACAACTCGGCGAGTCCGATATCGATCACCACTTCACAGAAGTACTCAAGTAGCAGTTATGAGCAAACGTTTCAGATGCGCATAAATGATCGCACTTGGAAAACCTGTTACACATGTGCGGAGTACAGCAGTAGCAGGAATGATAATCTCCTGGCGGTACTACTAAAAGCTCTGAGAAGAGGAGGTCGACGGTGCCACGCGGATATAGTATCCACGACCGATCTCTGGACAACAGGAGTCGTTAACTTGTGGATCCGTACATTTCTGTCAGAACACTCGCTTGAACTTCAACCACCTTAACGGGCATTCGATTCACGCATGGTGTTGCCATTAAGATGTAATGGATAAGTAAGGTCCCAGTATCTACCTAGGTTACGCCGTATACTCCCGTGCTCCATAGGATCTCCTACTGTCTGGCCCAGGCGCGAGCTGGGTGGAACGGCCCTGACGATATGCGCGGCCTGTGCGTAACCGGGATTTCTTGTATTCTTTTTTATTTTCTTTCCCAGCATCCGCTGGATCCTATCTGAATACATACGTTCTCGTCATACACAACAACATGCAGGCCATTCATGGAGGATGGTTAATTAGGGGGGTTTTCCGTGATTTACAGTAGGGCCGAATATGGCCTGTATCGCATGGTACTGGCTATGTACAGGGGTATGAAGTCCAGCCACTTGCGCAAACTGTGGTATCTAAATCACTGCGTTGGCGATGGACACTTCATTGCACCAATTAGTCGTTGCCACTGTCACTACAACGCTTGAATACTTTTCATACAAGTCTGCAATCAGGGATGGATGAGAGGCAAAAGCAGACGTTTCCCGGGGTCAAATGGTAAATACTAGGTTGTTTACAGAAATTTCCAATTTTCGTAATCCGTACATGACGGGAAGCGCGTGTCGCTGGCGAAAGAAAACCGGTTCCAGTTTGGTGGGTGGTGAGATCTGCCAATCATGACAGTCATTTGCGGGTGCAAAAAGTCCCGCGCTGAATCGGCCTGCCGGAAACGCCATCCCTGAAAGTAAGTACTTACGACAACTATTACAGAGTAAGTACTCCTTACAATGTCTGAGTATCCGGTTGATACTAAAAGTCATTCTGCCTTTTGGGTGGCGGTTGGAGCTCTCCTGAGCCAACTTCAACGCTAGTGACCGGACTAAGTTATTATTATTCTTGCTAGCACAAGTCGTTTTACACAGTCATCAAAGATCGGAATGACGGTTTGAAGGCTTCTCCCTAGTCCTTTTTCTTCATTCCCTTATTCGGACAATGTACTTTCAGCCCAAATCCACGGTATGGGTACGCCTTCCGTAACCTAGTAGTACTATCTAGTAAGTAGTAGGTATTTATCGTCCCCCCTCCTTGAATGGCGCCTTCCCCCTCCTCCTCCCGCCATCTGCCCCGGCACTAGCGGACCTGGATGATGATCAACCCGCCCAAGAGGACGACTAGTAGGTATTGTAGTAGTGGTAAGGATTAATACTTACTCAAACTGAAGATATCTTTTAGCGACCATGGAGTCAGTTCGCACGAACCTCAAGCATCTTCAGTTTCGTAGTTCTCTCGGTTGTGGAGTTCAATCAATTATCGATGCGCCACTGGGTGTCCTTTCGAGTGGCCCGCTCCGAACAAAGCCCTGGGCCAGCTGCCACAGCCCCGATGGGGTGGTCGATCTACAGATAGTACTAGTCAGGTAAGTGGACGGGCATGTTAAAGTACGTGCTTAAATGATGTTTATCTCAGAAGAATCGCGATGTCAATATGATGATGAACAACTTCCTAGGTGGGACGGATGGGAAATACCATCTTCTTTTATTTACGTAGTAGTTATTTTTTATTTTTATTTTTTTTTCCGGACGCAAAGTATTAAAAAATGAGGGAAAAGAGGCATGTTCCCACCGAAGAAAAATCAAGAATTAAAATAATTCTCAAACGGGAAAATACAATATGCGGAGAGGGAAAATAAAAAGTAAAAAATACAATTCAGGAATAGATTAGAATAAGTGATAATAATAATAAAAATTTTTTTAATATAACCGGAAAGAAAAATAAAATGAAATAAAATAAGATAAAATAAAATAAAATCAAACACAACAGGAAAAAAAAAGGGCAGCATTTCCCCCTACTACTGCACGGCCTTACCAAAAGCACTCAGCGGCATATGGGTAAGATAGATTCTATCCATGCTTTTCTAGAGTAGCAGCTGTCCGTTAGTGTTTCGGCTTGATACATTCAAGGATTATCCATGCTGCTGGGATCCCACCACACGTCCCCAGTGCGATGCCAAATCGGGATCGAGAGGATGATGGCCCGAAGGGAGGGGATCCCCCCCCCCGATGCACACAGAAAGTGGATTTGGGTTCTTTTGTTCAGATGCAATCTCGATCCATCAGTTACTACTATCTAGCAGACAGGCTGGAAACCTGGGACGTCCCCAGTTGTTAAAAAGTCCAGTCCCTTTCCTTTCTCCCTCCTCTCTTTATACTTAAGGACCTCAAGATCCAGATCCTTTGCCTGTTCCTGACTTCAGTTTTCCCCCATCGCTCTCCCCTCTCTCATTCGTGATCTGATCTGCATAGTTCTGGCCTCGCTTGCTTCACATATTGACCGTTTCCGTTTACTTCTGGTACCCGGTCCTAACTATATCCTCTTCGGCACCTTGTACCACCTAACATACATCCACATCCACATCTTTGTGTCACCGTCCTTCTTCACACTATCTCAACACAACGGCAGAAGTACTTTGGGTGATCATCGCTTCTCACGGTAGAGCCGGGTCTCGATCGACTATCTAGTGCACCAGTATCGGTTGTTAGCAGCTTCTCTGCAAGCTACTATACCAATAAAACCCTCAGCCAGTGTTCGCCAGCCATCGAGCGCTGTTTGCCTTTGCGGCTAGGTGAGTAGTAGCTGCTTGCTATACAAACCTTTCCCAATCAGTCCCCAGCATGGAGGATGTTTGCTTGATAGCGTGTCCTGTCTAGTACACAAATGTCACCGACACGGGCTTGATAATTCATGCTTTCCAATAGCCCGCTTCAAGGGCTGGGTGCTCAAAGAATACAATTACTAACTGGCTGGAAGACGTTGACAGTGCACCACCATCGTCGTATCTGGGGCATTGCAGCAGCTCCTTGTTCCATACAACTGATCGCCAGCTTCGGGAAACGCCTACAAATCGAGCACATTCCCCGCCACCTTCCGGAGACTTATCCTATTTATCCTGCAGAGTCATAAGCTTGACTCTTCTTACCCACTTTGAAACTGTGCTTTAAGAGCCGATCCATCTCTTCTGAACGCAGTAGCCTCGATACATACCACCCGACGTTTGTGCAAGTTTCTGCCCTAGGGCCACTATGGTATTCAACTCTCCTCTTCCGAGGACAGGGCTTGGCAAAAGACCCTCGTCCGCCATGAAAAGCGATAGTATTGGATGGGAGACTGCTCCTGTGAGTAACAAAATACAATGTAGGATTCATTTGCTAATTTCAAATGATCAAAGGCTATGTTACCCCCTCCACGTACCTCAATCAATCTGCCCTACGCACATTATGCTTTGATCTACTTGGACAACATGGGTAGGCTCCGCGTGGCTGAGTCGCCATCGATCCGTGACAACCACGCCACTATCTTCACTTCCGAAGTGCGAGAAAGCTTCCTGGAAATCCTTGGAGCAAGAGTCGGATATCAGAAGCCTCTACTTCAGAGTAAGTACATCCATTCCATAGAGTTAATATATAGTACAGCTGACTGAGTAGATTTAGGCATCAACCCCGCCGCATTGAGCTATGACCGCTCCGACGATGCGTCTTGCCATCGCCATGGTAAGAGACGTAGACTTCACGTTGAAAGCCCCGCTCCGGTTACGCAGAACGCCCGATCTGAATTCCCAAGTTCGCCGTCTGGTGCTGCAGTAAACCGGATCGCGCTTGAAGTTGGTGACGCCGATCGCCTGGAACAATACTACACGATCTCCCTCAGACACTTCCAGCAGGTCAACTGCCGTGTTGTTGCAAAGGCATTCATCAAATTCATCGAGCCGCGCAAGCAAGTAAGGCATCCCTACAACGGAGGCAGGCCTAAGCCTGGAGCGCCCCCTGGTACCAAAGGCGACCCGGAGAAGACGAAGCCTGAATGGTGGCCGGCTGGTGTGGTGCATAGGGAGCCAGATCATCTGAAGAAGGAGGGTAAGTCGTTAACATACCGTCTCTTTACGGATCATCTGTACTTACAAAGCATAACAGAGAGAGTTGACCTGTTGGTTCACATCGTGCGCAAGCTTGGCCGCATTGGAGTTACGGCCGATAAGCTACTGGAAATTGCATTTGACTGTAGAAGGCAGCTCAAAGAACAGGAGAAATTCACGATTATTGAGGAAATCTTCAAGGTGCGCAAAATGGAGGAAAGATACGAGCGAGGTGAAATCGGTAAGTATCCTCCACAATTACCATAATCATTAATCAAGATTGAGGCTGAACTGTTACTAGATGCTTCAACTCTTGTCTACGTGATGGATCGTGAAGCACACCCTAAGGGTGACAAGGACGCCGACTCAGTCGCTGGGCCCGAGGCAAAAATTGAGCCAGAGGAGCCAGCAGAGGCGGAGGAAGAGGTGGCAACCCCGACTCCTTCAGTCGAGGAAATAGATGCGGCATTCATTACGGACTCAAGCGACATGCCAGTGCCTCATACCATGCCTTTGAGAGAGGGAAGAGATCCGCTTTTCCCTTTGCCGGAGTCTCTTAATTTTGGAGAGCCAGCGAGACAGGATCAATCGTTCTTCACGTCATCTACCGACTATCCTGGTAACTATTCAAGCGCGCTTATTGAGACCCCCGCCACTCAAGGGTTGATCACACCTATCGAAGAGGCTACATCGTTCGAATACCTGACCCAGGCCCCTTTCCCGGACGCCAGCACTGCCGAGCACCACGCAGCAGCGGTGCCAATGCAGCATTCCGTCAGCCAATATAACCACTGGGCTCCGTCCTTTAGGGAGGAGTTGTTTAGTCCTTTGAAATATGGATCTGCGGCCGGTCATGCCCTCCCAGAGCCTCGTATGCACTACCCGTTGGGATTTGCTTCCCCCGCCGAGGAGATGCATGGCATGCCTGAATTTTCACGCGATCATCATGCTTATATGGAGCAGATGAGCTCGAGGGGACCTCTATTCCGTACTGGTTCTTTGAGTCATCCACACTTCACTCACTCTCACCAATGCTGACCGACGGCGAATTCAGCAGTCGCGCATTGTGTCTGAAAACCAGACAGTCGGCGAGATAATTCTTCCTCCCTCAACTTCACGATACGTACGACCATGATGAGCTTTTCTCTTTGGAACCTTTGAGCATTCCCTTCTTCTCGTGCTTTTGCCTAGGTGCGATATGAGGTGGCCGCTCTTTCATTGCCTGGGTGGGCACCTCTTTTCAACATTTCTTTTGCTTTTTCCTTTTCTCTTTTGCCTTTCTTATTCCTGGCTTATGGGATGTTTGGAATATATATACATATTCACTTTGGTCAGTATTATATGACAGTGTACGCCTTGCGGAGCTCCAGGAAAACAAGAGGACAATGGACGAGATCCAACGGCGGGTGACCGCTCACGAGTTCAAGGCGCATCTATTTTTGGGGGGTTTAATGTATGTTTGCAGGTAAATAGACTTTGTGAGCAAGGGCGCTTGGGCGCTTATGGAGAAAACAAAATATTCCAGGTTGGTGGATGCTACCAAGGGAGCAGTGAGTCTTCTGGGTTATGGAAGTTTTGTGTGAGAGGCGTGTGATAGCAGCGTTTTAGCGTTTGTGAAAATTTTCTATCTGTGAACTCAAGAAGAAATATATTCCTTCAAAAGCAATTCTGTTACGACTGCAGTAAGTCAAATACGGAGGGTCTAAGGGAAGTCAGATCGGCTCCGACGTTGAACCTTCAGACAGTATGCATTACGAAGTACGGCGTAGGCAAAGTATTTAGTAGTTGTCAGTGGTTAGAAGTAGAAGAGCGCCAATGAGACGCGCGGCAGTGGCGCTTGCGCTTGGATGGGCTTAGCGTGCATTGACGCTGTCCCGCCGATGAATCGGAGCTTCGCGCGGTGGTCTGAAGACATGACACTCCTCTCTTATCACTACTGACAGCCAGTAGTCCATCGCTGGCTTGTTCCGTCCTGCATTATCCGGCACCTGAGCTCGTTACATTGGGCAATCGTGCGCTCTGCCGTTGCTCATTTCTCATAAGATAGCTCTTCGCTTTCTACCGGAATATTCCACGCCGTGGAGGTCGGGTGGTCCAGGAGCTCGTACTCAACTTCTCTTAACCATCGACTGCTATCCTCCGACTTCTGTCAACGAACCTTTAAAGGTACCGCATCACTCGCTGCTTTCTTTCGCGCCTCTCGCTCTTTTCAACATCTCCGCTTTCCTTTTATACGGTTTTCGTACCTTCACGATCTCCCTTAAATGATATCCTCGCCATGTGGTTTCACAAGTCGTCCTGTCTTCACAAAAGCTGACTTCTCCGTTACGCGCGTGTCAATGGTCTTGGACGATAGCGCTATAGAGCTTTACGAATACCAACCTACGCCGTTTCGCGAACGACCTTGTCTGCGGACATTCCGCTCGGATTCTCTGTTCTCGACCCAACCCAGAAGCTCTGAAGATCATACTTTTGGAGGAATTGTGGACTCGTCCACGTTTCCGCTGTACACGGCAAGATGGCCGGCCCTGTAAATCCCTTTGCTGGCCTTGGCCAGAAGGATGGGCCAGCCGGACCAGCAGGACGTGGACGCGGCGGACCTTCTGGTCGACCTTATCAATCCAAAACCGCCAATCAGCCTCGCGCATCCAAAATTCGAGGCCGAGGCCGAGGAGCTTCATCAGCAACAAGGTCTGGACGGGGGCAAGGAAGGGGCGCTAGCACAGCGAGCAATACTTGGCGCAATAAGTCAGATTCGCCGTCAGGGTCTGTACAACCGACTACCTCGCCTTTCGCACATATTCAGCAAACGGCCCCTGTTTCGTCACCCTTTGGCGGCCAGAGCTTGCAGCAGAAGACGTCTTCTACAGGGTTTGGAAAGGCCTCGCCAGTGCCGTTTGCTGTCCCCAATTTAGATGGCAGTGGCGTCGGCTTCGGTACGGGTTTCAGCCAAGGGTCCTCCCAGCAGCCGTCAACTTCGAATAACGGTGTCAGCGTTCCCGTCGAAGAGTTGTCGCATATTAGCAGCTATACCGAGCGCTATGAACAGGTCAGTTATGATTGCAATACTTAGATGGATACGCTGCGCAACGGTTGCCAAACGATACTCATATGTCGAACAGCTCAAACTCGATAGAACGAAGGAACGGGAAAAGGCCATTAGAGAAGGGCAGATGGCAGATCCAAACCAACCGACTTCCTTGAATCAAGCTATTACACCCGTGGGCACGTGCACAAGCATGTGCCCTGAATTTGAAAGAGTGGAACGTATAGTCCAGAAGATGGTCGACAAAAGCGAGAAGGTACGTCTCGTTGTATACAATCTATTGCTGCTATTGATACTGACCTCGAGTGATTAGTTCCTGCATCCCGCAACGAATTCGCTACAGAATATGGAAATGAAGATGCTAAAAAGATTCAGAAGATCCGCGGCCGGCTATGATGAACAGCTTCCGTCAGACATTCGAACACCGAAGACTCTCCTCCAGACCATGAACTACCTCATACGGCACGTCATTGATGGACCCGAGCCTCTTGGGCTTATCCATAAATTCGTATGGGACAGAACTCGCTCAATCCGCAATGATTTCTCTGTCCAGCAGCTCACGCAGGAGGAACATGTGAAGATGGCGGTAACATGCTTGGAGAGAATTGCTCGATTCCACATCATATCACTGCATCTTCTGTCAAGCCCTGCCAACGATGAACCTTTTGATCGCCATCAGGAACGTGAGCAGCTGAACAACACGATGTTGTCGCTGATGTACTATTACGATGATAACAGAGGCCGGATCACGTTCCCGAACGAAGACGAGTTCCGGGCCTACTATATAATCTTCTCGATTCATGACCAACGGCCTGATTTGGAAGCTCGTGTTCAGAAATGGCCTGCGGAGCTGAGGAACTCACCTCGGGTTCAAATCGCCTTGGAACTATTTGCTGCTGCGGGAAATACATGGGAGTACCAGGGAACTCTCGATGCGAAGCGAACAAACGCGATCGCGCAAGGCTTCTACGCACGGTTTTTCAACATAATTGATTCGCCGGGCGTCTCGTATCTCACAGCCTGCGTTGCAGAGATCTACTTCAATCACATGCGTCAGACCGCTATTCGTTCCATTTGGAAAGGATACTGTCGCTATCCTGCATCCCAACAGCACAAGAACGAAGAGTGGACCCTTGACGAGCTGACGACAGTCCTTTGCTTTGATGACCATGAACAGACTATCAAGTTCTGTGAAGACCAGGGCTTGGAATTTGCCGAGAACGCCAATGGAGACCTTTATCTTAACTGGGGCGATCGTCCAATTGATACAGTCGGTATGTTTACTTTCGACAGTGCTTCTGCTTCAGAGCTTTCGTCAAGCGGCATTTGGATCAGAATTTAGCGACGGATGGTCGCTTTCCCTTTTGACATGCCCATAGGAAGCTACTACTTAGTCTCGACTAACTGTTTACTGCCACAGCCTTTCAGCCGTCGTCAGATCACTCGTTCTCGGAGCAGCTTGTTGAGTCAAAACGTGCAGGCAGAACATTGGCCGCCATCATCCTTGGCCTCAACATCAAAGAAGCTACAAACCTCGGAATGGTCGACACTACTCACTTGTCCGAGCGCATATCTGCGTTGCCCGCGCCTATGACTACAAGCGATGATTCGCTTTTCGTGAGCGACGACGAGCACGTCTCTCAACCGTTTAACTTCCAAGCGGCTGGGCCTTTTTCACAAGAAGAGAGCCCACGCGACTCGCCGAGCTCTGCATCTAGCCTTCAGAACGCGTTCGTGGGGTTTTCACAGCCAGAAACTTCGAATCCACCGGCTTTTGCTTTTGCTCCTCATCCGACTCCACAGCCCTCACAGCCTTTTGATACGCAGAAACAGACATTTTCGTCACTTTTTCCACCTAGGAGCACGGCCAATACTTCTGGATCACCTACAAGTGCACCATCAAATCCTTTCGCGAATGCAATGCCGTCATCCACCCTGTCGGAAAGTCCCCCAAAAGAGAGCATTACGGCCTTCACGCCCCCGTCAGCTAATCAGCAGCCTAAGTCTATCTTCGCCTCCGCACCGAGCCCTGTTGCATCACAAAACACAGACAAACCTTCCCTATTTCCTCCTACCACGCCTTTCAGCTTCCCAAATTCTGTTAACTCTAATACGGCCCCGACATCACCATTCAGTACCCCTACAGTTTCTTTCTCCCAAGAGACCGACCAAGCGAACGTACCGGCTGCTGGTCAGCCCACACCTAGTGTCTTCAACACAGTCAAGCCGCCATTCTCGTCAGGGACATCTAACTCTATATTCAGTTTCTCCAACGAAAGCAGAATCTCTGCTGACGTTGTCCCTCAATCTCAAACATCTTCTCAGCCTTTTGGGGCCGCATCACCGCCATTCACGACTGCATCTGCACCGGTGAAACAAGGTACGTCTTATGTGGTGTCATATTGGTCTCCACCCATATCTGACAGCTTCTCAGAGCAATCACGCCTTTTCTTCGCCCCGCCGCCACTTGCGCCATCCGACACCGCGTCCCAAGCTCAACTGGGCAGTCCATCGCTCAAAGAGAAACAATCAATGCCCTCGGATGACAGTATTGCTGTTCATTTCACGAAAGATATCTCGCCTGGACCGTTAGTTGAAAAAGAGCATATATCACTCCCAAGCAATAACATTCCAGTCGAGTCTCTGCACTCATCGACTGCCCAGGAACCGGAGGCAGTGAAGGCTCTTATTGATGGAGAGCGTTCAAGCCAGCCAGTCGGGGCAGAAAAGAAGCACGAGTCTCTACTTATTAAGACGCCTGTTGAGGAACCATCTGAGGAACCATCTCCTGGTCAGCCCCTGGTCTCTTGAGCTCTTTACCCCTATCTTACCGCTAATCAATGTTTCCAGAACTTGACAATAATTCGCGGCGCTCTGCCTGGTTATCCGCTCTGAAAGGAGCTGCTGATAGACGGCGGGAAACCATGTCTAATGGGCGTAAGCGAGTCCACGAGGAGCCAGAAGAACAAACACTTGTTCAGAGCGGACCCAAAGCGCAGAAACTGCCCAAGGCCGAAATGCCCACTCCCCAGAAGAAGTCCATGGCACTTGCTTCTACGAAACCGTTACCAAAGCTTCCAATTCTGGAACGAATCGAATCAATGACCACCAGAAAACCGGTGGAACCCAAACACGAGGCGCCGAAGTCGGTTCAAGTTGACGAAGATGAGCTGCTTTTGTCCGCTGCCCGGATTGCCGCCGAATCATTGAGAAGTGGACCCAAGCTCCTCGATGGGTGGCATGCATCCTACGAGCCCCGAAGCTCTTCCTTCAGCCCCGGGGCTAGTTTATCATCTTCTGTTGCAATGTCTAGAAGCCAGTCCCCCCAGTCATCATCCTACGTCAATGGCTATGAGGTCTCACTAGCCCCAGATACAGATCTCGGACTTGGCCGTACGCTGTCTCGGACAGAGCAACGAATTCGACTGACAGGAGCTAAGGGTCTAGCGTACAAGCCGTTGGATTTCACTCCTGAGAAGAAACGGAGATCTCGCTAGACTGGCAGTGAATTTAAGCTCTGCGCATCTTTATTAGTTCTTTCTCGATCCATGTACAATCTGCTCGATATGCGACATCCATCTCATCTGATTCCATTTCACCATGAAGGGACCTACCGTGATTCTGGCTTTTCAATTAATACTATACCACTGCATTCAGCACCGGCGTTTTGAGGTCCATGTACGCCTTTATTCTGTCTTTTTACTTCGGGCTTGTGGCTGACACGGGAATTCTGTCTGATTCGAAATTATGCATTCAGTGGACATCTATATCTCAGAATCATGTTGAAAACGGCGTTGTATTCTTCACTGCGAGGTGAAATAGAACCAGATTATCTATACCCATACTACTGATCCCTCAGTCTCCGAATCTCATACAAATGTCATAGCACAGTCGCATATTGCTTTTGTACTATTAAGGTGATTAAACATCTATGGGACCTTTGATGGAAGAAGTTCTTCCGTCCGCTATAAATTCCGTTTTAACCTTTGGAATTGTTTCAGTCTGAACACTACGAGTATTTGACATAGTTATGCGGATAGGTTTAGTAATGTCACTCATAGGACTACTAGTATTTCGAGTAGGCTGCTCGTGAAAAGGGGAATATAGGAATCAATTAATCACTAATATCTACTAGCACTGATAGTTTTCTAGGCAAGGATAATGGCAAAATCACTCAATGTACATATACTATTGCCCTCCATTGATGTGCATACAGAAACAGGGACGCATGGCCTTGCTTTTGGGTAACGCATTTGTCGAACCGAACGGATATCTTGAACGTGTGACTGAGATGTAGTTTAGACCAGCATTCACGCCCCTTTTACGGTTTTGTTTGCCTTGGCTTGCATCCGTCGCATGGCTTCGCGATGCAGGTCGCTCATGTCCCCTCGTTGCATGCCCTCGGCAATTGCATTCCCAATATGATTTGAAGAGGGTCGCTGTTGCGACTGAGTATAAGCTGGCGGGTTCCGGTCCTGGGGATCTGTAGGGACCATGGAGCTGCTTTGTTTGCCGAGAGGGTTACGCCTATCTCTAAGGTCCTCTTGAACAGATTCCCGCCATGCTGCCATCGCGGCTGGTGTATTGGTCGGGGAAGGCCCGCTTGCATGGTTCCGCCTTGAAGTTGAATAGGGAGTATGCGCTGGAGGTGGGCTCATGACTGTTTGCTGGGATAACATTGCGCGACGTTGGGACAGCGGCATGTCATCTGCCCCGTCATGGACTCGGTATGAAAACGATCGCTGCAAATTTTCGACTGGCGATTGCCCGGGACTAGTTCGTGAGTACGGATCCATGCTTAGTGAAAATGAAGATAGCCTGTTTCGCATCATGTCCTCTCGTACAGCTATCAGGGGCAGGGGACCTCTCCACTGGGGTTTAGCAGCCTCTGTTTCGTCCTGGGGTGATTCTAGAACCGCAGGACTCCCGAGCAGCGGATTCATATGATATCCATCATTGCTGAAGTGCGGCTGTGCACTTTGAGGAGGAGAGTGGGGCGTCTTCTTCTTGATCAGGTCCATATGAGAACCGCTGGACACACGTCGACTCTCACGTCTGCTTGGAATATCTTGGACACGGGGCTCTACTGCTGGAGGAGGCTGTGCATTGAACGGTGTTTGCAGTAGTTCTTGGACGTTGACAGGTACTGCAGCCTCCTCCGCATCAGGAGAATGCTCTGGTTGCTCTTCTTCGATCGGCTTGATAGGTTCCAACTCAGGAGCTTCAGCGTCGGCCAGGTGTTTTGCCCACTCATTTGTTCGATAGGATTGTACCACTTTAGATGTCCGCTTAGGCAGTTCCCTTACAGTATCTTCGCTCAACTTGGGAGGTTCATGTTTGATCGGCTCCGGCTCAATTCTGGGTTGTGGCTCTGGAGATTTGCGTTTGTCGTGGGAGGCTACCCTCTTGTTTCCATTCCCGCTCTGAGACAACGGCGGCAATGGATTCTCTGCATGAGGTTTCTGATCTTGACTATCGGTGATGTCAGTCTTCTCATGACCTCCGGAGTGGGATTTATCGCGATCGTGATCTTCCAAGTCAGTTGCTGCAGTCTCTGTGTCTCTGGTGGCATCTCCCTGTTGTCTTCCTTCCTCAACAGCTGACTCGCCTAGACATTCACCCTGGGTTGACGAGGGTCCTTCAAGTTTTTCTTCGCCTTGGACCATGTCAGAGTCATGTCCAGAACTTCCATTACTCTGTCGGTTGACCATTGTCAATGACATCTCCGAAGCTGCGGTATGCGATTTTGCGTCGAGGCCCCCTTTGGTCTCATATTTTCCAAGTTTTTCTTCGGTGGCTGCCGTGGGCGGTTCCTCGCTTTCTTTCTGAGTGCTTCTCACACGAAACTTCTTATCTATTGATGACGGTCTGCCTTGGGGCTGGTACTTAGATTCTGCCTGCTGCTGTTCGTTATCGTCGATGTAACGCTTCTCGTCCGACTCTGGAACTTTCTCCGTAACTCCACCGCTATCATCGTGAACAGTAGGGCAATCTGAGTCTAGGTTGCCGCCTTCGTCTACGGTGCCATGCACGGATGAAGTACCATCGTCAACGGACACCAGGGCCTCTTGAGACTGAGACATGGGCAATTCGTCGTTTCGAGAAGTCCGTGGCATGCACGATGGTCCGGAAAGTCGCTTTGAGCGTATCGTAGCAGTATCTGAACCAATGACGGCCGTCATATCAGAACTTTTATCGTCCTTTATTTTGGCTGCAGCTGCGCCGTCAAAGACCTTGATCGGAAGTGGGCCACTTTCCTCCTTCAACTTATCTGATATTTCTTTGGCCGTTCCAGCTGGTCCGTGGTCGAAGTCGCCTTCAGTCGCTCCCGTCACATCTGACCCAGCATCGCTGTTTGCCTCTCTTTCTCTGCAATCGGAACAGCGGTAGGAGCCTTCGGATGTCTCGGCTATGCTTTTCAATTCATAGGCGTCTCCCTTCTCCATAGCATCCATCTCGTCTGCCTGGCATTTTGCGCCATCTGCGAGTTCCGAAACGCCCGCGGCTGGCTCAGCACCACCATATCTCGCTTCCCACTCTTTCCGCTCTTGCATATTATCCTCTTCCAGCTTTCGTCCAAGTTCGGCCTCGGCTTGTTCCTTCTTCTTCTGCTCTTCGTCGCGCTTCTCTTTCTCCTTCCGTCGACGTTCACGAACCACTTTCCATAGCCTCAGTTGTGAGACTACGCCCAAGATAGCAATGATAACTGTAGCAGCAAGCTCCACACGAATATTACGGGTGATTGGGTATGTATTCGTGTTTAATGGGAAGATATTGTCGTTCAGGCCTAGAACGGGTGTCAGATGCTATGTCTTCATTCGTGGTCGATATTAGACAGACTTACCCCATATGTAGAGCCAAAACTCTTTCAACCCTGCCCGACTAAAACAATCGATTCCAAGCGCAACAGCGGTGCCTCCAGAAATACCCGTTGACACGATCAGTCCGTAAGGACGTGTATGATGGCTGAATGACAAGGCATAGAAGGCAACTGAGATTGCGCCAATGAACCCACTCTTGGAATCAGTGGTGGTGAGAAGACCCCCCGGTTTCAAAGAAAGCAGCCACATGCTACTGCAAAAGCCCCCAAGTAGGCATCCAAGGCCTTCGGTCAACTCTTTAAAAACAATCGCAAGCGCGCCGAATGTAATGCCAGTGAAAAATACAGCAACAAGATACGCCCCCTGGACAGCAACTCGGACAGGAGGGCTCATCACATGGACAATAAGTACCTACAGGAGAGGATTGTTAGACAGCTGGCTTATCAAGGTTGGTGAGCAAACCTACCGTCACCCCAAGGCTAGTCAGAAAAGCTGTGGATAGGAAGACTTGTACCCTACACTACACGTAAGCCCACGGAACCGAAGCCCATGCATTATAGAGAACTAACCTCAGATTCCGAATGCCTATCACTGCGAGGACAGCGCCTGCGACGATGAGAATGAAACCTCCGATTCCCAGAGCAGGTGTAACTGTGGGCTGGATAGGAAGGGCATCGGGGCTGGTTGAGTTCTTGCCATCTTTCGATTAGGTCAGTATCAAAGAGGAACAAATGGATTTGGCAGGTTCTCTTGCCTTTCGATGCCTGAGACGTATTCAAGGATGCTGTAGTTGTGGATGCCGGGAGGGTTGCATTCGAAGACGCCGTGGAATTGCTGTGTGTTATCGCCGATTCTGTCACGCTTGGTGATGCTGTGTCACTGAAGGTTTCACTGGCAGTTGCCGTGCTCGGAGTGGCCTCTCTTTCTCGAAGGTTGTTAAGCTCATGGCGTCCGGGAACTGAGGTTTGTGCGGTGACAAACAATCCAGGCGCAAGGAATGCGGCCAGAGCAAACACGAGCAACAATCGCATGGCGAATTTAGACCGATGACGAATCGCACAAGCTTATCAGTGTTACCGACAGGCTGGTTCCTGACTAAACGATGTCTGTGCCTCCGTACAATAGCAGTGGAATTCAGAATGCTGCATGTGGTGTTCTCGACGGCCACTTTTCACATAACTCCCATGCAGGCTGCAGACAATGGTAAGAGTAGGCCTGTCTTCTCACGATCAAGTCTCGAGGTAGGCAAAGGGATTGTGACAAGCGTGGCGTGAGTATTTCAAATGGATTGCTCAACAACACAGTGATCTCATCTCTACCACCTATACGTAGCCATGAGGGAGAGCAAAACGGGAGGGAAATGGTGGGCAAAGGAGAATAGGAAAAAGGAAGCAAAGTAGGGGAGCAAAAGGAATAAAAAGTCCCCAGCTTCACATCGGAGGTGATCTGAAAATGACCGCTTTTCTTTTTCTTTTCCTTCTTTTTTAGTCTTGAAACCTAACCATTCCAGTCCGATAGCCACGGTCTGCTTCATCGGCAATTCAAGGAGAATAACGATGGTAGCAGTAGACTACCTGCACGAAAGATGCGGGCTGATCCACTCCCTGTCTCCAAAAAAAGCAATATCCTTCGCATGGTTGTGCATGTTAGATGGAATTATTTGGCAAGGATCCGCCCCCTGCCATTCATTGGCATTGGAGTTGTCGAGTAAGCATGGGGTATCTACTCCATGCAATGTGATTAGACATCAGCCATCATCCTTTATAAAGAGCAGTGAATTGGACAGGAATTCTTGTCGCGCCAAATTCGAACACATCCATCTACTTAATCGGTCCAAATCTGTGAACCTCTCATATGAAGGCAGTGAGAAAATGGCCACTTGTACTTCGCAGGCCAAGATTTCATCAGATGTCGGCAAGCCTCGGGAACCTGGGAGAAAGAGCATAGGAGCGAATGCAGGCGTGCGACGGCCGGGGCTTCATTAGGACGGCTGAACGCGTTGGCCTACTTGGTCACGGAAGGGCGATGACATATTGAGAGTAGGAGAAGATTGGCTCTAGCCCTGCCTTGTCGCGGTCTATGGTCCGGATTAAGATTTTCAATAGAGCGCAGGCTACGGAGTAACTTGGTTTGCAACGATCCAGGGACGCGACGACCGATCGTCGCGATTTGGCGATCAGAACTAGCACTACTAGCCGCCCATAGTTAGGCTGTTCGTGTGATCGGCTGCAGGTCAAGACACATCTAATTTCAATCGCGGAGTTTTCAGCCTATCGTGCTCCCGGCTCGGAGGACAATGCTCATTGGGGTTTCTGACAAAGACAACGCCGTGCTCCCAATGGACCGTGCTGCTAGCCTAATATCCGACATGGCCTGACTCCCCAGGGGTTCTCCGTGACTATTGACGAAGTAGTCCGGGCCAAGCGGAATCCTTGATCCTAGGAGGTATACTGTAGTTTATATGCGAGCGAAAATTCGGGCCATGGCTAAAATAAGCTGCATTAAACCTTTAGCGTCCGGGAAGCAAAGTATGTGTGAACAAGGGCTCCCGTCGAGATCGAGCGGTGTCGAGCAGTGCGCCGTTTGTGGTAGAACCATCCGACGGAAACTTTGATGGCTAGTTCATTTCTATCCAATGCCTGCCAGCACATGCCAATAAAGAATGCACGGTAGGTGCGGTGAGCAGAGTTTCAGAGGCAAGTGAAAGTCTTAAAAGGCATGCACTCTTGACGGCCAAACCTTAGCATTGGTGCCTTGCTGCTTCCCCAATGGATTCACAATATGACATCTCACAGGCTACACTGCTGCATTGGAGCCAACTGCCTCGTACTTGAGCGGTTGACTCGCTTAATGTTCCCAGGGTTCAAAGTTTATGATTGATAAATGCATGCACCTGCAACACACAAAGCATCACCTGAAGTTATTTTTCTTTCTATGCTTCCCAAAAGCAAGTTTGGATAGATAGCAGCTCATAGACTGGTGATTTTGGGAAAGCTGTCTGCATGGATATGAGGAGCACATTGATCAAGGGGGAGGAAAAGGGAAGGACAGCAGGCCTACCATCAAGGATCTTGTGCACGATTGGAGTAGATGAGGTATAAGCGGATATTGTATCACGTGATATATCGGTGACGCCGCGGGAGAGAAGCTCTCAACTCTACTCGGGAAAACAGGTCATATCCTCGCTATAGCTAGCATTCCTGTCACTGCACATCCTGCTACCCTTTTTCTTTCTTTTCTTCTAGAATCCAAATCTTCTCCCATTATCTCAACATGTCTGCCATTGCCTCAGCGCTGCGCCCTACCCTCCGCGCCTCCTCCGGCGCCGCCCTGTCCACGCGTTCCTTCAGCTCTTCCTCATCCCGTTCCATTGCTCGTATCATGATTACGGGTCGTCTGGCTGGCCAACCCGAGGTGCAGGCCACCGCTTCTGGCCAAGAAGTCATCAGATACACCGTGGCCTCTAACCAGAACTCGAAGGATAAGCGCCCGCCGAGCTTCTTCAAGGTGTCGGCCTTCAGTGAGGGAAACCAGCGCGAATTCATCACCAACTTGCAGACGGGGTAAGTCTTCCTGCCCGTTAACTTTAATCTTTCCTTCGAACTGCAGACATGCGTGTTTGCTGTTTCATTTGTCTCCTCTGAATGCGGCGTTTAATTCACATCCTCTTCGGGTCTCACTATCCAATCCGCTAACTTTCTTTTCTTGTCACCAGTACTCTTGTGTTTGTCGAGGGAGACGCAACCATGCGCCAGTGGGAGAACGCAGAGGGCAAGAAGCAGACGGCCCTGAACATCACCCAGCGTACGTTATCGTCCACATCCGCCCCTTAAATCATGTGAAAACAAACTACATACTCCCTTATACTGTATTGCGGAAGTACTAATATGTCCTACTTATAATCCGCAGGCGCTCTTGAGGTCCTCAAGCGTCCATACAACCCTGAAGCCTTCTCTGAGGAGCAGCAGCAGGAGTAGGAGAGAACAAGCTAAGATCGGATAATACGGTAAGAGTGGCACTTATCAATAATACCGGGTGGCAGGATGATGTAGTTGTCTTGAAGTCAGACATTCCCTCTCCTCGCCATATTTCTTGCTGGCCTCAGGTGTCCAATGCCGACTTTCCCAATTGTCGGTGAATTCGGGCACCACGGCGAGCTGCCATCAGAAACTCTTTCCATTTGGGTTCATCTCCTTGGCCATATGTATCATGTCTAACAGTCCTCGTGTAAAGTATTCTCTTTCTCATATGATGCGCTTCTATCTCTCGGCATGACCTGCGCGTATGCCATTCGTGTTGCTATAAATAGTATGATCTGACTGGTCTACTCCTTACTACTTAGGTGCTGTTACCTACTACAGCTTGCTATCTGCTGCACCGATGCATGTAGTTGACGCGTACGATCCGCTCGGGCAATGCTGTGTCGCGAAAACGCCGTAGATGGATTAAATAAATGATATCAGAAGGCAGGTAATCGGAGACTTACTACACGTTCTACGCGTCTAGCACGTTGAGCTGTCTAGTAGTACCAATTTGAAATACATTGATCGTCGGCTATACTCTGGAATTTGTGATCAACATAAGCAGTTCCACTAGCTGACGTGAACTAGGCAAACTCTTGGATAAGTTTCATGCCTATGAATAACAGTTTGTCGAGGCAGGGTGATACGAGATCATACAGTAGAAGTTCTTCAGTACCAAGGAGGGTCAGTCGTAAACAAGACACTATAGCTCCTCGTCTCGTGCGTGACCTATCAATGCTTGAGAGGAAGATTTCTCCCCATTGTTAAACGTGAAGTTCGCTCTCCTGTCTGATTACCTGCTTTACCCGGATATGATCCTCCGAAAGTGGCGCGGCTCCATGGTCACTGCTTCCACGGCTCTGACTCACTCCAGCCCAGGCATTGGTACGAATCGTGGTTGTTTGCTCAGGAATATGGCGCAGAGGAACCGCTGTTTCCTCTCCGGAGGAAGGCCGACTTCGTAGCATCCAAAGCAGTCTGAACCGCGACATCCACTGTGATTGCTTGGCTCCAGACACTGCACCCATTTCAAGGTCATGGTAGCCACGAGCAGCTCGGATTGCGTCGGCGGAATTGTTGGAGGATGTTCTAGGATAGCTTAAGCGTTATGCGCGGGCAGCGCGTTTGGAAGGGATAAGGGCTTCCTTACCTTGCGGTGGTTGTCCATCGTCTGTTGAATAGAAGAAGCTTTGCCCGACTACTCAGGGATCCTGACGCAGAGGAACTGTTTGCTGAGGATGACTTAAGGGATGTAAAGCAGTTGCCAAATCCTAGAAAAATCGAGATCGCGCGGTACATAACGAGAGCATCTCTCCCACTACCGAAGAAGATAAAGAACATATATCCCGAAGCCACCGGGATCCAACGGTCGTAGAAAACACGGCCCTCCACAGGGACTTTGATCACCTCGTTCCAGTTAGGTGGGTGAGCGACACTCCACGAGTATGAATGCCATGGCTGAGTGACCATAATGTTCGATGCAACGACATAGGTTTGAACTGGAATAATAGCCCACAGCATAATAAAGGCGATGAGGAACAGCCGCATGAATCGCGACTTGGTCAAGTTACTATTGGCTGATTGAAGAATGCTCCCGAACTGGCTTCGGTACTTGGTAAGGCGATGTAACACGATGACTAGCGAGAGGTTAGCCTTCACTACAAGAAAAGCGAGATACCAGACGCCAGTGGACGAACCGCAGTAGTATCCAGCAATCAAACAGATGATTAGTGGCCAGATCCACGCTAGCACGAGAGTCACCCAGCTCCGGTCATAGTTATTGAGGCAACCAGCAATAGCATACAAAATGTACCTGTTTGCCTGATAGACGTAGTGCGTAAGCATCGCAATAACCGGGGCGATTACACAGAATGATAGGACCATGGTGTGATTCCACCAACGTTGCGATTGAGTTGGAACGAGGTTTGCGCGACTCGTATCCAAAACCTGTGCCAAGTTGCGAAAAATGCAAACCAAGGTCCCAGGGATAGCAACGTAGCTGGCAATCATGATCTTAACCTCAATATCACAGAGTCCGTTGCCATCCCACCACAAATCAAGGTCGTCCGTCGGCCAGATCAGTGCGTTGACTATATTGAAGATGTTGAGTAGGAGATACCACAAAATTAGACTGCTTGCAGCAAAGTTTCGGTTTTTCCAGTGCAGGACTAGAGGAATGATACTGAGGAGGACGGAGACGAATGCAAGCACCGGAAGGAGTATCGCCTGCGAGGAGACCGGTGTCTCTGGCAAGGCCATTCTGAGTCTTCGGTATCGAATATACGTCTGTTGATCAAAAAAGCATATGAGCCTGATACTTGATGAAATTTAGAATCATCCGCCTTGTTGATTGATTCTTCTCCCGTTGCGATAGCCGGATCTCAAGATGAAAGAGATGTCTGAACAACGACGACTGGTAGGTATGATCCAATGCCAAAGGAGAAATGCCATCCTGAAATACCAGGTGGCAGAGCACAAGCCAGACAAAGTGACCGACACATGAGCAACAGCGACCTTCTTATTGAGAATAAAAACTCTGAATAGACAGAGTTAATGCGAGACAAGCTTAGCATGCTGGTGGGGTCTAATTGAGACACCCCTCGCAAGAGATGAGGCGGCACAGTATAAGCAAATCCTGGAAAGGACCGAGGTGTTGTGATATGTCGTGTCCATTTTGGAAGACACCCCGACGGGTTCCAGCAGGACAGACCAGGGGAGTTGTCCAGTCAAGGGATCTTGGAGTGAGAATTACCCTGTCGATGTACGTATACCAGAGACTGGCCCCAATAGACCAGAACACAGCTCTCTGAATAAGGGTCGAGAGTGAAGAAAACCGCGATGCAACGGGGGTGGGTGGAGGTGCAGTGAACAGGAAGCCTCCGGCCATTCCCCTTTTGGGTATCAAAGGACTCAGCGCCATCCTGGCCACCTCCTTCCTGCGCTGCCTCTTGTTCCACACACACGCGCACACTTACACTTCCTCCTGTCTGACCAACACGGGGAATCATTTGCGGGAGCCAGCAAGAGTGGTAGCGCCACTGTCTGCTCTTCTCCCTCTCTCGTTTATTATGACCTTTGCTGGAAGATATAAGAAGAAGTAGGTGCTTCTGACGGCGTTCAAGGCTCATCATGAAAGGCGTTGTATGTCTGACACTTCAATCATGACGGTTAGGAGAGCGATTCGATGAGACCCATATGAACATAAAGACTAGGCTCTCATCGGCCCCAGAACACATCTGCCAAGAATTGGGATTTTAAACGGGTGTTACCAGCGCGCAAGACTCTACTGGCATGAGCCTGGAGGAAAGGGACCGACATTGCCCTCAGCTAGCCTCCCAGGGCCTGTGCAGAAATGTTTAATCTGCCAGCCTAGCCTCCGGTCCTTTGAACAAAAAGATCATCCTAAGGTTCAATTCGATCCACGTGCTCTCGGTACGGGGGTGTTCATTTGCAAAGGGGCAGCAACAGGCACCTGCAGCAGGCTTGGTCGGCAACCGGCGACCACATTGTCAGGCGTGGGTCCCTTGTCGTCACTCGTCACGGCTCCGGTTACTTTCTCCGCACGGCCTGGCCATTAAGCAGGGAAATATAGCGCCCGAGGGATCGTCATTGGGGTTCCGGCTGCGGATCGCCCCCGCGGACCCGGCTTGCGTTGCTGTGAGTGTAGTAGCTGAGCAAGGGAGATCTGCGCATCGCACAGGGTAAATCACCCGTGGTTCTCTCACACACGCTCACTTACTCTTTCATTCTCTCACCCCTCTCTCTTCCTCTCTTATTCTTCCTCTTTCAACTATCTCCCCTCATTTCACCTTCCACTGTCCGGAGCCTTCATGAGCATGAGCGACTCGTGAAAGGGCTGGATCACGTCAGGCGCTTGTTGTGTCATGCCAGAGCTTGCTCATCCCTCCCTAGCTCCCCTCGACGACCACAGCCCCCGCGTCCATCCCCGCGAGTCCATGACGCTCCGTCACCGCGGTGCAGGCCGATCTGCAACCTTTGCAGAGGGTACAGCCAACCCGCGAAACCAACGTCGCAATTCTACCTTGTCCGACACAGTATCTGAGGCCCGGAACTCGATTCGGTCATCCACGGACGACTTACTTTTCCCACGTGCGGCCAAGAGAAGTGACGTGAACCTGACAAATGAAGAATCACATTGGCATTCAGCACCCTTGGGCCTCGCTTTGTTGCCTGCGGTTGCCGGAATATTTTTCCAGAACGGAAGTGCTGTGGTCACCGACGTCACCCTTCTTATTCTCGCAGCCGTCTTTTTGAATTGGTCCGTTCGATTGCCGTGGTAAGGGCACGCGCTCCCTTTCCCCATATGTTACCTACTAAGCCATATTCAATCTAGGGATTGGTATCGCTCCGCACAAGCTATCCGCCATACAGATAGGTTCTTTGGCGCCACGGATCCGCCATTCCAATCAGAAGCCGACGGTCATCCATCCTCACAGGGACACGAAGGAGATGCAATTGAGAGTGATGACCAGAAACTACATGACAATGCTGCGGCGGCGGCAGCAGCAGCAGCCAGTAGGGAACTACAGATTCACGAAATCATAGCTCTTGTGTCTTGCTTCGTATTCCCAGTAATTGGGACATGGATTCTACACACCATCAGATCCAAGTTGTCGCGCCCTTCGGAAGGACTCGTGTCCAATTACAACCTGACTATATTCCTGCTGGCGTCGGAGATCCGGCCGTTCTCCCATCTCCTAAGAATGGTGCAGGCGCGAACGCTCCATCTCCAGCGAGTTGTCACATTGTCGTCAGAAGATGAATCAGACAGAATAGATGTGCATGATATTGCGAAGCGGCTCGAGGAGCTCGAAGCCCACGTCGCGGAGACTGCTGCAGCACGTCTGTCAGCCAGTACCCTGGATCAGGCCCAGTCACATGCACAAGATCTGGAGACAATTCAATCGGCAATCACGCAAACGGCTGCAGAAGTACGAAAGACCTTCCAGGCAGACATTGATGCTCTGAATCGGGCCGTACGAAGGTACGAGAAACGGACCGCCGTTTCTGCCTACCAAACGGATTCTCGTCTCCAAGCCCTGGAAACCCAGATGCACGATGCCTTCTCCTTAGCAACAACAGCCCATCGAACAAGCATGCAACGGCCACAAGGGGTTTTTCTCATGGTATTCAGTGGGATTTACGCTGCCTTTTCACTGCCAGTGCAGGCATTCATGTCCGTTGTCTGTCTGCCATTGCACATGTCGAAAAGCTGTTTGCGTTATATCAGGAGTATGCTGTTCTCAAAATCTTCTTCAGTACCTCAAACCACAAAGGATAAAGCATCACACAGTAAATCACGATTGGCGAAGAGGCCGGCACGGCCAACCTCGAAAGAAGAACCAACAGATTCCCGGGCCCTTGGTCAAATCAAAGAAAACCATTAGTCTTTTGCAACCAGCGTTCAACCGGTCATAACCATATACCTAGATTATAGAAGACGGACTATGGATCCTGCTTGGCGCTATTTTCTGTTTCCTTGGGTTTGCTCTTTTCGGAACCATAAGTCCCAACTACATCTGAATTCAATTCAAAGATGAGAATTGTTGGTTGCAATGAAGTTATAGTAGTAAATCGATATAGCTACTGTTCATTCAGTCAATGGCAATTCGAGCGCTGTTCTAGGTTGATTGTCTCCTAATTCTTCAACCACGTCTGCTTGGTCCGACACTAAATACTACGTACTAGCGATATCAGATAGTGCCTACATCATGTCGTCTGATGGTGCCGAAATTTCCATTGCGGCCATCACCATGCTAAACCCCGTAGCCAGTCCTTCAGGCAGGACATGTGTATCATTACTAGTACTACCACTCGGTACCATCTGCGAATCTTTGCTTCAGCTATTACCACCCGCCGAAGTGACGGTAAGATTACAACTGTCAGCGCAACTGTACTATAAATAACAACAGACTAACCCATCCACAAGCAGAGAGAGGTCCGATAGGAAGAGGAAACTCTATAAAGATACATATGTAGTTACGAGTAATAACACGCAAATAAGCATTCATGATTGGCTTATCCTTTCCTCTCCTCTCCTAGGAAACACCCCCTGAGGGTCCCTTATTATCAACTCCAATAGTCTTTAAAAAGGGTTAATGATACTCCGTTTCCTTTCCTCTAACGCACGCCGATCTTTCTCCTTTGACGGTGCAGCAATGTCTGATGATATGAGAACTGTTGAGAAGATGGATGCAAGAGCAGTTTCCACGGCCTGACGACGAATGGCCATTGGACTAGGACTAGGATTAAGCGAGGGTTGTTCGGTTGTTATGCTTGAAATCGAGGAAGTGAAGGTACGTGTTTTGCGGCGGATAAAGGCGGCAGGGGCAGGGCCAGGCTGGGATGCATCTTCCGGTGGGTTCTGGGTGGCTGTATTTGGCTGTGATTCGTTGCCAGACGATGAGGATAAGACGTTTGGTGAGGGGCCGCGGTTGTTGGCGTTGGTGTTGTTGGGAATGGAGGATGCAGGGGCAACTTCGTTCGCAATGCGGGCTAACATGAACGTGACGAAGGTGAAGGAGACGCTGTGGACGGGGGAAAAGGCGAGGCTTTCGAGCACCCAGGCCTGGGAGTCTTCCCAAGATAGTGGGGGTTGTTTGGTTTTTTCGCGAGTGAGAATTTGTTGATCGAGGTTTTGCCAGACGGCGGCAGTGACGATACCGTCCTTCAGGGATCCGAGGAATGCGAGAAGCGTTTCGCTGAGGATTTCGAGACGCTGGAGTGAAGTTACCTCTGGGGCGAAAACAGAGTTGAAATCCTTGTTGGTGTCGAGCGCTTCGCGAGCACAGGATAAGAGATGGGAACGTTCAACTTGATCGCGCAGAGTCCAGGCCTCAGGCTCAAAGGGCCATCCGAATCCAGCGGGCTCTCTCATCCATGGTGGTGTATCTTCTTCCGCCTCACTTCTTGTCATGCTCCACTCGGCAATGGCACGTTCTGATATCTCGGATATGGCCTCCGTCAATCGAAAAAGCTCCCGAGGAGCCGACAAAGGCATGCCCGGGGTATTGTTTTGGTCTCGGGGTGCCTTGGCTGGAACTAGGCTGCGTGCGCCCGTTTCAGGCATGACAGTTAGCTCCTCTAATGAGCGGCCGAAACAGGTGGGCAGCCATTTGCCATGAACGGAGATGAAGTGATCTCGGCCGTGCGCCACTCGAAGGACGAGGATTTCCTCTAGACTCAATTTTCCGTCATTTACTAAACGAGCCAGTTCAATATCTCGGACGCATGCTGTGACCTCAATGTTGGCAATCTCCCCGGGATGCAGGGTACACTCGTGCGACGGCAGCTTCTGCTTTGAGCCGGAGTCTGAGTCAGACAGATGTGGTTGGTCAATACGGTAATCCAGCCAGGATGGTGTGCGATTAGAGACATCTTGCTCCGGCTTTTCTAGGGTAAACGTCGCAGGCACGCCGCTGGTGTTGGCGACCGTCAGTGACCGGGTGACAGGCACATCGAAAGGTATGTCACCAAAGTTCACGGCATTGGGGTCTTCACTTGTAGGTTGACTGCCGTGGTGGTCCACCACAACGGTGAGCCCAGGCCGAGACTCGTTTTCCACCTTATCCAGCTCCCGAACCACCTCCTGGTGTACCTTGGCTTTCAACTGCGGATCCACCGAGTCGTACGTCAACGTAAATGCTGCGGCCAAGGGTTTATGATCCGAGGAGAGGATGCCTTGATGCGATACATAGTACTCAAGCTGCAGTGAGTTATCCGCATCGTCGTCCACATCTAACGAGCCGTCACCGTTGGAATCCTTATCTGGATCGTATTCCTCCACACTGTCCGCTCCGTCGACATCGGGATCATAATCAAACAACACGCTATCGTCCGCAACTGCCTTGTCCAAGCCCCGGGCTTTCATCTCTTCGTCGCGTTTTCTTGCTTCCGCAGCTTCTTTGGCCAGTCTTTCGTATCGCATTCTGTCCTGGCGAGTCCGATACAGTATCCGGTCACACCAACTGGGACCTCGGTTCTTCTCGCTTGAATCAAACCTAGCAACGCTTCCCACGTCATACTTATACGTAGGCAGGAAAGTGATCGGGCCCTCTCGCCAACCGTCATGGAAAGCTTTTCGCTTATCTTGTTGCATCCGAAGCTGGTCATGGGGCAGTAGTGACGATATGGTGGTTTGCAGAGACGCTGGATCGGTGTGAGGATCCACATCCTCGTCCGAAACAGCTGGAAGTGGGCTGCCTGTATCCTCCTGCTTCTGGCTTGCTTCGGACGTGGCCTCCAGTTGTGTAGTGCTGTCCTTAGGTTCAGTCTGGAATTGATGCCTATCGTCGTAGTCATTCGCTGTATGCCGGGCTAGGACTCGTCGCACGTCATCACCTGGGATATCCTCCAGGCGATAATTGAGATCCCCAAACCAAAATGCAAAGTCCTCTTTGCCTATGCTCTCGGTGAGTTCTTCTCGAAGTGCTACGTTTGGGTCGATGGGCTCGAACTTCGTCCGACCGACAATTTGTGAAGCATCCCAATTCCGTCGTTCTAGACTATTCTTGTCGGATCCAGCCGCCAGGTGACAGTTCACGAAGACCAGACATGTCGTTTCACCAAGCATTAATCGAGTTGTAACAGCACCCTTGTTGCCCATATACCCCAAGAGGCCCGTGCCCACACTGGCGCAGCTAACAAACGACACATGGTCGGCGAGAGAAGGTGCCGCATATACTAACTGAAGCAAGCCCACCAACTGAGTCTCCGCAATAAGCTTATATCCCTCTGGCAGGGCTTTCTGAACTGCTGCTTTCCACCGATTCGACGGTGCTGGGTCAACATACGGCCTCAAGGCCTCCGCAGGCGACGAAACATCCACGATCTCCTGTAACCCCAGGACGTAAAGGCCAATCTTGTCCGGCGCAAATTCAGGTAGGCTTTCCCCGTTTCCAGACTCATTATTTTTCACACTAGCTTGCTCTTGCGAGTCGGAGACCCGGAGTCCGGATATCTGCTCACATACGCCTTCCCGCTGTACGAACCATTTCCCAATATCATTCTCGGTACCTGGAATGGCAGCGACATTCCATGTGCCGACCTTCACGCGAATCGACTGTTGATGGGTATATTCAGCCTTCCTTGCCTTTACAGCCTGTGGGAGCGACGAGGGATCGACCGATGGATCCGGAGAAGGGTCGTTGCTACTGGAGGAGTCGCTCGAGGAAGAAGACTGCGATGCGAGCTGCGCTGAGCCCGAAGCCATAGTGGGGAGGTCGCTGACAGTAACACGCCGAGCGAGCCCAGAAAAGGGATCTCGACGTTATATTATATTGAATATATCCCTGGGTGCGAATAGACTTATGGGGTGGGAAAACCGACGGTTAAGAATTCACGTGGAGAGGCAGTCAAACGGTGCAGAAGGTAGAGGATAGTATATTTCACGCAGTTGGCTAACTTCCACACGGAACGGAGGTATCGCAATGGCCCGAGTTGGAGGTACTGAATATCCTGCTATCCCAGAAGCCGATCGGATGTAACGGAGGGAGGTGATGATGCACGCAAAGGCCCCGAAGGAGGATACTATGACGCCGGGACTGATGAGGCTAAGCGCAGGGCGACTGGTTGGGAAAAAACTGCCGCGGGATATGTACAATAGGAGTCGACCGGTCAATTGGAATGGTAAAGAGAGGGAATAGTAGCAGAGGGAGTGGTGATGGAAGTGATGATGAGGACAGTCCAGTCCTTTGGCACGGCGAGTCCAGACCACGCGGGGGTCCCGACCGCTTCCCGAACAGAGAGCACCAGCTGTGCTTCGACGTCTGCTGCATTCTTCCCTCTGTCCCCTCCTGCTTGGCTATCGCTCCAGCTTTTCTTCTTCCTCTCCCTCACTGTCCCTTTTCTATCTTTTCCTAATCTTTACCCTCTTTCTCTCTCAGAGTTTAGATATCCTGCATGATGACAGGCCGCAAGCCCCGCCGACAGAACAACAATAACAACAATAACAACCACACCCACCGTCGTCATCCCAGCCAAGGCGTCCCCCAACCCTCCGACTACGACTCCGACTTTCACAATTACCTTTCTGATACCCAGCAACTTCAGGATCACCAAGAACCTTCCATGCCTCCACCGCTCCGCTCCAACGAGGAGCTCAACCTCTCTGTCCTGCGCCGCCATAACCCCTCCATCACCAACATTCTCTCACTCGCCCAATACGCCGTCGTCTACATCTTTAGCCCAAGCTCACGACAATGGGAAAAGAACGGCATTGAAGGCTCCTTGTTTGTCTGCCAACTCACTCAAGGCGCCCTAGGCGAGGAACGATACAGTGTCTTTGTCCTCAACCGACGAGGTCTGAATAACTTCGATCTCTTCCTCACTGACGGCGAGAACGTCGAAATCACCGAAGAATACATCATCCTGAAATCAGACTACACCCCAGAGGCGGAAGGAGCCAACAACAGCAATGGTATCAATGGTGCTAACGGATCCACCAAGCCGGGTGCGAACGACGGCACCAATGTCCGCATCTACGGTCTCTGGATCTACTCGGAGCCTCCGCCTAACTCAACCGCGGAGACGCGCACCATCAACGCCCAAATGATTCGTGAATGCGCAACCCACGCCGGACAGAGTATGAAGCTTGCGCGCGAACGATTGGAAGCAGCGCAGCAAAACGGTCTGCATGTCGCCGCTGCTGTGGCGTCGGCGACCGCGCCTCCGCTGGAAGAGGTGCAGTCAAGTGTACCGATGGGTCGGCAGATCTCGCTTAAGGATCTCTTTGGACAACAGCGGACGCAGGATGATGAGTGGAGTGTCCGGGCGCATCAGTTTGGGCCCAGCGACTGGCAGCAGCCACCGCCGGCTGTGGCAATGCCTGGCGTAGGAGCAAATCCGAATCCTCCGCAGCAGGATGTTCTTGGGGATTTGTTCCGGAGGGCTGGACTAGCGTATCAGGGGGGTCAATAGCGCGACGCCACTTGCCGTTGTCTTTTTTACGCCATCCAGATGTTAGACACGTTAGATACCCATAATCATAATCCTTCGCTTGGCAGTATGTTAACAAAATATGTATCCGTAGATTACTAGTTCTAAGTTCCACAAACCCTCTAAATGATCTACACTATTTCCCCAGTACCAACATATAGACCAAGCTACCTTCAATCGGCGATGATATCCATGACCATCCCAGCGGCCTTACTCGCCGTGACTTCGCTATGACCTATATGCATTTGTCCAGATTAGCTCCCAACCGACCCCCAAGCCGAACCGCAAGTAGAGAAAAGGAAGAAGAAATAAGTAATCGGGGAGAATACTCACGCAAACAGAATGCATGCGGTAGCCCATCCTCACAGACCACCATGGTCGGAGTCTTCCCTCCCTTTCCCCTGGCCATACTCTTGGCCTCGATAATCTCCTCCCTCGTCTTCTCCGCAACCCAATGATCATTCCGTCCAAAATAGAAGAACATCCGGGCTGGAAGAGAAGCTGCAGTAGTCGACAAGTCATTCCCCTCACCATCCCTATTTCTGGAGGAAGAAGAGGAAGAGGAAGCTATTCCCCAAACATCATCGCTCCACTTATCGGTTGTAATGATGCGCATTTCATCAGCAGCCATGTGCCTTTTCACCTAAGCGTTAACATATATGATCTTCTGTTGATTGCCTTTTTTGGGAGGGGAAAGGGTAGCAGGGGGTAAGGAGAACTAACAAGGCCTGTCTGACGCCCCTCTTACTCTTCAGGAAGGCGCAGGTGGTATCAATAGCCTGCGATGGCGGATCGGCCATGAACAGTTTGATTAATGTACGGAGGGCGAAGTCAGGTAGGAGGGTGGTGAGGATACGGGCGAAGACGGAGACTACTAATGCGAGGGGGGGGATGATTGATAATAGGGTCTATGTTTTTGTTTTTGAGCATCAATCCATTATTCAAGGGAAAGTTGTCGCCTTGCGAAACGGGGGGAAGACGTACAGTCAACTTCTTTCCCGAGGGGGAACTGGCAATATCCATTACAGTCGGGAAGAGCATCACTCCACCGATGATGTCGAAGCCACCAGTATTGGAGTGGTCAGACGTTGAGCGTTCGCGATGTCGCCGGATCACTTCCATGGCGATATAAGTGCCCACAGAATGGCCCATGAGGATGACACGGGGCCGAACATTAGTAGTCGGAGATGGTTGCGTAGTGGCTTGCACGAAGGAGTCGAGCTTGCGCTGGATGAACCGGATCTGATCTTCCACATTGTGGTAATGCGTGGGAAGGGGAGAGTGTACTTCGAAGCCAGCTAGGCTGTGGCCGTAGATGTGAAATTGATGATCTTTCTTCTGTTTGCTGCTGAGGGATTGGAGTTTGGCGGAGAGGTAGGTGAAGAAGGGGTAATAGTAAGAGATGAGACCTGGGTTTCCGGATATAAAATAGACTATGACTGGAGTTGCGGGTGAATTGGAGGATACTGGTCGTGGCGGCGAGGTTGTGTGGAAGAAGCTGTCCGAGGTGACATGGGGTTGCAGTGAAGGGGCCATGGCCTGCATGCACGATGGCAGAGCGTAGCCTACTTACGATTAGGGGAGGATAGATGTACGTACGGAATGGTAGATATTGAGTTGGCCGATCCAGGGTGAAAGAAAAGAGAGTTTCCCGGGATAAAGCACCCGGTGGATTCGGGACCCGCATGCCGATCGTTTGTTCTATCCATGACGCACGGACAGTAGCGTTAGCCTACAGGTGCTCGGCTATCTACATAGTACAGCTGCTGGGACTGGTCAGGGCGATTTGTTGTGCATCGAAGAAGTCGGGTCAGATTAGACTGCGGCAACACAGGTATGTGCAAGTTGGCCCTTCCTCGAGGACGCAATTCAAGTGTCCTCCAGCTGGACTCCGCTCCTAACCACCAGTGTGACTAACCGATGGAGACAACGAACAGTGTGCTCGCACCATCTCAAGATCATAAATCATCCCGAATGCCAAGCTCAACTGATCACTAGCACGCGCGAAATAACAGTGTCCATGTAAAACGAATTCCCTGGTGGCCCTTTGATGGTACGGTGAAAGCGCCCCCATCATATGCGTAAGAAGAACCGCAACAGCACCGGAAACTCCGGGACAAGCGAGCAGTACAAGAAAGGAGGAAAGAAGTGGCAGATAATGCGAGTAGATGTACATCGTGCCCACGAGATAACTGGGCAAAGGTATAAGCGGAACAAAAAGAAGATCTCGCCGCAGAGCTGAGTCCGTAATACATGATATCTAAAAGGAAAGATGAGAGAGCAAGGATGCAAAAGGAACAGCACAATGATACCGATCGTACATCAAAATACGTCCGGCTCACAAGGGCAGGAAAAAAGTATAAAATAGAAAAATAAAACAACATCACTTCATCTGGTATCTAGGAGGCTGTCGTAAAAAACAAGCAGGGAAAGATCCTGTTACTCTGACGAAACGCGAACGATGCTGGCAGCAAATGTAAGAAGACGGTTTGTTCGACACAAGAGCCATCAAGGCATCAATCAAAGACGTGGTGGGTACCAATTAGCCACCATCACCGCTGTGGTTGTCATCTCGGTTTTCTTTCTCGTTGTTCGCATGATCAGCTCCAGAGTCGGTCGAGCCTGGGTCAGACGCCTTGATCGTAGCCGAGCTAAGGTTGATTGCAATTCTCTTAGGTGGTGCACTGCTATTGAGGTTCCCCAGCGCTGCCCCCTTGTCGTTGGCGGAAAGCGAGCCAATGGACACGCTTCGCTTTCTCCGCACCATTCCGGCAGTGCCAGGACCGGCGCTAGTTGAACTTCTTCGTTTAGGTCCAGCTGTGAGCTTCATCAGCTCGTCATCGTCTTCCTCCTCGCGCCGACGCTTTTCCGACAACCGTTCGGGTGGCGTTTGAGGCGTTGAGACCGGAGTGGACGGTGAGTCTGCGGGTGAGCCGGCAGCAGCATCGTGACCTGAGTCATCTTGCTGCGGTTGTTCCTGGTTCTGTGGCGCTTGCCCATCGCTGGGTTCTGGCTTTGTGTCCATCGCATCGTCTTCATCGTCGTCATCCGGGTAGTCGACAAGCGGCTTGACGATGGGCGACGCAGCGCCATTCTGCATTCGGGCAGCATCTGATGTGGTCTGCCTACTCTCCTGCTGCCACTGATAGCCATGGTTAGCCAATTTCGAAAGGGGACCATGCTGGAACAAGCGCCCTACCTCTTCATCATCGGAGGTGTTGAAATACTCCTCCTCGGCAGCATCCATCTCCCCGACACCTTGCCAACGCTGGCCGCCGGCAGGCATCCTTTGGGAAGGCAGCGTCTCCTCATGCGACATTAGGGACGAGTCCGGCTCGGCGCCGTAGCCCTGCATTTGCTCGTAGCGTAGGATCAAGCTCTGGAATGTGTCCACGTAGGTGATGTTTCGGATTTTTTCGCCATACTTCTCCACTACGTGTAGAACAAACGGTTTCATATTCTCGCATCGGATCGCTTCGAATAGTTCGAGACAGGCCGAATTTAGGAGATTATCACGGGGCATAGTCTCATAAACAATGTCGAGGATGAGCCCAAAGATGTTGTTATGGGTCATCAGAGCCTGGTAGAAAGTGTCTTGAAGACTAGTCAAAGCACGGAAAAATCTCAACGCAGCTGAGAACGATTTCTTTATTAGAACATTCCCATAATGACGATCTGGTCCGGAGGGAAAACTTACTCAGCTTAAGGTGCTTGTGGGGCACCGTGAGTAACTGAGCGATTCGAGGGGCAAGGGATTCGTTTTGAATGACATTCCGACTCCGGTATAGGTGTTGGCGGACAAAGAACGTTAAGATATCGACGAGATGGGAATACAGCGACACCTCTTGGAAGCTTAAGTTCCGAACTAAGTTACAAGGCAGTTAGTTATCGTCAAATCCCTAGGCGAATTCCCTGTAAGACATACGGTGGTCATCATGTTCGAGTCGTTTCAGCGGCCAGAATAGCCTTCTCGCGGACTCATCGAAATGGTTCTGAACAAATGCATCGGAGAGGATATTCGGACGCGGTTTGTTGAAATTGTCGGGCCCAGCCCGGCCCAAGGTATCTTGCAGGGGAATTTGGGGATCCAGTAAAACTTTGACGGCATCGGCGAGTTGGTTCTTGACCCCCAGGTCGGACTCGGTATGCAGCAAATCAATCAGCGTGTCGGTCAAAGGTGTCTTCTTCTCGTTGACAGCTTTTAGCATATACCCACGCATCATCACGGGGTCGTGGTCAAGAAGCGCCACCAGGATATCGATTCCAGTTGTACGCAGAGCCGGTTTGGGGTGTTTGATGGCGAAGGCAATGACGGCAAACAGGCCATGGTTGATGAAATTCGCAAAAAGATTAGCACGCGCCGGCGCCTGCAGATTCTTTGCGATGACAGCGCATTGGTGGAGAAACTGGACAGCGTCCTCCTTACGCTTAGTGTCCGCGCTTCTTGGATCGAAGACTGAAAACAATTCCTTCAAAAAGGGACCATTCGCCTGGATGTGGTTGACGATCTCGACCTGATTGAAGAAGATCAAGGAATTGAGAACCGAGAAGGTCGGATCATCTAAAATTCGAGCTAAGACCACATCCTTGAGATATTGCAAGCGCCAAGTGTAGCTGATTTTGCGGCGAATTAACGCATCCTTAATAGGTACAACTTCCTTGTAGCGCGACTTATCTGCGAGATATTGTCGGTGGTTCGCTTTGTGCGTTGGAAACTCGGGGTCATCTTGAATCCGTCAGCAACACCGTCAGTCCAGAGGAATTCAGTATACGCACATTCCAATGCTCCCACCACGCCAAGGATAATAGGATCCGTAACAACTGTCTCGATTATGGTGTTGTCATTGAGAAGGATGAGCGACTTCATGATATTGCACAGGCGATGTAAATCGGAGAGACTTTCGAGATCCTCGGCCATTGTAACTAACGGGATGAGCTTGGGGATGTACTCTTCTCGGATGACGAATTTCGATAGCGCATCACGCCCGGCCTGGGTAATGCTAGCGGCCCTCATAACATGATCGATTTCGGGTAGGTTTCCGAGCTCGGGTGGAGGCAGCATGATTGACTGGTAGCTTTCGATATCGTCCGACAGAGCATCTTCTGGAGCACCAGACGTGAGAATGGTCAGCAATGGCAACCAGCAAAGCAATATCAGTTAGAAACAGAATAGGACGAACCTCCTGGTGCCAAGTTCAAAAGATGTTGCTGTACGCTAGTAACAAAATTCCTATAATGCCGTCAGCGATGGATTGGAGTCGATTGCCGCAAGGCTCCATGGTGGTGGCATGGGCAAGTCTTACCAGATCACAGCGCACCCTTCCGCTTCCTGGAAACTCAGCGCCATGTCCGTCCCATTTGGTTCGGTCCATACTATCAACGTTTCTATTTCACGTCGCGGAAATGTCAGCTCGCATTCTGCGATCTCCCTCGATGCGTGCGATGTAGCAGAAGGCGTAAGGGGCAAGCGGACCTTGTTGTTTCTGATAGCCGTCATCCTTGGAGATTTTTGTCTCCAGGAGCACACGATTAGGCTCATCCTCCGACTCGACGAATATCCGCGGCTCATCCTGGGAAACAAAGAAGGGATTGTTAGCGAAAGCAAGCTGAATTGAGGACGCGCGCCTGAGAGCCGCAGTGTTTGCGCCCGAGGAGCGGCGACGGGGATCGCGCTGCGGCCAGACACATGGCGGCGACCGGGACTCACATCAAGGATCTGTCCTGTACAAAAACCCGTCCCGCGATCAAACCAGTCATTATCTTTGAGTTCGTAAACTTTCACCCGCTTGCGATCGCTGGGCGGTTGCACCTCCAACGCCATGGTCCGGCAGAATGGCGAGGTGGCGTCTCGTCACTCCGGGACAACTCAGGAACGAGTGCACCGGCGCGAGGAGAGCCCCGAGAAGGCGGAATGATAAGACGGACCGCGGTCTGGTCCAGATTGGACGAGGGAGGGGGGTTTGTTGGTTGTGGTTAGGTTGGTTTGGTTTCGGGGCGGAAAGGGAAGGAAAGTGGGGAACAAAGGGAAAGGGTTAAAATTAAAAAAGGAATAGAAGAAGGGAAGAAGGAGGAGGGAAGAGTGGAGGAGAGAGAGGGGAGGGGGAAGAGGTTGGGTGTTCTCTGAAAGTTTGGAAGATCGGAAGTTTGGTCGGAGGGAAGGGGAAGAATGATGTAAAAGACTCGCGAAGAGGTAAGAAGTAAAGTACCACCAAAGATGACGCCTTGGGGGAGAACTCAAGAGGAGGAAGAGGAGGGGAGGGTAGAGGTTGGAAGGATGGAAAAGAATGGGGAAACTGAACTGAAAATGGATGGGGCAAAGGAAAAAAAAAAGTAAGTTCGGGTGATGTTGGGTGTGCGAGGGAAACAATGGATGGATGGATGGAGGTGTGCTTTTTGGCTGCTTTTGCTCTGCTTCTGCTCTGCTCTGGCGCTGCTTTTGCGGACGAGATGATGAACGATGGATGATCCTGAACTTTTGGGGCCGGGACCACCTGACGGCCTCGGCTGTGGTCGGCGCTGTGTGTCTGTTCTATCTATTTTGGCACCTTCTGTCCCTTCTAGCTTTTCTTATCCGTTCTTTGCATTTGGTGCCGGCGCGCTACAAGATTCACCCAGCACACGCGACCGGAGATTAGGAAGCCACTGGGAGAAGGAGTTGCCTGCTTGCTTGAACACCCGGGGGCACCAGCCAGCAGCGCTTTCGGAGGGATCGGACTTGAAAGAAGTTCTTGCAAGCAAGCTACTTAGGGAGCTAGGCGTCTTGACCTGATCCGACCCGGCGAAGCAATGCGATGATGCTAGTAAGTGTTCATGATAGTACGAGGGACAGCATTATTATAAGTATATAGGAGTTCAAGATGTCCTGAAGAAAGGAGACGAGCCAAAGACGCGCGAGACGGAGATCTGCAGGGAAGCGACCGAAGGGAACCAGCGTCAACCAGGGGGGGTTGCAAATGACGTGCACCCGCCGCGGGAGAATGAAGGTCTGCGCTTTGATGTAGTAGTTATACTGTATACATCACTGGAGAGTATCTACAGACTACTATACTACCAGCTGAGGATTTCAAATAGCCTTTTTACATGTCAAGGTAAAGTTGGTTGGATTCCAGAAAGCTTAACAAATCCGAGATGTTCCAGGGGTTGTCAAATGTCAGGCCCACTCTGTCTGACAATTTTCTTCACTACAAAGACTAGATATAATCTAGACAAATACCGTACACTGTAGATACAAATCAGCCGATACATGGAAGGTCTCCAAGAGTCCAAGTGAACCTCAGTGCCATCATTGTCATACCTCCCCGACCTTCGGACCATGGAGTTTCTAATTATAATTCATTTCCTCCCGAACCAAAGTCTGGCCCAGTCGGTCTCCACGTCTCTTGTCTTCTTTGCCTGGGCCCGTTCCACCGCCAATTGTAGTAAAAGTATGTAAACCTTCCATGCCTGGACAAAAACGGGCATCACCGTTTGGATGAAACGTCACAATGCTTTTGTTCAACCCCTCCCACAAATCGCACAGATAGCAGCTTCAGCAGGATCATCCAGATCCCCCTCCAGTATGAGAGTTCCTGGAAACAAGTAATCATTACGAAACGTCAGAGCATCTCCATGTTGGGCATCGACCGAACCACTTTCAATCCTGCCTGATCTGTGCAACGACGCGGTCGTCACCTGCTTTGCAGTACCCGCTATTCCTGGGCGTCAGCTATTCATAATTCCTCGCTGATCCTGCGCAGTAAACTATGATGAGAGTATGCCCCTAGTTACTATTGTGTCTAGAATTCCATGCAATAGCAAAGCATCAAGTCGTCAAACGTTCAGAGACGTGAGCATCAAGGTGTGCTATTATCATTTCATTTGCGAATAAGAGCGAGATATTGTAGAGTATGCATCCTTGGGTGTCTGCTTGAAAGGAAAGCTGCTGTGTTTGATTGTGCACAGCTTCTCTCTAGCTTTCCTTCATTCTTTCCCGCTAACTCTTCTATAAGTGTAGTAGAACACATGCAATCCTTTCGCAGCATTTTGTATGCTTTCGCTACACGAAGTGTATTTTATTTCTTCATCAGGAGAAGAAGTATAGTTCATGTCCGATTGACCACTATTTATGGGTGGTCTATACGTTTACCGGGGGTAAGGCAGCTTTTCTGTGGGGTTATATGGGGGTAAGGCAATGAACGGTTGTCTATACAGTTACTTCTACTATTTCAGGCGTCAGTCGTCCTTGTAATTCGATCTGCATCATAATTGTATACCCCTCATAAAGTCCTTCTCGAATGGAGTGTCCAAAACAGTTACTGACAATGTTATTAGGCGGTCACAAACAAAATTGTAGTCTATGAGCAGTCGAAGGTGAGGCTGCCAATGGTTAGCGCTCGCAATGATGATAGTGCGCATAAAGTGACCAGGGTATCGCGATGCAAGCTGTCAAAGGTTGAAACTGCAATGGAACGAAATGATCGGAGGGTCTCCACTTGGCTTTGACTCGAACCCACATCGCGGATTTAGTGCCTGCTTCAAGCTCAAGGACTGCCCAAAATGGTCCATAACCTGAACCACCAGCATCCGAGGGAGTTTGAATGCGCAGCAGCTGCCATTGCTGGGATGTGACTGGGACGACGCTTTTTCTAGAAGCCGTTTCCGCTTCTTTCCCCTTTAGGAACCGTATCACCTGATCACTTTCCTCTTCCGGTAGGATCGCGCCTTCACCAGGCGATGATTTCCAACCTCGTTTCCATCGTGCATGTTCCTGACTTTGTCAGTCTCCTATGGATATCGAATCTCCATTGCCATTGCTATATATTCCATTGCACCTCTCCAGTCTCGGGGTTTCCCATGCCAGGACATTAGCACATTAAGTGCTCATGACATTGAGCCGAGATGTTGGTCTTTCGCATCCATTGAATCGGATGCTTCGACCATCAACTACCGAGCCATCAGTGACTGATCGTGGCTCGCCCCCAATTACGTATATCAAGAGTTCAATGGCATTACCGTAGAAGTGACCTGGCATATCATACTTCAAAAGGGATAGCGGGGAGATCCGATCCACGGTTGTCTTACCTAAGGAATGTTACCCCCGCCTTGACCTCGGCTTTCCCTTCACGATGGAACAATCTACTCTAACTTCAGCAGTATCTTCCCACCACCTACATCTTGATACCCCTTTGCTTCACTCGGGCTGTCACCAGATTGGTTATCGCCATAGATGAGCGAATTTGGGGGGACTTTGCGCTCGTCTTAGTTATAAAGCCTCCCAGTGGTTGATAGGAACCATATCAGTCTCAAGTTCTGTTCGCTCAAAAACTCAATTTTTTTTTCTTGTATCGCTTATCAGAGATGTCCGATACCAAGGCTCGACTTGCCGCTCAGAGATCCTCTCCACTCCCCGCTAGTTACATACCTGTAGCTCAATCCCCGGAGCAGGTTGCTCCCACATTAGAGACTCCTCAGAGCGGAGACACCCTACCAGAAGTGCCTGCCACGCATGTCGAAAAACAAGACAACGTCCTTGCATACCTCGCGACAAAAGAGTTCTACATTACCCTTTTCCTCGGGTGAGTTATACAGTTGGAAACGCTTGAAGCACCAAGGTGTGGTCGATGGTTAACTTGTCACACAGACAGGTTCTGGCTATCACCAACACTGCCTGTAGCACATTCAGCACACTACTGGTCAGCGAGGGAACCTCAATCCCGGCTTTTCAGACATTCTTCAACTACTTTCTGCTCAATGCTATCTTCACCCCATATACCATATACTGTTATGGCCTGAAAGGCTGGACACGGGTAGTGCTTCAGCACGGTTGGAAATGTAAGCGTCGCTGTATACTATAAGAAGCCGCCTCACCTCCCCACCAAGGCCTCTCTAATTGCAGTCTTGGATAGATATAATTTTGGCCTTCTGCGACGTGGAAGGTAACTATTTCATTGTGCTGGCCTATCGCCATACGACTATGCTGAGCGCCCAGTTGATAAATTTCTGGGCCATTGCGGTCGTGCTCATTGTGTCCTTCACAATCTTGCGCGTGCGTTACCATATCACACAGGTGTTAGGTATTATGATCTGTATTGGCGGCATGGGCTTCCTGATTGCTTCGGACCGGATCACTGGTGCCGATGACGGGAATTATTCGCGCGCCGATTTGATCAAAGGCGACCTCTTCGCACTCCTGGGCGCGACATTCTACGGACTTGCCAACACGGGTGAGGAGGTCTTTGTCAGTACGGCCCCGGTATACGAAGTTTTGGGCCAAATGGCCATGTACGGCATGGTCATAAATGGCGTCCAGGCGGGCGTTTTCGACCGCAACTCGTTCCATAATGCGATCTGGAACTCCCAGGTTGGTATCTACTTGACAGGATATACGCTGTGTCTTGCTTCCTTCTATTGTATGGTACCGCTGCTGTTCCGGCTGTCATCGGCGGCATTTTTCAACATATCGATGCTGACGATGAACTTCTGGGGTGTTCTCATCGGGGTCGGGGTGTTTCACTACACAATCCACTGGATGTACCCGATTGCTTTCGCGCTCATTATCCTCGGGCAGCTCATCTACTATCTGGGGCGGCGCGTGCTGGGAGAAGCGCGCAAACCCTGGCTGGGACGGAACCAAGAATGCGGCGTGTCGGGACTGTTTACAGCACGAAGAAAGATCGAGACCGCTGCCGGCCGGAGTCGCAGCGACTCCATATCCACGACTTGTTCAGAGCGTGATCCTATGCTACCACGTGCCAGTGTGGCTGAGGAAGCAGCTTAGGGACCCTGACGTCCTGCTGAGTACATTCATTAAAATAAAGAGAAATTGGTTAAACGACGGCATGATTATGATCGACCCACAATAGCGCTTGCATAGTTCAGCGAAATCATGTTTTTAGACTATGACATTATATATACAAGGCGACAAGGATTGGTACTTACTAGTAATCAATACACAGCAATCATTATATTCCTACCCTTTAACAATGAACGGCAGTCAGTAGAGTAATTCATTTAGTAGTAACTATGACCAAGCGACCGAATATGTTGTGTTATAGCAATCCATATACTACCCAGTCATTAATGTCATCCCGACACCCTACCACCCGCCACCGACACACCACACAGCGCAGCTTTCCCATTTCGAAGAATTCCCTACAAGAAACCAGAGCTAGATACTTCAATAAGCCCCTAAGCAACAAGCAGCATCTAAATACCGTCCTTAACTCCTATATCCGCCGTCATCCGTCCTTGCCATATCCGAGAACCGACCAAGAACCCCAATCCCGAAAATCTTCGGACTTGCCGATCAGCCTCCGAGAAGCAGCACCTGAACTCTATATATACTTCTAGTAATTACAGTACTACTTACCTCCCAATGCCAACTTGAGAATAACACACTCTCCACTATTTAGAATCAAGTTAACTACTACCCACCTCGATCAAAATGACTACTACTACTTCTACTCCCTCATCCATAACCTTCCCCTCAGCAACACACACCCTCTCCGGGCACCTCTACCGCCCCCAAACGGGCAAAAGCAGCAGCAGCATCACCGCAGGCATAGTCATCTCGCACCCCATGACGGGGGTAAAAGAGCAAACCGCCGCCCTCTACGCCCGCCACCTCAGCGCCGCAGGCTTCACAACCTTAACCTTCGACGCAGCCTACCAAGGCGCCAGCACCGGCCAGCCGCGCGGGCTTGAGGATCCCTTCCAGCGCGTCGAGGACATCAAGGCGGCAGTCACGTACCTCTCCACCGCCGTGTGCGGAGTGGACAGTTCGCGGATTGGAGTGTTGGGAATCTGCGCGTCGGGTGGATATGCATGCTTCGCTGCGGCGAGTGATGTACGAATCAGGGCCGTGGCGACGGTGTCGGGGGCCTGTGTGGGAAAGATGAGTAGGTGCGGTGGGGTGCAAAAGGAGTTGAGGGAGAATGAGGAGGTAATTGGGGCTGTGTTGGGGGGTGCGGCGGGGGATAGGAATAAGATTAATCATGGGGAGGAGGAGGAGATGGCGCCGAAGATGTTTGATGCGGAGAAGGTGTTGCAGGAGGGAGGAAACGTGGATTCGTTTTTCAGGGCAGCGGCGGAGTATTATGGGACTACGCAAAGAGGGAAGCATGAGCGCTCGACGCAGAGGGTGCCGTTGGAGAGTTATGATCGGATGGTGGTGTACGATTCGTTTGCGTTTATGAGGTTGATTGCGCCGCGGCCGGTGTTGATGATTGCGGGTGCGGAGGCGGAGACGCTGCATTATAGTGAGGAGGCGGTGCAGTTGGCGAGGGAGCCCAAGGAACTGTTTGTTGTGCAGGGGAAGAATCACTTTGATTTGTATGATCAGTTGGAGGAGTCGGGGCCTAAGCTGGTGCAGTTTTTCACTGGGAATTTGGCGTGAGGTTGAGACTCTTTAGTGCCGTGTCGTGCTGTACTGGAGGATACGGATGATGGACGATGGAGGAAAGAGATGATAGAAAAAGGGCAAAGAGAAGTAGTAGTATATGAGCAAACCTAGTATCAATAAAACATGACAGACCAGAACCTCAGCAGATCAGACTCCGTTAACTCTTTTGATGTTTTGCCTGCATCCCCGAATGTTCCTTTTTGCCAATGCCCCCATAAACGCATAAAACACAGTAAGATAACAACAATCAATCAACCTTTTCATACCCAAGATAGAAGCCCAGTTGCTGAACTAAAACCCGCATGCTTCGGCCAAACTCGCAACCAGACCCGAATGATGATAGAATAACACCTGAACCCCCCGTGAATGAGTGGGAAACAAGAGCCCGAGACGTACACTCCTCCCTGAAGGTAAATACAAACCTCAACCCTGGCAGGTCGTGGCAGGTCATGACAGAAGAAAAAGTAAAGAAAAAAGAGGGGAAAAAAAAAGGAGAGGAAAGAAAAACAGAGTGGAAAGGAAACCAAAAAGCACAGCGTCAAAAGATAAATGCAAGCATACAAAAAGCACACCAAATGGGGAATACCGACTCCAGAAACCAACAGGCCAACCAAGTTCCCCAGTCAGTAAACCAGCCATGTACCAAATTAACAGTCCACATGTGACGGAGCGCTAGACAAAAATCAAAAGACGTACTCTTGCACCACCGCCTCTTCCAGTATGTACCATGCTCTTTTCCCAATAGTATCAAAACGAAACCCCTCTCTTAAAACGCCACAGCACAGAAGCGAACACATGCCGAACAAATAATGCGTGATGTTGGTTATCCGCCCATTGTTATTCAACCCCAGACCGAGGCCTGAACTCCGAGACCGTTCTTGGAACCCCAGACACCGCTGCCGTTGCCCCAGCCAAGGCCAACTCCCCCGGATGTATCCTTGACACTAGCAGTCGCAGCCGCAGTAGTGGGTGCGGTCGACACGGAGGGAACAGAACGATCCGAAGCGGCATCGCCTGGAGTGAAACCGAATCCCAGGGGAGAGGGCAGCGGAGTCGTGGAGCGCTTGTTCAGCGCCGGGTTAGATACCTGTCCCGCATGAGGCTGGGGCAAAGGACGGGTTCCAATGGGGCCAACGGAGCCAATCGGCCCAGCCATTGACTTGGAAGGAGCTTGTCTCGAGGAAGGAGAATCAGCACCGCCGGGAGACGATGTCGAGGTTACAGGCTGGTCGGCACTGTCGTATTTGCCAAAAACAGGGTTGATGGCAGAGCTGGGGGAGGAGGTGCTGTTGGCACGAGAAGGCGACTGCAGGGAGGCAGCGCTGGCTGCAGTCTGACCGAGACTGTCGGCGCCAGCCTGAACCGGGGTCTGTGCGAGACCGAACGGATCAACGTTGCGGGGGGATGCACCACGGACGCCGGTCGAGGAAGTCGGCGTGCCACCTGCCTGGCTTTCGGAGCGTGTGCCGTCATCGGCGAGACCGGCGGGAGGGAAGAAGGCAGGGCTGTCGTTGCCGTATAAAGCCCTATGCTGACGAGCGAGTAGTTCCCGGCGGCTTTCTTCGCTCATGGCGGCCGGGCTGAGGGAGCGATCGGACTTGTTTCCAGACATTTCGGCAAGCAGGCCTTTGAGAAGAAGAAAAGAATTAAAACCATGTTCGAAGCGGGAGCCATGTCCCAACGTAATATACAAGCCAACAAATACACATGGGCAAAAAAAAGTATGTATGGGGAATATTGGGGAAGAAAGATGCATGTGCAGAAAAGGCTCCAAAGACAGATGCTACCACGTACTTCGGTTGTACTGTTGCTCCTGGTGATAGTTGCGGAGCTCCCTCTCACGCTGTGCTGCCATCCGACGCTTCGCTTGCATCATTTGCTCTACTTCATTGGGGCGACCCTGGAATCGCTGAGAGGCATAGAAGCCCTGGACATTGGGACTGGGATGCATCCGAGAATCGAACTCGCTGATCGAGTGATGACGCTGGCTCATTGAGTTGACCATGCGGGGATCTGCCACTGGGGTTTAGAACGTGTCGTGATAAAATCAAATGATCTCGCAATATCATACCGTAGTCGGGATAGGGACGGCCCATCATCATGGGCATGGAATCCCTCCGGGGTGCAGCCCACAGCTTTCCACTCTTGACGAGGTTGTCAATAGCACGGTCGACCTCTGATGGATGTTAGCATGCAACCGAATTCTTGCTTGTGACAGAACGAGAAACAGGCCGCAGATCCGACACGGCTAACAAATGTATATGCTTGCGCACTACTGGACGGTCGCGGCACCAGAGTAGGCGAAACAATGCAGGGGAAGTTTATCCGTACCATCGAACTGAGAAGAAAACGCCGGGATTTCGTCACGCTGGGAGACGGAACTCGATCCTGCAAAGAAGAATCGTCGTGAGCAATGAGAACCGTGATACCTGCACTATATTCGGTGATACCAATCCATACCTGACCGCGATGGGGGAGCAGGTTGCTCCCAAGAGGCCTGGCGCGCGGCCGGTGCCTGCCAACCCTGAGGCTCGTAGTATGCCATGTTTACCGGAAGAGACCGTGGTACGAGGACGGACGGAGTCAAGCTTTGAAGCGATGGGGATGGATCCGCTCGAAGGCAGTTAAGAAAGGCCTGTCTGGATATGACGAGTGAGTAAATGTTCTGGGTGCGACAACAGACTTGAACGGCATTGACAGAAAAGCAAGATGCGACTAGAGCGTAGAGGCCGAGAATAAAACGGGCCAGGTGGCCGAGTCAGCGCACAGGAGTGACAAAATGGCGGATGGCGACCAGCGATGACATCGATCGGACTTATTATTAGATCTCCCAATTTGACTCCTCAGGTATCGAACTTAATCTTTCCTTTTTCCTTGCCTGCCTTCAATCTTGTCCCCTTTCCTTCCGGGCTCTTCACATGACAGGAATGAGGTGCGGACGCAACAAACTTTAATTGATGCGAGACACCAAGTGCGATTCAAGGCCAAGCGGATGCAGTGAGATATAGTGGATGGATTGCGTCCTTGTGGATTTGCGTTCCTCTAGAACTCATGGAAGTGGTGCCTTATGGTCGAGTGCGGCACAGAGAGGGAAAAAATTGAAAATGAAAATAAAAAAAAATAACAATGCTTCGGGACGGTAAAAATCCCAAAGAAAATTGTAGACTTACCAAAGCAAATGGATGTTCCCCTGGAGCAAAAAATTCCGGACGATTCTACCACGAGCGAACGAGGCAGAACAGGGAAGAGACAAACAGCTTCTCACCCTTTGAAGGCACGACAGACCCAAAAAAAAAAAAAAAGTCTGGCGCGAGGGATTTAAAAAGGGTTGGAGAAGGCGTGGGGGTGAGTGCGGGAAATAAGACAGGGAAGGGGGAGGAGGAGGGAAGAAGAATGGCGAGGAAGAGGGAGAGATTGTAAGTAGGAGAGTGAGTGAGAGGGAGAGGAGAAAGGCGTCGGGTAGCAGAGGTGCAACGTCGAGGGAGATTGAGGAGGACCGGGGGTGGAAGAGGGGAGGACCAAGAAGAAAGAGGAGCGAGTAAGAGAGAGAGAGGAGGGAGTGAGAGAGAGGGGGGGCAAGGGAAGGGAAGCGAGATGCGTGGATATTATGATTTTTTTTTGGCCCGGGGATAAGAAACGCAGATTCAAAGAGAGGCAGCCAGCCAGAAAAGCTGCTAGGTAATAATAATGGAAACCATTTATCACTCCTAAACCAACTCACTACAAACTAATCACTAATCAATCAATCCGCAAATTTCCATTCGGAATGGACACCACCACTACTACTTAGTAGATACTCCGTACTAGATCCTATCTATCTTCGCCCATCGACCAGAGAAGGTCAGGAATAAGATGGCGGTCGTGGGACGAGAACTAAAAAGGAAAGTAAAAAAGAAGAAATTAAAGAAAACTTAAGGTGGAAAGGTGAGAGGGAAAAAATTTTTCGAATCCAGTTCTCCATCCCTCTCCACCTTGGGAGAAAAAGCGCACACCACCGGAAGCTCATGCTAGTATTTCCCAAGTAGTCCACCCACACACGCGCACACACAACCCGTCAGTCTCCAACCTGTTTAGGAAAGGTTCAAGGAAAAAAAAGGGTGGGCATCGGACGGATTTGCATTGTTCTGGTTGGCAATGAAGATTCGGCTTGTTGAATCGCTAGTACTAGTCCACCGAGGGTCCGGTCCTCTTATTCTTTTTGCGTTTTTCCTTTTCCTTTTTCTTTTCTTTTCTTTCTTTTCTTTCTTTTCTTTCTTTTCTTTCTTTTCTTTTTCTTTTTTTTTTCTCCCTCCCTCTATTGATACCTTCCAGTTTGTATGACTGCCTTTGACGAATCTCCTTCATGGGTTGGTAAACAAACTGCAAGCAAAAAATGTGAAGATTAAAGGGTCCTTGGTCTACAGCTCTCCTCTTCCCCATCGACTACGTACTTTGGCTATCAATAGAATCGTTTGTTCTTCAATTGACAGGTATGAATCCATGTGGTATCGTTTCCTGGAGCCCCACCTGTATTGGCAACGTACTTCCGGTAACTATTACTGGATATTACATTCATGATACCCGTTCTACCTCGCAGGTGACTTGCTGACAGCATCAAAACCGATGGAAAGGCAAGGAAATAAATGGATTTGAATTTGGGTAGCAATTATATGTGTCCTGTAGCAAATATCTGTTGATCTGTTGTATGGTTTAACCTTATTAAGGTATCTCTCCTTGACTGCTCGATACATGGGTTCCATTAGTAGTCAGTTGCACCATTGCGGACTTTTTCACATTTTGATATGGAGTCCCTCCGTCGTAGCCGGTAGCCGGATATTTCGTGCACTGGGCAAGGACCTTGTACTCCTTGCTTCTATTAGCGTCGGCCCGTCAACCTTTTTTCTCAAAGAATTGTCCCACCCACCTTGGAATGCTAGTTACAGTTGTCATCATCTGAAGACTATCTTGGTGAGTAATTAGATACCAAGTAGATAGGTGCAAATTGACCATGGGAAGAGGCTCTCGACTCACTCTAAACCTCAAGAGCGTATGTCTTGTCCCACCCTGCGTGTTCTGGTTCAAGCACCTAAGCAGAGATCAGATCCCCAGAAAAGTACAATCGATACTGAAGGAAGGTACTTCGTCAGTCATCCATCCCTTTATTTCGAAGTTGTGTCTTTATCTACCCCCGACCAGGAACATGGGGATATGTATCGTACCACTATTGTCCTGCAAGGAAACAATACATGTACGACACCGGTATAGGTTTCGGTCTTGTATTATATCCTACCGATTAGTAAGTAAAAGTAGTTGAAGATAACATGACTGGATGATCAGCTCCAGACTACACAATGATTCTCTTATGACTACACTGATCTGAAAATGACTGAGATCTTGGATGTTTTCCACAAAACGAAGACATGGGAACCAAACGGAATTTGAACAAAGTCAGTAGAGTCATTGGACCTCGTGGGGATAAATTTGGAACTTGGTATGCTCCTAATCGATCCAAAGCGGGCTAGCGTGTGGTGGTCGGCCACACTCCTTGCGGGTACACCATCTCACCTCCATCGGTCCCCGAGTCAGATTTGTCTTGGAAATCCACCCCGGGAATTAGCATCTCATTCCACGTCCTTAACTATGAAATATACATACTATGTACTATCCTCATAGTCTAATTTGTCGTGTTGCGATGGCTCTTCCATGGCTGGGCTTGAAATGAATCTTCAGCAAGGGTGTCTCTGTCCTGCAATCTGCACATCATGTGATCACTGTAATCCTGTTCGGGCTCTCCTTGACAGCAGCTGCATCACACGGTCGGCGAAGTTCTTACTTTGTAACTAGTCTTGTCTTGTCCGTCTCCAATCAGAAGTGGTGGGAAGTCCGGCATCTGTCACGGTTCAACCTTACGTCTTAGTAATGTTGGATAAATACTCCGTATCGCCTGGTGCGCAATCCAGGAGGACTGGTGGTGGGGCATGGCCAGTTCAACACGGATAACACTCGGACCGCCGTCCATCCCTCCCCCCTGGCTCGCTCCAAGGAGGAACATACCCAAATCACAAGATGGGTTTGTCCGTCGTCATCATGCTGCCAGTGGCTTGGATCAGCATGTCAACCATCATCCATCATCCAGCCTCTGGAATTGGGGAAACATTGGGATAGAAAAGGATCTTCCCAGTGGCGGTAAGATAAATTTGATGAGGAAATGTCAAACCAACTCCCAGTACTCTTAAGGGTCCCCCTACGGCGTTATATTCGGCCGACATCGGATGAGGATCTAAGTTGAAGTTGACTTCGACGGTAGACCGTTGGAGAGGGAAACTTGTCCTACACAGTACTAGTATTATTGTGCCAAGATATGTGCATACTATCTAGACTACATCATAGAGCATACTAATGATGTTTCGCTCATCTGCCGCGCGCCTCTGCAGAGAGATGACCTCTGTGGCTGGCCGTGCTGGCTTTCTTGCATATTAGTTCTCGCAGCTCAACCCAAGTCAACAACTTCTACGCCACTCTGGGGTCCTTGGTCTTCTTATCCAATTTCGGCCTGTAGACGATTCTAACCAGGTTAATCAAGCAGGTCTTCCGAATGATGGATTCGGGAGGCCCCCAATTAGGCAGATACTGAGTACTACTAAGGTACTCTACTAGTAAGGTTCATAGTCCCCCTCACCAATCATATTGAGATGTCAAGCATAGCCGCTGAAATCTTTCTGTGCCCAGTCTACAATTTCTTTCCATCTCTATAAGCTAACCTCAGCTCCTGCATGCAACTTTCGTCACCTGAACGAAAGGAGGCCAAGACCGTATAAGCAAAACCTAACCTACCGATACACAGGCCGAAGGCCAACGTTGTATGGCTTGCTAGAAAAGTCGGAGCGGAACCTCGAGGCAGCGACAATGTTCACTTCCACCTTTACGCAGCGATATGAGCCATCTATAAACATCGTAGCTCACCGGCTTGTTGAGCTGAATTTTGATTTTCTGGGAATAATTCCATCCCAACAAAGAGGGTGTGGCAATCTGCTCTATCGCATCTCCACACAAACTTAAACCGTTATGTGCGACAGAGAGACATCGGCCCCGTCATCACTGCAAGTGTTGGTGTAGTGGCTGAGAGTGGGACAACACCTGGCCCTTAGAACGGAGAAGGGAGTAGGAGTTTCAGACAGAATATGTATGCCAGTAGGCTAGACTAGACAGCTGATCCAAGACAAACCGTTGTTTGTGAAGAAGCGGGTTTCCAAAGGGGTTTTGGTGGAGTGGACCAAGGCAACTGGCCTGAAGTTCATTGGAACGCTGACTGGAGGCGTCGGCCACACGTGCCGCCCCAGCAAGACGCATTTGACCGGACCAAGGGCCGAGACAGTCGAAAGTTGAAACTCTCCCTGACAGGCGCACGGGAAACGCGGGGCAGAGAAAAGGGGGAAGAACAATGAACCCAGCCGGGCATCCTTAGTGGCAGGAACAGACTATTGGAAACCTTGAGGCGTCGAGTCAACATGACTTCTACCGCGTACCGGCGATTTGAGATTCACACAAAGAAGCAAGAGGAGATGGGTTATCTAGACACTTTTCAGCGTCGGACATGATCGGGACGTGGCTCCCTTCGCCCCCTCTCACTACCATTTCGTTCCGCCCTTTCTTTGGTGCGGAGCGCTTCACTGCTTGTTGGAAACCCCCATTTTGTTACGGCCGGCTTAGCAGCATGAGGGGATGAACGGCTGCACTTGAAATCAGCAAGCAGGACGGAGGACATTTAGCCGGTCTAGATGTCGCATGCATCGGTGGTAAGTACTAGCATAGTGTACGGTAAGTAAGTACTAATTTGGAGGATGCACGTCACCCTGCTGAGCTGGTCGATTGGCCAGCTCACGGACGGGGATAAACAGGGCAATTGCTGCAGGTATCTCCATTTCGTAGAAGCAGATACCAGCATAAGTATGTATAGAGATAGTTGGCTGCGGGTGTGAAATGGGGCATTCCATTGATTGCCTCATGAATAGTGAATAATGAGAGGGAGTTTCAGGTGGATATGAGCAGGATCACCAAATTGGAGAGCAGGTCTCATAGGCCAAACAATACTAACTTATCATCCCAGATTACTAGTAGTAAAACATAACAAAAAACAAAAAAAGGCCCCTGTCTACTCCTCAATAATCCTCAATGGCTCAAGTAATCAATATTCAGAACTCTTAATCATATAGTTTGTATGCCTGAGGCAGTAAAGGGAGAGAGGTGGGTTGGGGAATAAAGAAACTACGGATGGAAACGAAGAAACAATTCAAGAGGGGGGGGAAATGAGAAATTAATAGGGGAATAGGGGAAACTGAAAAAGAAAATCAAAATCAAAAACAGACATCGTAGATGACACTCGCCCTATTGATAGGAGATTCTTCCATTCTTTCCTTTCTCCATTCACAACCGCCGCAATTAATTTGGCAAAGGCCAATAGCCTCCGATATTACCTGCCTCGGTGCAGACACGCCTATTTACCTCCAGCACCACCAACCACTACCACCGCGGACTCCGTAAAAAACTACTATTTACTACTACTTTGTACTACCACTACTGCTCCTACTATTGTTGCTGTTGCTAGTTGACTCCTTCCCCGGCTAGTCCCCCAAGTCCATCAGGAGGGACACTGACCAGGCTACCTGTCATCTATCTGGGACTACTTCCTTCCTTGCTTCTGTGCTTAGGTGAGTGACTGCTGTTCCAAAACGTGTTGTGTTGGTTCTTCAATTATCCTCAATCTCGCTTTCTATTGCTCGGTGTTCTTCTCTAGAGTCTCACCCCTTCTGCTGCAACAACCCCTCCAACGGACTCCCTTCATGATTTCCCATCTCTCTTATTCTCTGTAGACACTTGATTTCCTTTGATTTCTTCCTGTAAAAATCTTGCTTTCCCTGAGTCGTTTCCCATCTCTTCTTTCATCTCTTTCCTTATAGGAAAAGAAGAAGGGAAAAGATAATTTAGGAAATAGCTTCCTTCCTTCCTTTCTTTCTTCTTTCTCTCTTGTTTTTCAATTTCAAGTGCTCTGTAAGTTTTAATCTATTTTGTTTTCTTTCTCTCTCTTCTCTTTACCCCTGTCTATTGTTGTTTAAAGGCTTGTGTGTGTGGAGGGGTCTATCTTCCCATAGAGCGATAATAGTTCCCTCTGGGCTGGAAGCATAAACGGCGGTTACCCAGCCGTGCCCACTTGTCGGAACGCCTGGCAGAGTTTCCCGCCGTTGGAACGCAATTGCAGTGTTCCCCCCTGGCTCTGGCTCTGGCTCTGGCTTTTGGCTTTTGGCTTTTGGCTTACCTCCCTCTGCAGCAAACCAAGCAATCACACCAACTACCACCACCACCACAACCACCAGCAGATCCCCCCCTCCTCTTTGGTGCTTGCTTCGTCGATTGACTTGCCTAGCAACCTGTTGGAATTCTTCGTATATTCGTTCGCTCAATCACCTGGCTGGTCCTTACATGGAGCAAATTCGGTGTTGCTCTTCCGCGATACGACTCTTCCGCTCACCTTGTGTGGTTTTTTCCAGTGTGCCCTTCCTCCCGGCTAGAGGCCATCGCTCTCTCCCCTTAAAACACCGTCTATCTGTTTGACGATCGCCCGGTCCGTCCACTCAGTGAACCTTCTGCCCACTCCCCCCCGATTTACCTCGCGCTGGAAATCCCCATACCTCATTCACTCCTGTCTCCGGTCTGCTTCAGATTCCATTCAATCCAATTTCTGGCGGGTCCACTATTGCGAGAGTTGCTCTTTGCCTCCCCTCCCGTCCCCCTCTCAAATCGAGGACTGCGACACCTTTTGCCCGCGCATAGCACAGCACAGCAGCACAAAAGGCGATTTTGCTGACCTATCGCTGGCCGAGTTCTGCACAGAGTCCACTGCCTTCCCTTCGCCCCCGGCTCTCGCTTCCCCTACGGCTACCATTTGTCCCGACTAAGACGCTCGCCGTGCTCCCGCTCGTTGACGGATTATATTGCACTCGCTGGTGGCGGACTGTTTCCCGCCCGCAAGGTTGGATTTTAGGTGGACCTCGACATCAGCGTCCGATCACCGTCGGACCTTCTTCGTCCCACCCTTCCCCGGAGGCCAACGTTGTTCGACCAACGTTGGAGTCGCTATATGATCCCAGACACCCATGGGAATGCTAAAATCTCTTCCATCCCAGGTGGAAGGTCACCGGTAACAGCACGGAAGGCCTCGAATATGCCGTGGAAGTTATCCACAGAAACGTCTCCCGAGGCAAAGAATCGGCCGCCATTGACTTCGCAGCAATCCAATTCCCTGCCCTCCACGCCATATCAACATGCGCGAAAAATCTCTTTTCACTCCAGGTCACCTTCGCCCCCGCAAGGGAACACCTCCCCTCGCTCCACCCATTCCGAGTCTACCCATCTCCCTCCCTCGTTGCGGAAACAATTCTCAGGCTGCAAATATGAAACCGCCATGGCTTTCTTCCGTCGGAGAATGCCATACTCCTTGGGTGCCGACCTGCTGCCGGAGGAAAAGGATGGCCTCAAGGAGCGGTTGGAGCCGGAGGACGAGAAGAGACTCAGCGCAGATATGCTGGAGGTATATGATCAGCTCCTGCCGTCAGCAGAAAGCGACGACCGGCGACGTCAATTAGTCCGCAAGTTGGAGAAGCTCTTCAATGATCAGTGGCCAGGGTGTAATATCAAGGTTCACGTTTTCGGTTCGTCGGGGAATAAGCTCTGTTCAAGTGACTCAGACGGTATGTATCGGTTGTTCGGCATACGTTGTGTGTGGGTGTGTGTGTGTTCTAACAAGGATTCCAGTGGACATCTGTATAACTACCACTTATAAGGAGCTTGAGCACGTCTGTCTCTTAGCGGAGGTACTAGCCAGGCGTAAGCGAACCACCATGTGCCTTGCTTGCGTAAAGAGTTGCTGACAATGTTTTGGGATGCAGATGGTATGGAACGAGTCGTTTGCGTATCGCACGCCAAAGTGCCTATCGTGAAGATCTGGGACCCGGAGCTACGATTAGCGTGCGACATGAATGTCAATAACACTATGGCACTGGAGAACACGCGGATGGTCCGGACATATGTGGAACTTGACGAACGCGTGCGACCCTTGGCTATGATAATCAAGCATTGGACGAAACGGAGGATTCTCAACGATGCCGGTATGTGTCGAGTCGTCGATTTTGGACGGACAACTGGAGCGAGTTCTCGACTGACTGTCCGCACACAGGACTTGGAGGCACACTAAGCTCTTACACGTGGATTTGCCTGATAATCAATTTCCTACAAACGCGAGACCCGCCCATTTTGCCGAGCCTTCAAGCTCGGCCTCACAAGAAGAAATTGACAGCGGACGGGATAGTTTGTTCATTTGATGATGACCTCGATTCTCTCATTGGCTATGGGCGAAAAAACAAGCAGAGTCTCGGAGAACTACTCTTCCAGTTCTTCAAATACTATGGTCATGAACTCGACTACGAGCGGCATGTGATATCTGTCCGTGAGGGGAAGCTCCTGTCGAAGGAAGCGAAAGGCTGGCACTTGCTACAAAACAACCGTTTATGTGTGGAAGAGCCGTTCAACACTTCACGGAATTTGGGAAACACAGCGGACGACACATCGTTTCGAGGGGTCCATATGGAGCTGCGCCGGGCATTTCAAGCCGTTTCCGAAGGGAACCTGGAACACTGCTGCGAGCAATACGAATATCCACCGGAGGAAGAACGCTCATGGGAGAGACCGCCGCCTCAACCGCGTCCTGTGCTCACTGCAGCACCACCACCGTCCCGCGGAGGTCGTGGCGGAGGTCGTGGCGGACGACATTCGAATCAGTTCTCCCGAGGAGGTCATTCCGGTGGTCGTAGGGCTTCCAACACACCGAATAAGTCCGGCAACTTCCGACAACCCAACGGTATGACCGCCTCTGAGCTTTCTTTGCAAGCGCAGCACGCACAGTACCTCTTGCACGACCATCTCTATCAGCAAATACAGATCCTTCAGGCCCAAGAGCAAGAATTGCGGCTCCAGCTGCAGAACCAGGCGCTCCTCACCGGGAGGCCGCCGCCGGTCCTTATTCGCCAACCGTTTATTCAGTTCCCAATGCCTCAACAACAAGAATCCTCTGGCGACGATAACTCTCGATCAAGGTCGGGCACCGTGAACCATCCGCCTCTCAACACACCGCACCGCCAGAACGTGTATTACAACAGCCATTACCTCCCTGTGGGAGTTCCTGGCGTGCAGGGAAGCAACACAAATCCGCCGTCGCCTTCAGCCACTACTGCCATGCCGGACCTTCGGCGTAGTCCGCGTCGATCATCTGTTGCCAACGGATCACCGGGTGGGTCACTCCGAGCACACTCACAGCCGGCTCGAACGGTCAATTCTCTTCCGAGTTTTGCGCCATTGTATTCGATATCTCAGATGGCGGACAGCTCGCTGGGGTCGAAGGCGCGCAATGCTCCAGGTTCACCCGACGGTACACAGAGCGACGAGAACAATACCTTTATGCCGAGCAGCCTTCCCAACGTGTCCCGCTCCACCTACTTCGATGAATGCCGACCGAATGAGTATATGGGTTATTACCTTGCAACTTCCCCGCAGCTACAGACGTATCATCAAAATGCTTTACTATCGCCGCTGTCTCCAGTTGGGCTGGCATTGCAGAATGGCGGCGTTGTGCCGTTTGTTGCAAATCCTCAAGATTATATGGCGTCAATTGCGGCAAATGAAGCGACCGGTCAAGCCTCAGATAATGGGACTACATTGCCAGTGAAACCAGGGTCGACGCCGCAGCGTGCAACTTCGCGATCAGCTGCATCTGGCGATCGGAGCGGACCTTTGATCGTGGACGGCTCGGTGCCCCCTAGTGAACAGCGTCTCTCAATATCGGCAGAAGGCTATGATCCGTACACGGCCATGAGCCACTGTACGTCGAATTCGGATGACCTAAATATGGATACGCCAGCGAGCGTCTCAGACTCCTTGTCTCAGGAATACCAGGACAACAGCTCGGTCGATATTGATCAGCCGCCCTACTTCGGTCGCCAGGGCGTTGACATTTACCAGACCGGGAAAGCAGCTGATTCCTTTGTTAATGGACACGGTGCAAAGCATAGTCTGCTCTCGAGCCGGTTGCAGAGCCTTCATCTGGCAAACTCCGAGAAGACCCCCGAACCTCAGTCGAAGAATAGTAGCGAGAAGATGAAAGTGCCCCAACCAAACCCAGAAGCCGCGGAAAGAGACAATCATCGCTCGAAACAGGCGAATCCAGGGGAGAAACCACTGACCACAGGGCTATCACCAGCGGCGGATTCGCATTCTTCTTCTAGTGGGAAACGGCGTTCTAATGGCGTGGATGCGTCTGAACGGACCAACGGGATTCCACACAAAGCGAAATCCAAGAATCACAATCAGCCTTCTGGTCCAACCGATAACGAGAAACGACATACCATTGCACAATCGCGAAAGGCTAACGGTGTCAGTTCGACACCAGACTCTGCTGTTGCTCATGCCGGTGGTGGTTGGCAGACGACCAAAAGGAAGCCGAAGAAGAATGCCAGACATTCAACAGAACACAGGCATGGCTTGCATAGTGGTGCGGAGCCTCTCCCAGCAGATGAATCTTTGAGAAAGGGGGGTTGAAAATGTTAGATGATGTGTCATCGTGAGCATTTTCTGTTGTCTTTCGTATTGCGATGCCTCCAGCAGTCTCATCTAGCACAGGTCGCACGCGCAATACCCTCGGCCAAGCCGTGCCATAGCTGTGCTTGGTGTGGGAACCCCTACCGGGATTGTCTGTTCGCCGAACCAGCATCGGGTAGGGAGCTCCATGACGGCCATATAGCGTGTTACATGCATGGCCTTTGTACAGCCTTTGCTACGATTTTACAAGTGCTTACATTTTTGGGGAAGTTGGGCTTGAGTATACCATCGAACCCCTCGATTGACTGGAGGGATGTTTCATGGTACTGTATAAATGAGGCGGCGTCCTCTTGCAAATGACATGATTTCGGTTGCACTTGTTTTCTTGCTACTTGTTATGGAAGTATATGGCCCTATTCCTCCATCCTTTTCTCTTTTCATGTTCACTATTGGCGTTTTGCAAGGTTAAATAACGGAAAATTGGCAAGTCAGGGGGGGTTTGGCTGGTTACCATGGGTTACTTGTGTGAATTGCATATGATATATGTTGTGCCGTCCTCTATATCGTTGTCCATCTTATACGTTGTGATTGTGTTTTGATGTGGTTTGGAGCTTACATTGACTCCTTTGGGTTGTGATTGAGGGCTTCCCCCCCCGGCTGTTGGTGCCATTGCATACGGGCTGTATCATCTCTCCCCTTGCTCCCTGCAGTGGTGCTGCATTGAGGGCAACGATACGCAAGAAAAAAAAAAAAGCAGACCAAATGAAATATCCCTGCGGAAGCACTCCAGCTCCAAGTGGGGAGGAAAAAAGAAGTGTTAGAGCCGGTTTGAAATGTGCTCTAAATCGGAGCCGAGTGGCATATGGCCTAGATGGCCCGTTTTTCTTCCTTCGTCTGGCCGGGTTGGTCTCCTCGCCCTTTTTTGTTTCCATCTTCAGTTTTTGTTGTTTTTCACCCGCTTTCGAAGATTATAGTCCATCGGCATGACCGTCATCATCATCATCATCATCATCATTGTCATCACCAACATCATCATTATCGTTGTTATCATTGTCATTGTCAATATACCATCATAGCAGGGAGCCGGGCGAGCGGGTTCACATGGTTTGACTTTCACAGGTTCTTGTTTGCGTGCGTGTCGATTTGTTGAAAGAGCTGCTGTTTCCGTTTCTTCTTTTTCTCTCTTGCCCATGTTACATATTCATTCGCATCGGTCGTGGTTGGGCAGTGGGGGTTGCAAATGTAGACGTTGGAATTTACATATATAGCAGAAAGAAAGGACAAAAAAATGACAAAACCTTGTTGACATCAAGCTTGTCGTCTTCCGAGTCTATGCAACTGTTACCAGCCAGTACTGCAATCGTATGTCTACTGTGTTATTTACTAGTCGAGTGAGTGAGATTGCGCTTTGGTACCGAATGTCTAGTATTGATAGTATGAACCCATAATACAACTCGGTTGAATGGTTAAAAGATGTACAGAAGTGAAAAGGTCAACTAATTTTACAGGTTCAGACGCTTGCTATCTTTCGAGATGAGACCAGCGATCACTTCCACCGTAGATAGAATCTAGGAACAACATAGGTAGTAATGAAACAAGAAGAAGACAAGAAAATAGATTTCTAATAGTACATGTAGGATCAGAAGCAAGAAAGGGAGATATTAAAAGGTAACACAAGCAATATATGACAGGAGAAAAGTGATAATCAGATGAGACAAATACATATGTACGGGATAGGTGGTCATGGCTTCTTCGGCACTTGCAACTCATCGAAATGAATCAATCTGGTGCGGGTTCATTAGGTATGAATAAGCGGGTAGGGTAAAGATATATGGGATGGCATGTGAGTGAGAATGATGATGGTAGGGGTAGTAGTGGTGACGGCAGCGGTGATATTTCCCATTTAGCAGAATGCCTCTATCAGCATGTAGGGGAAGATCACGACGCATGCTGTCCAAAAGACCATAATGCATTTCAACAAAGCCAGAGGCAGCTTGTAGAAAGGTGGCTCGGTGATGACGAGCCACAGAGAGAGAAAGGCGACACTGAAGAAATGCCAGAATAGAACGTCCGGCTTTTTGATTAGTCCACCCAGAAGACCTATGGGCCCGCTGGTCATTCCTAACTCAAAGTAACGGAAGCAGCCACGTTGGAGAGCACGCATATTCTCGTCTAGATTTGCCCCAGTGGGGTCTGGCGTTAGCTGCTGGGACGCTGGGTGTGATGGATGGGAAACATTGTAAAACGAACCTTTAGCAGCAAACAAGGCATAGAGAGCCTGCGCCAAAATGTTGATGACTGAACATGTTTTCTTCCGTTGCCAACGGAAGGAGGACAGCTGCTGCAGGACGCGCTCATGATTAGCGAGGGAAGGGACCTTCTCCGGACTCAGCAGATCACGAAGGACCACAACGTCGTTGAATGCGACGGTCATTCCTCCACCGGTCAGCGGATGCCGCATGTTGAGCGCATCGCCCAGGATGACCAGACCGGGAGTCTTGTTCGGGGTACTAGGCAGATATGAGTTCGGCATTGACCGCAGCTGACCCTTGTCCAACGCAGCTACGAATGAAGGCTGAATGCATTCGGGAAGGGACGGGAGAACGACGTTGCGAAGGTGGTTCTTGACGCCGCCGTTCTTGACGGAGGCCGACGGGAGGTTCTCTGGGATGTCGATGAGGATGCGGGTTTCATGGGTGCCAATTTGGTAGACGAGGATAGGGGCATTGTCGCTAAGGAGGACGTGGCCATGGTAAGGCTTGGGAAGGTCTGCATCGATCAATTCCAAGCCCCAGAACCTGGAGCGGACCTTGGGAGTCTTGGAATGGTATTGCTTGCGGAGTTTGGAGGCGTAGCCATCGGCCACCACCGTAAGATGGCCAAAGTAGCAATCCTTCATGTCGCCGGTCACACACTCGACACCAAGAACCTGCTTTGTGTGGGAGCAAGTGACCAAGTCGGTGGCCTTGGTCTCCACCACTGTGACATTGGGACAGGCCAGCGCAGCAGCTCGCAGCTTCATGACGAAGCGGCCATGGTGGAAACAACGCCCTTGCGGGGCGGGCGACGACGGGGAGGCTTTGGGGTAGGTGAATGAGACGGGTTTCCCAAAGTATGTCACATGGTAGCCTTTCGCTGGGATGGCATCAATGTCTTCCAGACAATCGGCAAGACCCAGTTTCTCAAGCGCCTCGACACCGCCAGGCTGTAGTAACTCTCCCACGATCCGGTCAGGCTCCTTCATGGACGCCTCCAGCAGCAGGACGCTGCGCCCTTGTCTTCCAAGTGCGACCGCCAATGCACAACCTAGGATCCCGGCGCCCACAATCACGACATCGGCATGGTGGTGGATCAGCCTGCGCTGTTTGGCGACATCGGCGGAGGGGGTGGTATGGCCGTTGGCGACAACGGCGGCCATTTTTTATGCGGGAGACCGGAGGGGATTTGCGGCGGAGGTAGAAAGGTCAAGGGAGGTCAGAATCGACAGGATAGGGAGGAATGGCAGGATGCAAAGGGCATATTTCGATGGCCGTGGATCGGAGAAAGAGAGTATATAATGCTGCGAAGAACGAGCAGGCAGCAATGAGGCAGGGATGAGGGAGAGAAAAAAAGTACTGGGGTGTGTGTTGGGGAAGGGAAAGTTGGAAAGTTTGTTGTATTGACCAGGAGAGGGAGTGGCGTGACATGTGAAAAAGGGACAAAAAGGGCGCGCGGGAGGAGTTGAGCCCATGGCCTGATATTCTTCCCTCCGCGACTAAAACTAGCTAGTTACTTGATAGTAATCGATCTAGACCATCAGAAAAAAGATTTCCTCTTTTTCTTTGTTTCTTTCTTTCTTTCTTTCTTCTTCTCATCATGTTTGTGTTTAAAGGTGGTTGTAATCTTGGCTTAATACTGAATATCGCATATTCTGCCACTGATTCGTCAATGATGATCTTAGCCAGTATGTTCTCATGTTTGGAGAAAATATCCTGTAAATCCTCTGATACAAAATAGTATAAGGCTAGCCTGGTGCCACCTGTCTGACCAAGTAGTACTGTGTAGTAACTAATCAACTAACTAACTAACTAACCAACCAACTAACTACTACTACTAAGTTGTGAGCCTCCATTGAAGCCGTTGATTTACCTGCGTATTATCTCCCGCCGCTTTTATCCCCATTTCTGGTGCCGCTTCAAACCATGGCACCTTTTAGTAAGATCATACATACATAAATACATACATATATCATCTTGCACAATTCTTCTAACAAGAAGTGAAACAAACAAATCATCATTTGCGAAATTGAATGCCTCGTGGCACCGGTTCGTACTTATGCAATTTAGGCAGTAACTCGGTGGATGCTGCCAATACTTTAAAAAAAGTCCAGCCGATGCCGATGCCAAGAATCTGACGTCTGAACGTTCATTGAAGCCGCGACTTTCTCCCATCTTGAACCGCTACACAACAAAACTCTCTGTCCTACAACGCGCATCTTATTGTGAGCATGAATCAACAGCGTCATCTTTTCTAAATCTTCTCGGAAGATACCCCTTTCCTGAACCCACAATCCAGTTGACAATCTCCACCACCACCCTTTCCTTATCCAGCCATGAACAACGACCAATTCCGCCGCCTCGTCCTCGACAACCCTTCCTCCAAACCCGCCAAATCCACCAGCCCAGATGCATCTTCTCCATCCCAACAGCAACCACGCAAAAGCATTGGCAATGCGACACCCGCAGCCGGCGCACTGGGCTCGCGCCTTCGCTCCAGCATCCCCATGACACCGTGAGCTGATTCTCTTCCTGTCCCTCAACCCCACTTGCGCCCTTAACCCTTAGTTTACACGATTGATATCACTAACCACGTCTATTTTCGTCGCAGCCGCTCCATAACAAATGTCGACTTTGCGCGCCAACTAGCCGAATACCGTCGCGAAGCCCAACCCGCTTCCAAGAAATTCAAAGCTTCCGCCGCCCCCAAGGGAACGAGATTACCGTCCGGTTATCAAGATCGGGCTGCGCTGTTGCGTCAGAAGGAAGCAGCAGAGGAAGGCGATAGTGCTGATGATGGATCGAATCTGGAGAAGCGCGTCAAGGCGTTGGAGGAGATGGTCAAACTAGGACAGATTGACCAGGCGACGTTTGAGAAGCTACGTGCCGAGATGGGGGTGGGTGGGGACCTGAAAAGTACGCATATGGTGAAAGGCTTGGATTGGGAGTTGCTGAGGAGGGTTAAGGGGGGTGAGGATGTCGATGTATTGGAGAAGGAAGGGGAGAAGGGTGAGGGAAAGGAGGAAGAAGATGTAGCAGATGTGGATGAGGAGCTGGATCGGGTGTTGGGAGAAAAGGGTGAGGGGGTGGATGCATTGTCTGCTGCCCCGAAGGAAAATAAGGAGAAAAAGAAGAAGGGGGTGATGGTGCAGAGAAAGTCGCGAGATGAGATCCTCAGGGAGTTGAAGGCTAGTCGTGCTGCGGCTGCGGCTGAGGCGGCGAAGCCGGCTGAGCCCGCCTTAGGAACCAAGTTTAGGAGGATCGGGGGAGAGTCCAAGGCGGAGAAGAAGCGATGGGTGGAGCAGGATGAGAATGGGCGGCGGAAGGAGATTCTACAGATCACAGACGCGGAGGGCAAGACAAAGAGGAAGGTGAGATGGCTAGACAAGCCTGGTGAGGTTGGTGGTGGCGATGGGCCTGCTGGACTATTGATGCCGGACAAGGATGCGAAGCCGCTGGGCATGGAAATTCCAGCAGAGGTTGCATCTAAGGCTTCCGCGCCGGCGGAGCACGACGACGACGACGATGATATTTTTGCTGGCGTCGGAGATGACTATAACCCGCTTGGTGATCTACCGGATGATGACGATTCGTCAGATGAGAGTGAGGATGGCGAGAAGCCACCAAAGGCCACGGAACCAGCTCCTGCTGCCGGTGATCCGAAGAAACCGGAGGCGACAACAAGCCGGCCTCGAAATTACTTTTCTACGTCTACAACGGATGAGGTTCCTGAGATAGACCGGTCGAACCCGTTGGCGAAGGATCCTACGCTACTAGCGGCCCTGAAACGGGCTGCTGCGTTACGACAATCCGAGGAGGCTGGTGCTACCGATGCTGATGCTGGAGATGTCGACGACGAGACGGTGCTGCGACGAAAGAAGTTTCTGGAGGAGGCGCGTCGGCGGGAAGCTTTGGATGCGATGGATATGGATATGGGCTTTGGGGGAAGCCGCAACGATGACGACGAGGAGGACGAGGAGGTGGTGCTGGAGACTGAGGGACGCGGCGGGAAGAAGAGGAAACGAGGGCCGAAGAAGAAGAAGGGCGACAAAGACAGTGTGACGGATGTGATGCGCGTGCTAGAAGGGAGGAAAAAGGAGTGATCCCTGAATGCTAGCGTCTTGTAACACGAGTATCAGCTCCTCTGCGGCATAGGTGGTGCCTGGGGAGAAGGAACCCAGTCAAGATCGCCAGGTAAACACGAGCTATAGCCTGTAGTCACACCTGAACTTTTTTTTTTGGACTGCTGTTGCCATATTGTGCTCGCTGCATCATACAGGAAACCAGATGAGCAATCCCTGTTGGCATTCTATCCCTTCCTGGAACAGCAAGTGATATGCTATCGTGAATCCACGTTCGAGAGGCTGTGCTTCTACAGGAGCTTATACAGCAGTATTGCCAGCGTATCCAACGCATCATCTTTGACCTATATGCTCAGTAGTAGGCATTACTAGTATATATAGTCATCATGAAAGACCCAAGATGGTAGTACATTAAGATATCATTCCATGAATATATTGTATTCCGTATACTTTGCCTCCCATCATCAATGTTCAAACCACTATTATAACGTGTTTCATAGTTCCCAGCCACTCATCCAACCCATATTATACATCCCCAGACCAACTCAGCTGAGAATTAGTCTGTATTCAAGGGTAACAGAGCACACTATCAACATAAACCGGCTCCGACGAGGTATGTTCACCCGGCTGCAACAGCGTGTTTCGTCCTGTGCAGCCTACTCCACTATAGTATACATCCGAGTCAGCATCTTCAGAACCCCCTTCAGAACCCTCAATATGCACTAAATACACTCAAGTATCGTGGGAAAAAAGAGTCACACTTACGTAAACAGACGGCATGTCTTGGAGAGGAACACGCCACGAACTTCACTGTGACAGATAAGATAGATGTCAACGGACTCTCCCTTTCGTTCTTTCTCTTCGCGAGGACATCAGGTCGAATTGATGTTGTTGGTGATGCGACTTACAACTGCCCAACTTGAGTACAGTCATCGAACGGGATGTGGACCGAATGGCTGCCTTCGTCTGTCTCAAGACCAATCTATCCACAGCAGTGACTTTGTTAGCAGACGACTTCCATGCTTATAGATTTGTATTGAGGGTGCGCAGGTAAAGTAGAGTAAGACGTACAGTGGTAGTCAACTTGGCACTACCAACTCCGGCTAGGAGCAGCGTGCTCAATAGGGAGATCACTTTGAAAGAATACATGATAGCTGGATGTGCTCGGCTCAAGGATATCAGTTAACCACGATTATGAGAGAATATAGAGGTTCTCAATCGCATGCAGCAGTAGTAGTACAGAGAACAGAGTAGCGCATATTTAAGAACACTCCTCCAAGGGCGAAATGCCAGGTATACATAACTTTTCCCGGGTACGGCGTATCCCTTGCATGGGGGCAATCGCGTTCAAACCAAGGGGGAGGGAGGGCGTGAACTGGGTCATTACCCCAGCCACTCCATATCCTGCCCGCTTGGTTTACATTTAGTAAGTACTAGCTAGATATGCATGCATGCATGCAGAGAACTAAGGTTTGCGCTCTGTGCCTGGGCGCTGCATGATGCTGCCTTTTTTCTTCTCAGCCATACATGCTTGCGACACCCATCGATTGGTGCTCCCATTGTGACAAACTTGGGGGCAGACGTGCTTTGTACATGGAGAAGGATGGCTTTCTTACCTTGTAGAAGGGATCTACTAAATGGGAATTAAAGAGCTTAGGTCTATGTTTATTTACTCTATTCATGGCTGCAGGTGCATTACGTACACAAAGAGCGGCTTTAGAGGTATACAGTACATTCCATTATCCGGCTAAAAGAACCTGCCAACTGAAGCAAATCCACTCAGAGGGTTTCTAAATAGTGGCATATGGTAGCATGTAATGCCTTAAGAACTGAGCGCTGACATTAAGAGTGGAGACTCGAGGCTCGAGTTCGGAGATACTAGTATCTAGGTTGATCTACTGCGCCAGGTTAGTGGACATTCATACTTAGTCGTAGTATGCGCAGCCTATCTACTGATTCAGTTCAGCCCCCTTCTTTGAATTTATGCCTCACTGTAGTTGTAACACCGCACAGGGAGCGACGGCAGTGTATGGACCCATACTGTATATCGATCAGTAAGGGTAGTATTAGTAGTGATATCATACGGTGGCAGAGCCAATTTGATAGGTGCTCCTCTGACGGGGCGGTATTAGGTGTCACGTAAAGCGAGCTCGATGACGCTATATGGAAATAATATGGAACAGATGCATGCTAACGGCAGCCGATTAACCACGCCCTTCTTCAAAGTATATGGAGACAAATTCATGTAATTTCAAATGGACACCGAAACAGAGCCAGAGAACAAGATGTAACTATGAGAGAACCATGCATGAAAAAGATCCATCAAGCAAGAACAGAAACAGAACCCAGTAACATAACTCCAACGCCCTAAGCCCGCTGACAGAACGCCGGCTATATGCAAGGTGGCGAGTGATAAATACGAGGGAAACAGTCAGCATCAAGAGATAGTGGAGGCTAGTCAAAGCCAGGATGATCCATCAATCCATGCGTTGTTGGGGTATTCTCCTCCGGGTCTGCCAACGCTGGCAGCTGGTACCGGTCTGGTACCGTCGGCCACGCATCCACCCCGTCTAACAGGGCCACGGCTAACCCACCGCTCTCGTGCATGGACAGATGACAGTGCATGAAGAACGGACCGGGGTTGACAGAATGATAGCGAATCGCCAGCCAGCTATGGTTTGGCGTCGATGGCGGTGTCTGGAAGGTGTCGCGGAGTTGAGGGTTTACCAAATTGAAGCTATCAGGAATGTCTTTCTGTGCCTCAGCCACGGTAGACCATTTCCATACTCCGTAGCCCCAACCGAGGACATAGAATTTGTTGGAGTGTTTGTGAATCGGGTGCTGTGGCTGTCCGATCGTAGACATATTAAAGATAAGGTCCACCCAGGTGTTGTTCTTGGTCATGACGGTGTATTCGGAGGGGATCGAGGAGTAATTGAAAAGTGCCGGGGGCGTAAGATCCTCGTTGGACATGGGATAACTGGCTTCGCCGAGGGTCCAGCGATAGGAGGCGTTATAGAGTTTGACATTTAGGATCTGGGTCTGGTCAGGCTCGGGAGCAGGGGCCTCATTATCAAAGGGAACGATGTCAGCCTCGTCGAGAATGATAGTGCCGTTATGACCAAGCGCAGTGCCGACTTCATTGATGTACGGTGCGGAGGTGTTGAACTGGCTTGGCTGGGAGCCGGTGTAGGACATGATGGCGGTGCCGTTGATGATTTGGTTTGCGAACTTGTTAGCAACGCGGACGGTATATATGCTAACGGGTTGGTCTAGCTTCACAAGGACCGAGTACCGCGCTCCGGCGTACACATTGATCGCATCGACTACTAGGGGCTCGACGTAGCGGCCGTCGACCGCATAGAGATACATAGGATGTTCATCGATAGAGAAAACCAAGTTGGACGTGCCAGGTAGGCTGATGAGGTCGTAGCTGACGTATCGGGTCCTCGGGTCGACAGAAAGCACTTCCTGCTCCCCATCGGTCGGTACGCAACCCTGATAGTATCCCGGCGGGATTTTTGTTTCGTCGAACGGAAACCCGCCCAGACGGGCTGCAAGGGGTGGCATACAGCTGGTATATGGTGAGTGAACCGGTCGAGGTTAAGGCCGAAGCTAGTAGACTTACCCCATATCGGACATGGTTTTATTTCCAAGCGCAGTCCATTCACCCGATCGGGTGAGGGCATTGATGTGGTCCTGCGGGGGGCAGATGACCGCCCCTTTACCATTTACCAAGATGGCATTAGCACAGGTCGCCTGAACCCCAGAGTCTTCTTCGATCTGCAGAGTCTCCTCGGAGGTGAAAGCTCGCCAATCGGAGAGCATGATTGGATGGGTGTTCTTTTCAGCTTGCAGCATGGCTTGGAGTTCATACGGGACGGTGCTGATCTTGCTAAACGGCCTCTGCACGTCTGAACGCGGTTCTACATAGATAGCACCATAGAGACCATCGTCCATCTGAGCTCTTGTGTGGGCGTGATAGGCGTAGGAGCCGTAGTCGGTGGCCGTCCATTCATATCTATATTGCTCACCAGGCTTGATCATTTCTTGATTGAGCCCCGGGACCCCGTCTGACCATGGGGTGCCATACTGAGCGATACCTAGTTTCGTATAAGTCAGTAGCCGACAGGACAAGGTTCGAGGTTTGGGAGGGGCGGATTGCCGCGCTGCGATGAGCTTACCGTGCCAGTGGACCGTGGTGCCGAATGGCATTGAGTTGTTGACCAGAACTCTCACCTGGTCGCCTTGGTTCACGCGGATATTCGGTGCTGGGACTTGGCCATTGGTGTGAATTGCCTTACGGGAGATACCCGCAACATTGCTATCCTCCCATGTCAAGTCGAGTCTAAAGTCAACGATGCGGGAAGAGGAGAACTGGACGAGCCACGACAGGACTGGCAGAACCAGCGCGTTGGGATGGGACCACTTCATGCTGGGAGAAGTGCCAGGATTGGAAGAGGAGGCGGATAATCAACGAGATAACCCAGTATGAGCAGGGGAGGGATGTGCGATGGATACGATCTAAGATGTTGACCCGGTCGAGGGCCGGACTTATATGCTGGGACCGCCATACTTGTTATTGTGCTTGTTTATGATGGATTTGGGCAGGTTTCGCCAGAGCTGGAGCATTAAAAGATAGTTTACCGAACTCGGGCCAGCAATGTCGGCCTAAGGAGTGGAATGCAGAGGAATGCGGTAGCGAGATTGACTCAAGTGCGCTCATAGTGTTGGAAGCATCTCTTTTTCCCAGTAGGGGTTGGAAGGGTGGAATGAGGCGAGGATGGCGTCTCCGATCTCGATCCTCGATCGCTTTCGCTTCCGGTGCTGCGCTCGGTGCACGTGATCTCTCTGGCCTGCCGCAAACAAAGCAGACAATAACTGGGAAACATTTGGGAAACCATCATCTCTACTCCGTATCCTACGTATCTTGATACTTGGTCAGTTGTGGCGTTGACCCAAGTGAACCTTCTCTCTAGTAGTATCTTTACTGCTATACTAGTCTATCAGTATACTAGTGTACTACATCCTATCCATAGTACGCTTGTGGTTCCTCCTCCCCACTGTTAGTCCCACTCTCTTCGGGAGGATCAACCCGGTCGCAACCCTTGGTTCGCTCTGCTCTAGAGATTGAGATTATTCTATCTCAATGTGAGAAGTACAAGGTGTGCAAGACAAAGTCATTGATCGCAAAGCACTGTGCTTGCGTCGAAGCCCGACATTCTAGACAGCATTACTTTTTGTTCCTCGGAAAGGAATAATAATAACAATAACAACAACAAAAGTAATAATAATAATAGACATGCCGGTGCGCTGAGACCGGCCCGCATAGTATAGCCCAGGCCCTGCCTTGCTGGCCGAGAATTGCCCGCATCCGTCCCTCACCCATCTGGGTCCGATCGGACGCCACTCCGTGATCATCCTCAACATCAAGCCACTTGCATATCGACAAGTCCCCAGGTTCGTGGTGGATCATAGCGTATTACTCATGGATCTCCCGCAAGCGCGGACGGCTTGTACCGATTCCCTATCCTGTTTCTACATGGCATACTCCGACCTCGAGTTGTCAGATGCCATGAGGCGGAGACCGGTTTCGGCCATCCACCTCCCTGCAAAACAAGGCACGACAGGAGACCACCCCAGATGTCCATTCCATCTGAATTGGATGCTTCGCACTGCACTAAATTATACATCCTACTAATGGGAATGCTTTGGGTTTAGAAGCAAAGATGAGCACCAGAACCATCTTGTTGCTGCCTTGGAACTGACCGGCCGCCTCCGTACAGAATAGCACTTTTGCCTCATACGGTATGCTGACAGTGTACGAGGGCCTGTTTACAGACTCACTTATCTGGCTCAAGCTATCTGGCATATCACAGCTCTTGGATTGCTCTCTTTAGTTGTCTTGTCATAGCTGGGTAGCCAAATCTGGATTCTGGCATTTGCCCCCTTAGCCAAAGCAATGGAGGTGTGGCTGCGCTGAATTCTAGAAGTAACAGATCAGAGCGTCTAAGAATTACTCTCTGCTTTTCTAACAGAAGCCATCAATGAGAGACCTATCAAGAGGATAGTATTTTAGTAACGAACCCGCAGCATTACATGGCAGGGAGCTTTAGCATCGTCAAGAAAATATTTACCCGCACGCGTCTACCTCCAGAGGAATGACTGGGCTGCCTGTCTCTGAGATGCCTCATCTCCTGCAGGATATGCATCGAGTACTTTTGCATAAGCATTTATCGAGCCCGATAGGTTCCACACTATAGAGTGCCTGCCATCCATCTAGGGGGGTTCTCGGGAAATATCTGCAAGCGCATTGTTAGATCTCTCCTTGCTTCCTCGGCTCAGTGTCATGCATGAGCTACATGAGCCCGTCGGGTAACTTTCTGGTCGATTCATCTTGTTCCGATACTGTCGGCCTTTCTCAAAATCGGAACCGTGTGTTTGAGACAGCGATTCGGATCAGGATTGCGGAGTTGCATGCTCCATGGCAAAAACCCAGTCATACTGACGTGCCTGTCAAACATGCTCGCTTGGTATTTGATTCGTAGATTAGCCCGCGGCCTATGCAATTCAGGTCTGCATGGAGGGGGGGGGACTTGACTCGGTCGATACTACTAACAGATGCCTCCGCGGTCCATCGCCGCAGCTATTGATCAACAACCAACGCGTTCACCAACAAGTCATAAGAACAATAAAAACTCGAAATGAGTGAACTGAGTAGTGAAAGGATCAATGAACTTGGGCAACATTGTCCAAATCACTATGAGGCTGGGAGTATTGTAGAACAAGAAATTAGTTCGTAGTAGAGTTGCATTGGATCAGCATCCTCTGTTGACAATAAATACGTCACCCAGTCCCGCCTCGGAACCTGGCAGAGGCATCAATCGGAAATGCATCTCCAACGCACATTCACAACGCGTTTGGTGGCGCAGACTAGCATGGATAAATAATTGGTTCTGGGTGCACTTACCACAGGAGTATATCTTGGCAACCCCGCCATATTGTTCCATCGTGGTATACTTGGTAGATGGTTAGTAGTAACTTAAGTAGTATATAGTAGTCGCTAAGTAGTAAACCGCGCTATGCCTGTTGTACTTCGGAGGTCGGCCCGTCCAGCCGCGCCCCCAGCAACTTCCATCCCCCCTCAATTACTACTAAGTACTTCCAGTTAGTCTCCTGAAGTCAGAAAGGATTGGATCATGGGATGTCCATGGGATGTCTGAATCCTACTAGTCATTTCTTGCTTGATGTCGTACTACCCTCTCCGCTTTCTCCACTTTCTTTAGCGTGGATTCATCCTCCTTGGCGGACATCCAACATGATCTACTATATAAACATCCATCCCATCGTTGCTGCCTGATTCCTTTCTCTGGATCTTCTTCTTCATTGCAATTGCCTCATCTTCTATCATTCAAACATGGGTTCAGCAACAGCTTCAACCTTGCCTCCGGACTTTCTCTGGGGTTTCGCGACTGCCAGGTATTTTTCCACCCGTGTTCTTCTCCCCACTCAGCCGAAGCTGCATTTCACAAGCAAAGTGCTAATCTGCTCATCCACAGCTACCAGATTGAAGGCGCAGTAACCGAAGATGGCCGTGGTCCTTCTATCTGGGACACATTCTGCAAAATCCCGGGCAAGATAGCCGGGGGAGCCAACGGAGACGTAGCATGCGACTCGTACCACCGTACAGCTGAAGACATCGCACTGTTAAAGGAATGCGGTGCTCAGGCTTACCGCTTCTCAATCTCATGGTGAGAATGATGTCATGACCGACGGTTAATGAGCCGAACTGAATTCTAAACCTCCAGGTCGCGCATCATTCCCCTCGGAGGCCGCAACGACCCCATCAACGATAAGGGTGTCCAACATTATGTCAAGTTCGTCGACGATCTTCTAGCAGCGGGGATCACACCCCTTGTGACACTGTTCCACTGGGATCTCCCCGATGCATTAGACAAGCGTTACGGTGGGCTTCTCAACAAGGAGGAGTTCGTTGCGGATTTCGCCAACTACGCTCGAGTCATGTTCCGGGCCCTGGGCTCGAAAGTCAAGCATTGGATCACCTTCAATGAGCCGTGGTGTTCCAGTGTCCTTGGGTATAACGTCGGTCAGTTTGCTCCCGGTCGGACGAGTGATCGGAGCAAGAGCGCAGAGGGAGATAGCTCGAGGGAGTGCTGGATCGTGGGGCACAATATCCTCGTGGCTCATGGAGCTGCGGTGAAGATCTACCGAGAGGAGTTCAAGAGTAGAGATGGTGGGGAGATCGGAATCACACTTAACGGTATGTATAACACTCTTCGGTTCTGTCTGTTGACTTAATGTTTCCAATTATTTTGCTCAATTCGCGGCCCATATATATAGGAGACTGGGCTGAGCCCTGGGATCCCGAGAATCCGGCCGACATCGAAGCCTGCGACCGCAAGATCGAATTCGCCATCTCCTGGTTTGCAGACCCCATCTATCACGGAAGGTATCCAGACAGCATGATAAAGCAGCTTGGCGACCGACTCCCCAGCTGGACCGCAGAAGACATCGCTCTCGTCCACGGCAGCAATGACTTCTACGGCATGAACCATTACTGCGCCAACTACATCAAAGCCAAAACCGGCGAAGCGGATCCCAACGATACTGCCGGAAATCTGGAGATCCTGCTCAAGAACAAAAAGGGCGAGTTCATCGGCCCAGAGACACAGTCTGCATGGCTGAGACCGTATGCACTTGGGTTCCGGAAGCTGTTGAAATGGCTAAGCGATAGGTACGGTCAGCCTAAGATCTACGTTACTGAGAATGGGACGAGCTTGAAGGGCGAGAATGACTTGCCGGTGGAGGGGCTGCTGAAGGATGAATTCCGGACGCAGTACTTCCGTGATTATATTGCTGCTATGGCTGATGCGTACACGCTGGATGGGGTGAATGTGAGGGCTTATATGGCTTGGAGTTTAATGGAGTAAGTACTGCGATATGCTTATTCCCTGGATGCATTATGGGTGCTTGTTTACTGACCGGATTAGTAACTTCGAATGGGCTGAAGGTTACGAAACCCGGTTTGGGTCGACCTACGTCGACTACGAACATGGCCAAAAGAGGATCCCGAAGGACAGTGCAAAACAGATCGGCCAGATTTTCAGCCAGTATATCGAGAAGATATGAGTATTTAATTGCGAGGAGTGCATCGATTGTTAATTATGTCATTCATGGGCATAGCTTACGGAATGAGAAATCACAGCCTTTATGTCGTAAGACAATTAAAGTTCGTAGGACAGATTCCAGCTCTCTATCTTGAATAAGCGTAGTGGGACAGCTACTGCACACGAGTCTAAGAATAGTATCGACTCTTACGTGGGGGTCTACAGCTTTACACACCCCGCGGGGTTGAAATTCCGAGGATCCTACCACGTCAAATGGGCTCACTCACCGCAATTCGCGAAATTAGGGCCGATACACCTAGCATCGACGCGGTGACACCATAGCAAAGATGAATGATAGGAATAGCAGAGCAGAGCGAAGCGGAATCGGGAGCCGCGTTCTGCTTACAACACAGGCATGCCGTATTTGCAGGGTGTGGGCTTGTTAGACCAGACTGCGGGTCTTTTGAGTCGAACCAAGCAGGACCGGGCAGAAGGAAGTAGGTCGAGCTGTGTGTTTTGGGACATCAGAATGCACAGGCAGGCTGAGCCAAATCGATGGGATCATTCACTGGACTGAAAAGGCCGTGGTATACACGAGCGGTCATGCGACATTTGCTCGGGCTTCCGGCGTGGCTCGTAAGACAGCGGGACAGAGCGAGAGATAGAACAAACAGTGATCAGACAATTATTCGATGCTTATCTGTGATTGCATGATTGGAGAGTAGCATGACCGACGGGCACTTTCGGGGCTCCGGTGAGGCCCTCACGTGGTGAGAGTTTGCACTGTTTGCAGGTCTGGAAGTGGCAGGAGAATCTCCCCCGGATTCCGGCGGGGAGAAGGAAGGGAGTGCCCCCTTGCCAGCTCAGAATACTCCATAGTTTCCAAATCCAAGTATCCAACCGTCATATTATTGCAAGACTTCCCTCGAACAGCTCTCTCCAGAATCAGCTATCATGGCGTCGACCACCAGCACAGGTACGTGAGAACAAACCCAGGAGGCATGCTTTCTTGGCGTTCCTGGACATGTTCCTGGACAGATTCGCAAAGCGGCCGCGACCCACGAAATTTATCCACCCTCCCCAACTCCATGAGCACCGTGAACTTGCACCGTATCTTTGCATCCTCGTTCCTGTACCACTGTTTCATTGAGCGTATGCATACCTTCAGGGCCAGATTGTGATTGTTGGATTTGGCTCCGTGATCCCACAAGGCCAACCCCCTTTGTGCCACAGGCAGAGTGACTCATCCTCCTTTGACTGCGGTTCTTTTTTGGCTTTCCGATTGAGCGAACCCTTCTCTTTCTTGTTTTCCATAGCCCCTTCACGCCATTATGAATTTCACGAGGCGTGCTTTGCGAATGCGACAAATGTACCAGGGCTGTGGAGCCGGTGTTCCTCATACCCCTCGCCGTTTTCTTTTCCACCCAATCACGACTTCATATCGACAAACCGCTTGCTTTTCAGCCACCAAGCCGCCAGCGTGTGCTAATTTTGTCCCTTCAGATCGCTTCACCTCTGCTCTGCATCAGAACAAGGATTGGGCAGCGCAGATTGCCAAGGAGGACCCTTCGCTCTTCCCCACACTCGCCGTCGGCCAGCACCCGGAGATCCTCTGGATTGGCTGCTCTGATTCTCGGTGCCCTGAGACCACCCTTCTTGGTCTCAAACCGGGCGATGTCTTTGTTCACCGCAATATCGCCAACGTCCTCCATGCCGGCGACCTGAGCTCTTCAGCTGTGATCGAATATGCTGTCCGCTACTTGCAGGTCAAGCACGTAGTCCTTTGCGGCCACACCAGCTGTGGTGGTGTTGCTGCAGCACTGGGTAACAAACAACTGGGTATTCTTGATCCCTGGCTGCTGCCTTTGCGCCAGCTCCGCGCGAAACACCTGGATCTGCTGAACTCGCTGCCGGCCGACGAAGCCAACCTTAAGCTGGTCGAGTTGAATGTTCTGGAGGGGGTCAAGCTGTTGAAGGAGAAGAATGTAATCCTGGAAGCCGTACAAGATCGGGGTCTTCAGGTTCACGGGTTGATATATGATGTTGGCAGTGGTGTTCTTCGGGAGCTGGACACCGATGAGTCGGAGGCGGCGATCAAGGCGCGCCTAACATCGTTCAAGACCGACATCTAGGGGCGGGGGCATTGGTTGTATATTCTCGATTCCATTCTATCTGTTGCTTTTGCCTTTTCAGCGACCAGCGAGTGTTAGCAGACATCGATGTATTCGTCATCTTTGAATAATCCTTATTCCCCATTCTTCACCATTCACCCCGACAAGCGTAATTGCGCCATCCATCATGAGAAATCCATCAAATGGATGAACTGTTTGCAGTCCTCTAGCGTAGTTGATCGAGGAAACAAGTGGCAGATGATGCAAGAATAAAACTGGATGGAGGAAGTGAAGAGTGGGCTGAAGGGTCTGTGTATTGTCGGGGAAGAAGAGGAGGGGAGAGAAAGAGAATGAGGAAGAGGAAGAGGAAGAAAAGCTGACGCAGCCTGAGAGGGAAAGCAGTCCCCGAAGACTAGTTTGACCTTACATCAGAACGCGAACCATTCATTAGTTATTCTGTTTGCTGTCTCCGCATGTAACAGCCTCCTGCCCGGCTGGGAAAGTCGAGGGACCTTGGTGGATCCCCGGGTCGGCTGGATTGGGTATAGTCCCGGCCGAAGCGGCATTGACTCGGGATGATCTTGGTGAACATCCTGGCATGCTTCCAGGATCTTATGCACCTGGGATAGTTAGGTAATTCCTCTCGTTCGTACCTATTTCTTTCCATTGTGGAAAATTATCGATGATACCCCCCAAATATTAGTAGAGTACTTAGATTACGGAGGGCCTGTTCGGTAAGAATACGCGGAGCCAGGTCGCTTGGCGCTTTGCGGTATCTACCTGAGGCAGGAATTGGCAACCGAGTCGACGTACACTCGGAGTCTCGGATAAGTGCAGAATGACAGGACAATGCGACGACTTTGTATGTACAGGAAGGTGTTCATTGATGATTTTAAAACTCGAGTTCTTCGACTTCCATCCCGCAGTCAACGCATTTCTTGACCCCAATCCCCGTCTTGGGATCTTCGACCGATCTTCCCCACTGATGTACATGTCGTCCACCACCCCCCAAGTCATCCCCAAAATTACCCCCGGTCGCTCCTTGCCGGCTTCGTCGGTATGCGTCGACTCGTGTACGCTTCTTGAGGTCTTCAAGTTTGCTCTTGAATTTGACCTCCCGCCGGCGCTTCTTCTCATTCTCGCGTCGCTCAAACTCCGCGTCCAAGGCTTCGGGTGAGCCCCATTTCTTGGCGGAAAAGGCGTACTCTTCGACCTGATACCGTAGGTACAGCATCATGTTATTCCACGTTGATTTATGCGGATTCGGGCGCTCCAGGTGTGGGAGGAGTTCCTCATCCTGAAGTTCGGCTGCAGTTGGGCCCGTCGTCAGCGAACGCTCAGTGGCAAACCATGCCGCAAACCTGTGCAGGGGGATACTCACGATTGGTCAAGAGGTAATCCTCTCGTGCCTCGGTCTTGGTAAGTAGACTGTATTTCTCCGGAAATTTATCCTTGCAAGCATGGCAGACACAGCACCGGAGCGCTTCTTCCCATTTCCAGTCGATTTCTAAGCTGCCACACTCTCGGCACGTTTTCTGTCGTGTCCGCTCATCCAACACACTGAGCCCCGGTTCGAAGGGTCCTGCACGATCTCGATGGAGATTCTTTAGCAGCTGTTGTCGCTCCCATTCCTTCTGCGTCATGTGCGCTGGCTTCTGCTCCGCCTTCTCATCCCGAACATGAAGGGCTTTGTTGTAGCGGTCATCCTCTTCAGTCAAGAACCCACCCTTCGTGTCGGTGATCTTGGAGAAGTCGTATTCAACGAACTTGGTAAAGTTGCGCGCCGGCTTGATGCCATCTAGTGGGCGATTATCTGTAGAGGCCGCATCGCGCAGAGTCGCCGGAGGATCGGAGGCAGTCATGGAGGAGTAGGTTCGCTTGACACCTTTGGTGGACGAAGGATCAGCATTGTGTGCTCGAGCTTGTTCGGCTTCGCGTTGTTCTCGTATTGCTATGGCTTTCTGGCGATTGTTTTCCTGGATTCAATATCGTGTCAGCTCCGAACTAGAGGAACCGTGATCATAGTATGTACTATTCTCCGCAATTGCTCTGGGGTTAGCGGATTCCGCTTGAGATCGCCTGGCGTGCTCATCCCGCGTTCGGGTGGCGGAGCCGACTGTTCCTCCGTCACCATTTCTTCTGTGAAAGAGTGACTGGGAGAGGACGAGCTTGACGATAAGAACTGCGAAATGGTCAAGGGTGGCGTTATCAGGCGGGAAAGTCGTCGGCGCGTTTATCGCCGGGTCGATAACCGGCGAGCGAATCCTCCGCATACTACTCACGTGATTTAATATGGGGGAGAAGGAACCTATTGGTGTCCTCCAATATCCAGCTAGAAACAGGCTCATGCTAGAGGGTGGGCATCCCTTTTACGCACACCAATGTCTACCACAGCTTCTTTTCCTCGAAGTATGTCACCTTGGCAAGCCCATATCTGGCATACAAGTAACGGCACATAGGTGGGCAGCCACCTCCATTGTAGGTAGGAACGAATAATGTCGGCCTTTGAAGTGCAATAACTCACTAAATTACCCATGATATAGCCACCACATGGGGATTGATGTTAAAAATACTTGCACAAAGGATGCAAGGTCACATCTATTGGGAGAATCCAGTAACTCCCCCCCAGACAACTTGTAACTAGAAGCCGGACATGAACACCCGGGCAGAAGCAGATGAACCATTTACCACGGCTTTCGTGCCAAGGGTTCTGTTGTCGCGGCTAAAACCTGTGGGTCCCTAAATCGAGTAAACGAGTTTGAGCTCCTCATGCCTGCTCCGTGTGTGTACATTCAATTAGCATAGTTGATAGTTACTTCTGGGGGTGGTTGGTAGTCATCATGCTGGGCGAAGGACTGCGATCTCTGGGAGCCCAAATTATTTCACGGAAGCCCACTTTCAGTATCACTTCCTTGCTCACGCTTAAAGTCATTATTAACAGTGGTCGGGGGTTTAATGTTGCGCTTGCGCACGGTAGTGAACTCAAATTTTGTAATAAAAGCAGCATGAATGGGGAAGCCAGTAGTAAGACCCCAACTTATTGAACGAAAAGGTCAAAGCGTTGCTTTTTTCTTTTGCAGTATCCGAGCGTTCTTACCCCGTACCAACCTGTAGGAGAACTCCCTAGACTTAGCCGATCTGCACCTCATTGGTGGTGAATAATGTCGTGCGTGATTTTGAGTTCGGGGAGATTCCGGGGAAGATTGAACTACTACTAGGAGGGCCTAAGGCTAGGCAAAGCACTTGGCCGGCGGAAGACCAGCGCGGGAAAGGGTTCACCCTGCCGCTTCCATCCATCTTCGAACGTTTCTCCGCCATCGGTGGCCCGCGGGGCCTTAAAACATCCCCTCGCAGTTCCCCTTCTCTCTTTCCCCATCCCCCTTCCCCCCCAATTCTTCCTTTTCGAAACAATTCATTGCGATCTCCCACAAATCGCTGCCAATCTACCAACCCGCCCAACATGGCATCCTCCAACACCCAACCCGAAGAACCCATCACCATCCCCCAGGACCGGGATGGCGTTGCCTACCTCTACGGCCACCCTCTCCTCAACTCGCTCTCTCCTCCTCTCCATGCCGCCATCTACAACCACCTCGGGCTGAACTGGATTCAGATCCCCCTCTCCAGCGTCTGCGGCACCTCCGCCACCTACCCTCCCCCGTACACACGCTCCCCGCCCATCGACACCTTCCTGTCCTCCATCCGCGCCAACCCCAAGTTCGTCGGCTCCTCCGTCACTATGCCCTGGAAGGTCTCCATCATGCCGCACCTGGACGACCTTACCGAGGACGCCCGCCAGGCCGGCGCCTGCAACACTATCTTCCTGCGCGACAATGCCGACGGCTCCCGCTCCTACGTCGGCACTAACACCGACTGCATCGGTATCCGCGAAGCCCTCGTCCAGAACACCGTGAACGCTGCCGAACGGTTCGCTGGCAAGCCTGCCCTCGTTGTCGGTGGTGGTGGTACCGCTCGCTCCGCCATCTACGTTATGCGCAAGTGGCTCGGCGCCAGCAAGATTTACATTGTGAACCGTGATGCTAGTGAGGTTCAGGCCATTATGGAGGAGGATCAGCAGCGCAACCCGTCCGCGGATAAGGCGCCCTTGGTTCCCGTTACGGATCCGGAGGTTGCGAAGACGCTGGAGACTCCCGCTGCTATTGTCTCGGGTATCCCCAACTACCCGCCCAAGACCGAGGAGGAGATCCGTGCCAGGAATGTCCTGACGGCGTTGTTGGGCGCCAAGGACGATGGCAAGCCTAAGGGCGTTATTTTGGAGATGTGCTACCACCCTGTTATCTGGACGGAGATTGCCGAGTTGGCCGATGCCGCGGGATGGAAGGTTATTGTTGGCTCGGAGGCGCTGCTCTGGCAGGGTCTGGAGCAGGCCAAGCTTTGGACTGGAAAAGATGTGGTTGCTGTTCCGGGCTTGTTGGATATGGTCAAGGAGGTGGTGGCCAAGAATTTGGCAGAGAGGCAGAAGGCTACTCTGTAATCTTCTTCCCCTCCTTATTCCCTCACATCCGACATGTTTCACGATGATTCATTCCTGTATAGACTCTCGCATACCCGGTGCATTGCTTGTTATGGAAGACCAAAAATAACAGAACAGGGCTCAGTAAAGAGGCCCCCGATGATAGATATGACGTGTGTTTGATTAGGTACATACGTGGATCTGGCTGCTGTATATAGTGCAATATGATGTCTTCATCCCTTTCCTTCCTGGTCGCTTCTCTGTAGTACAGTAACTATTATAGATATTCTATCAGCAGTATGTGACGGTGTATATCTATAGCCGAGATGCTCACGCGCCCGGCCGGGTATATTCCAGCTGCCGCACGCGCTTCCACACTTCCCGCACGGTGCGCTCCTGCGTCTGGCGTCCGGTCTCCGTCGCCGACGGACCAGCCGGTCTGCTGCAGTTAGATGCCGTACTCAGCTACAGGACAGAAGGCGAGAAGTAACATACCTAATGGCAAGATAGAGTCGGCTGCCGAGTCGAACGTCTTCAATGGCCGCAGTCTCCGGGTCCTCCGGAGGATTAGCGGTTGTGACTAGGCCGCCTGCCTCCAAGAGGATGGCAATACCCGCTGCGACATCCCTACACACCACACTTGATTAGCGAAACACAACCCTGAGGGAGGAAAGACTCCCGGCTGAAAGGACGTACCACTCCCAACAGCCACCCTCCCACCAAATATCAAATGACCCCATAGCCGTATACGCCAAATCTAACGTGGCGCTTCCCAAACTCCTAACTCCGTGCACCATACCTCCCTTGCCACCGCGACTACCCACTTCCGCTGCTAGGTTCAGGAAACTCTCGATCTTGCGATACAGGTTCCCGTCGGCGATATCGCGACGGTCCTTGCCCCATTCGCAGGATAGAATGCACTTGCTTGGAGCATTAGGCGGCATGGGTGGGATAGTCGGATTGCGGATGAGGGGGAGACGGCGCTTTTCATTTAACCATGCGCCGCGATTTACACAAGATGAAAAGAGCTGGTCTTGAAAAGGAGCGTAGATCACGCCGATGATGGGACGGTGGTTGACGATGAAGCCTATGGAGACGCAGAACATGGGGAAAATGTGTGTGAAGTTGACAGTTCCTGGTTCGAGGAGGCGAGTTATTTCATGTCATTGATGGCAGGCGAGGGAGTATGGCTAGGGTTGTTACCATCTAGGGGATCAATGCACCATGTTGGGTGCTCGTCGATCAAGTAGTCGCGCGACTGTCCTTTGGCGTAGGACTCTTCACCCAGGAACCTGAATAGGTCAGCTGGGAGATGTTTTGTGGACTGGGGAAGCTGGGAATGGCGACTCAGGGACATACTTATGTGTGGGGTATTTGGACTGGATTGCGTTCTTAATGAATACTTCTACTTCTGTGCAGGGCAGCCCGTTGGTGAGATGCGAGTCGAAGGCAGGCTGTGGGCGGGTTAAAGCATACCTTCATCGGTCTGGGTGACAATGTCGACGGCGCTGTCCTTCTCCTCGACTGCCTGAGAGACTCCGTCGCCAATGCGCTTCTCGACGCTTTCCATCAGAAGCTGACCAGCCTTCCGGCCCAGATCGACTGCAAAAGCGTAGATCTGGTCCAGCTGCTCTTGACTCAGCTCCGAGGCCGCCATTTTGGTGGTGGGGTCGATGATCTTGGGGAGGCGGGGGGTGGTGTATTAGTTCACTCTTTAGAGGGGGGAACAGCGGAGCCAGATAGAAGCACAGGTAGCAGGAAGGAGTGAAAAGAAGGAAGAAAGAGAGAGAGGAAGAGGAAGAGAAGAGGAAGAGTCAGACACACACAGAGAGAGAGAGAGAGAGAGAGAGAGAGAGAGAGAGAGAGAGAGAGAGTCATGGAGTCTCTCACCGGAGACGCCGCCGATAACCGCCCGGCCCTTATCGGTGGGGCTGCCCCTCAAACTCTGGATTCCTTTATAGATCATCACAAATGTCTTCAGCAGTTATCCGGGCTCATACTTTGCTTGGTAGACTTCATCAGAAGATAGCGGATGAACGGATTTTTTTAAGTAAGCCAGCGACACTGCTAGAACATGAATTCATTAAGTGAGGTCGCATAACTACTAAAACACCCAATTGTCGCATAAGATTTTGTCCGTAATATGTCTATGGTATCCAAGAGACCATGGACAATTGGCAGCATTGGTCTCGACCTGAAAAGCCAGGTCCTTGCCGGGTGTGTGGAATGCGATGATGCAAGTCTGTAGTTTGGCACTTGCTGGCAATACTAGTTGTCACTCCGTGACGAACATAATATCGAATCCAATTGTCTTTGGCCCTTTGCACTGGAGTACACAATTATCAGGCCAAACCATAGGTATTGCAGATTTGAATAAAGTGTGTACCCTAATCTAGTCCTTTTGTCCACTGAAAAGAACTTGTGTGGCTACTTTCCCGACTGATTTGCTTATGGGATACATTCACAACCTTCGGGATGTTTGGACAGAAGCCAGCAGACAAACATTTTACTGAGAAAACAGAAGTTTGTAAGTCAGTGGGAGAGTATTTCTCTTCACGGCTGGCAATGGACACCGATTAGTGTGAAGAGCAGCCGAGGCTGCTGCAAACGGCAAGGTGGATGATGCGGAGAGAATGGCAAAGTCTGGTAGAGAGGAGTTTACAGATCAGAGCTTAAGGTGTGAACTCTGCCTGGTAGCACTGGTTAGTAGATCCTCTGTGGCTAATATACCCGCAATTAGAGGGGAGAGCTCAGGTCTAAATTCCATGATGCTGCTAGTAACAACATAAACCAAAGACCTCAACTTCTTTGACGGTTGGCTTCGGATGCCTGGCGGCTAAGCGATCTTCCCGCCCCGCTGTTCAACCCCGGATGTCAGAAGAAAGAACTTCATGGGACTGGCCTTTGACACCACACTGCCACCATGTAACCCTTATCATATATAGGGGGGTCTAGACGACCTCGCTTTGAGTGTCACCTGCGAACTGCTGTCTGTATCCACGTAGTACAAAGTATCACGATGGTGGGACAACCCGGCAGATCCATCAAGGGTGGGTCTTGGAGAGAGGCTGAGCAACGCACGGAGTTCATCCTAATTAGACTAATAGTATGTACAACGTAGTAGTGGCCGGATAGATGGAAAGTCACTACTGATTTTCGCCCCAGTCTTACTGCTATTCACTACGGTGTAGTCTAGTACTCCCTCAAACTACATGACAGAAAGAGTTATCCGAGCTTCTCTTGCTCAGCTGGCACAATGAACTTCTTGTATACTACTTTAATTCCCCGCTACTGCTATTACTATCAACCAAGCTGGCAACAACGTTGCATATTCCGAGTAGACATGGATGAAAATATGTCCAGAGACATGAATTATCTTTCGGAGTTCATCGAGTCTGTCGGCTGCTTTTGGATCAGCCTTGTCATCACCATCCCTGTCCGCTTGAACTAGTCGCTGCCCCTTCAGTGCAACAGTCTTCCGGTCCCAGAGAAAATAACGCAGTAGATACTAGGCTTCCACGGTCAGGGGCCAAATCACCAGAAATTCACGGATTACTTTGACTCCATGCCATATGCTAGAGAAAACATGCTGGCCCCCAAGTCCTGCTCTAACATGACTTGCTCCTTCTACGTCGTAGTAAGTAGTCGGCACAATTTTACACCCTGGTAGTTGCTGAAACCGCCCCAATATTACTGTCCTAGGACTACTACTAGATGAAGTGTCTTGATAGTACCATATAAGAGAACCAGATGATTATATATAGCCCTACCATGCCCTCCTCATTGCTACTGAAACTATGCAATCATTCATTTAGCATTCACTCGTTTGTCCACCGTTGCCCTCGTTACTCTCACTCATTCTTACTACTGCACAATTTCACCCCTTACTCTTCTTCTTCATCATCATCATCAGTCGTTACTTTGTCACCATCAGCATATACGTTGTCACAATGTGGTTCAGATATATCACTGTTCAGAAGGCCTTTGTTCTATCTTCTTTGCTCCTGGCGTCTGGGATCTCAGCAGCTGCTATCCCCGCAAGGTTAGCTGACCCGGCATCGGTCTCTGTGACGACAACAAACACGCAAGCTCCTACAGGTCAAAGGGATGGCAGGCCAACCTCACTCCCTTATGAAGGTGCCCCAAACTGTCAGGTGAGTGCTAATGACCCCCTGCTAAACTATGGCTTTGTTGGGCTCTAACCCGATTATTCTCAGTTCTGTCATGAAGACGAAGGCGAACAGACTACCGGCGAGTCCGCGATGCAGGTGAAACGAGACAGCCACACTATCGCAGCAAGTATGTCTCAAACAATTCATTGCTCCCAGCCTCCCTTAGTATTATTATGGTTCAATTCGCTGCGAAGCTAACAAGAAATGGCAAATTGCTGCAGGAACGGATGCCGATGAAAAAAAATCCGATGAGGAAGAGACCAAGGAGATAGAAAAGAAGGTTAATGAAAAGTGTCATGGGAATGCGCTTTGTGAGATTATTTCCACCTTGTCGAAGTCTTACTAGTAGCTCCGTGGGTAGAGCTGTGTAGAATAGGCGCAAGGCCAAGTTAGAGGTGTTTAGATAGGATTATGTTGATCTGGACATAGTACCACAGGGAGAACATCTGTACTTATTACGCTCTATCAGTCACGTTCATTTGATCCAGTGAATACCCGAAGTTGAGAACTGTTTCTTTTCCTGTTTCTTGATCATTGGCGTAGACATCACAGTGTAGTGGAAATAACTCAGAATAACCGACTTGAGACTAATCAAAGTATGATCTAGTCAAGATCTATCACTGATTGGACCAGCTCCACCAACAGGATATAGATAACATTGGGCCTGTGTGGTTGAGCGTGTGCCATTCTCGGCCCCCATTCAACACCCTTGTGAATAAATAAGCACTACTAAGCGCCAGAGGCTTGAGTTGCCGTTAATGCTCCGTCCCCCATCTGGCCAGCCTTGGCGAGGCCCCCATGTACCACTACTATAACTACTAGCTAGCAATAGGCCCCAAAAATCAATCAACCATGGGCAGCTACGCGCTCCGTAAATCAATCGATCTACTGCGATCGGACATCGCCGGCCAGTAGCGAGTTACTCATTTTGCGTAATGTCCGACAAAGGGACTAGTTTACGGTTACATATGACGAATGCTAGAAAGGCCCTGACTTTCTGGGAGTAACTCCCAAACCACCTGACACTTAAATACCTCTAGCTATCACACTCAAAATCTAGTAACGAATGCTATCTGGATACATGACGGAGCACCTCTTGACATGATATGACCGGCAGAAAGTCCGGCCTGAACACTGAACTCTCCAATCAAGCCTTGATTTCGGCGTACAATTTGAGCACAAAATCCCGACAATTGTTGAAGAGGGTACTATATCCCTTCTTATTCATCTTTGCTGCAATCGCTTCCCCATGTCTTTCGATCTCCGTGTTGTCCACGCCTGACCTGATCTTACCGAGCACCTCCATCTTAGTCTCGCTCCAATCATACCAACTGCTGGCACCACGGTCCGTGAACTCGATCTTCTTGCCATCGAGCTGAATGTCCCAGCATCCTGAGGCAAACTTGAGATAGGTGACGCCACCTTCGGTTTTCTCTGTCACGTAGCCTACAGCTATCAAATAATGATCGGGAACCTTCTTACCGGCGACTCGAGCTCGTTCACTCCCTAAAGAGAAGTTTCAATCTCTTGTTAGCTTCACTGCACATTGCACTTAGGAGGATAGTATGGCAAATTGGAAATGGGGGCGCATTAGTGCATACTTATCTTGATGGCATAGCCCTGGCCAACCTCTGGTGTTTTCCCGAGCGCTTCCTTAAGCTTGTTATATTTGGCATCGCCGGTGGTTCTAGTAGCCCGTTTCACCTGAGTTGTCGGCTGGCGTGTGGTCTTGGATGGAGTAACATCATCTGAAAGGCTATCTTCAGGAACCGAGGGGAAGGGGTCCACCTCATGAATCTTGGAAGCAATATAGTTCACATCCACGTTGGATCGCTCTGTCAGGAAAGAGTCCCCGTCAACAGACCTGGGAGCAGTACCTGACTGGGATGTGTCCGAGCCAGTGAGAATCTCCCAGATGCTCTTCGAGGTGCCGTCTTTACGGCAGAACTGTAATTAAATCGGTCAGAGCTCAGTAGCGACCAAAATAAGAGAAAAAGAGAGAAATAAGCTTCATTAGTACTTACACGGCAGTCCGGAGAACCGAAGTAGGGGACGGAGGATGGACTGCCATCCGCTTCAGTTGTAGGGACGTGTGTGTTTATCGGAACACCAGCTACAAATGAGGGCGTCGTCAAATCCGAGTCAACTTCTCTCGGCGGTATGGCAGCTGCTAATACACCGGGCGTCAGGAGCAAAGAAGCTAAAGCGACGGCCTTCTGAGTGGTGATATGTCTGAACCACATCTTGTCACAAAATTTAGGAACGGTAACAGTAGACAGAAATGATGAATGATAACAATGAACGAATTGAACGATTGAACAAAATGTCTATAAAATGAGCGTGATGAGAGCAATAGTAGACAGTAAATGAGTGTTTTAGAGTTGAATGAATGCGTGGAGGAGCAACGAAAAGGAACTGACGGACTAGAATTATATAGGTTTGCCGCTCTCCTATGTATTGAGGTACTCAATTTAGAGGATGGGGG